CATTTTTCGTAAGAACATCATTTTTGTTCATAAATGGATGTAGCATTCTTGTTTACGTTTTTTTGCCTGATTTTACCAAAGATTAAATTTGTTCTGGCATAGCAGCCTAATCCCCTTCCATCAGCTAAGGTGAGCCAAGTTGTAGAAAGCTCGAAGAGATGGTGTATCGATCATGAAGAGAAGATTGGTGTAGCTACAGGGAATTGGGGCTGCGGTGTATTTGGAGGCGATCCAGAACTAAAGATCATGCTTCAGTGGCTTGCCATTTCTCAGGTACGCTTCTTTGTTCTCATCAATTTCTCCTGAAACCACACAATTTATCATTCCATTTAACACTCTTCATCTTCTTTCTCCAGTCAGGAAGACCCTTCATGTCATACTACACCTTTGGCCTACAAGCCCTGCAAAATCTCAATCAGGTTATTAGAGTCTTAATTCATTGAAACTACTTCACTATTTCAAGACCTTAAAATGTAAGTTATATATATGCTTTTCAGGTGATCGAAAGGGTCGCTTTGCAAGAATTGACTGTAGGAGACCTCTGGAGTAAGATAATGGAGTATTCTTCAGAGAGGCTCAGCAGAAGAACAAGGCTTGGCTTCTTCTCTTGGCTCATAGCCTCACTCTCTGCCTAGTAGACAAAGTTTTATATTCTTTTCTGAATTCGTGACATTCCTTTTTCTCTCTGTTTCTGACATCTGAAGTCTATTTGTTACCCATTAAAAATGTTGTATCTCTATTATGTTGAAATTTATGTGAATAATCAATCCTTGTGTAATTGTTTTATCTATCTGCTTAAAGCATTTTTACTCGAGACATAATCAAAACAAAAAAGTTTCTGTTTTTCGCGCGAGGATTTAAAGCAGTTGGAAGTACAACTTACCAGATGTAATATCAGTATCATCCGTTCAACCATCTTTAGGAAAGCTAAAAAGCTATACTATGAATGAAATCTAAACAACACTCGGAATAATAGGTCATAAGAAAACAACACTCAGAAAAAGAAATTAGTCACAAAGCAGAGCATTTTTGACCGGAATCTCTAGTTACACAGCTGGAGCAGGAGTTCCGCCGCCTTTATATATGTTTCTCTCTCTCAATTTTGAAATATGTTTGATATGAATGCAAAGAAGAACCAGGTTCTTGATATAATCGGTATTCATTTTTCTTGTGATTTTGTATGAGCCAAATCTGCGTATGGTTTGACTGTTGTATGTGATACTGTAGTAAGGATTGGACTTCGTAAGTTACGGTTAGCCAAAACAGAACTTGCCAAAGTTGAAACTGAGATACGTTACCTTAATGAGTTGTTTGTGATAAGCACCCTCATGATCCAAAATAAGGTCAGCACCTTTGCAAATACGTAAATGTTATGTCTTGTTTCTTTTGTATAACCAATGGGCGTTACTTTGGTAGAATCTACATACTCATAATATCAGGTTCTACGACGTTGTGTTTTGTGACAATCCATAAACTGAATTTGTTTTAATATATTAATAATCAATTATACTGATCAAAAGAAAAACAAAGTAGTGAAGAAATTGAAAATAAGAGCATGAATTACAATCACTAAAACATCAGATAGAAGAGTTTTGTAGTGGGTTCGAGTGAAACCAACAAAGATAATAAATAAAGATAATATTGCAAGAAATTTGAATATATACATATATATATATATACATATATATATATACATATATATATATTAGATAAGTAAGTTTAGTCAAACTTCTTTCGTTTAGATTCATGTGTATTGTGTACATCGTATAAAAAATGAGTCGATTGGTCGGTGTGACATCATAATATTTTGTTATTGGTTGCAAAATAACAACTTTCTAAATCTACAAAATATTTTTATAGTTTGCAAAGCCAAAGTCACGGTCAAAAAGATTAATTTATGTCCAAATATTGTAAATACTAAATACATGTAAGACATATACTCCGAATTATTTTATATCAAATATATATATAGAATTCTTTTTTTAATTATTAATAAATTAATAACTCCAAAGGAAAACAATACATATTTATACATAATAGATTTACATCTTTGACTACTACTAACATAGACTTAAATACATGCATGCATTCAACGTTACATGAATGGTTAGTCAACCTCACTCTCAAGTCTCAAAAATATATTAACATTTTGTTACATCTATAAATAGGGAACTTTTAAAGTTCTATCTAACCACTCCTACATAATTTACTTAACCATGGCTTTCAGTAATAAACCTCATTTTATGTTGTTGTTTATGATCTCTTCTACTCTTTTTCTTTTTGGATCGACATTAGATTTGTCAGATGCTCCAGCGGAAGCACCAACTTCGGGCGGTGACGGCTTGTTACCTCTAGCCGGAAAGCATGTTGTAATTCGCAACAAAGTAAAAAACAGAGAAGTTTTGAATGTACATTGCAAATCAAGTGAAGATGATTTTGGGGTGATCCATATTCCTTATAATGGTGAATGGGGTTTCAGATTTCATGTTAACCTTTGGGAAACTACGAAATTCCATTGTCATTTTACGTGGCATGGAGGCGGATCTCATTATTTTTATATATTTAAAGTTTCTAGAGATGATAGTGCATTTGGACAAGTTCCAGTTTGCAAAGAATGTATTTGGGAGGTAAGAGGAGGCGATAAAAACCCTATTTGTCGTGTTCCTCGTGAGAAGGATTACGAACCATACTGTTTCAAGTGGGAGGGTGAAAATAATTAAAAAAAAAAAGATTATTGTTAGTTATTACTATATCTTATAAAAAAAAATGTAACATCAAACTTGGTTGAATAAAGTATTATATACCATTTATTATGTTCGAATGTTTGACTGTTTAGAAGCTTTCTTTATTCGAAGTTTTTACATATCCACATAAGCAAATTAAGTTTTTTTTTTAAGATGGATTATATTATTTTTCTCTTAAATAAACATCATTTTTGATTGACCAAAAAAATAAAAAAGAAACATCTTTTTGAAAACTAAGCTTTCTACCTATAGATTCGACTTTCGAATGTTGTTCCAATTTTTTTGGAGCTGATTCACAGCACCATATATATGACAAAAGATATGTATAGGATTCATGGGAAACAACCACATTCGAAGCCTATACAAGTAAGTAACAAATATTTGTTCATGACTCGACCTGCCTGAAGAGCTTCATGGAAGAGGAGATGTCGTAATCGATTGCAAAGAATAATAAAGAATCTTCTTCAAAAGACAATGAGATATTCGTGAATTCTGAGATCAATAGTATTTTTTCTTTTTTTTTGTCTTCATCTAACATGTCTTCCAGGGTCTTTCGACATCCCCTCTTTAACATATTCCTCAGGCCTTCCTCAATCTCCGGTTGCAGCTCACGATTGTGAGATTGATTCAATCCACTAGCTAGTTTATATTTAAAGAGAGAGAAGAAATTGGATATGTAATGTAAAAGAAAGAAAATCGTTCTATATAGAACACAAGCTCATTCTATTATATATATATTGTTATGATTATGATGAATAGAATGCCACATACTTTCTTTGATGCACTATAAATTAATTTTGCAAAATTTGTTTTTGTTTTGAACTTGAAAGCATAACTAACTTTTTTTTTTTTTGGGTAAAATGTAAAGATAGCATAACTAACTTTGTATGTCTATTTAGGATTAAGCACATGATGTGTGAATGTATTAACTGTTGAAGACAATATCATTCCGTTCTATGTTGTTCGAGATAGAATGTTGAATTCTTTATACTAATTTCCCTATTCCAATTTTGCAAATGACTGTTGCTTTATGCAACTGTTATGCATTTTATATCAGAGTTACTTTTTAGGTGGGATACTCTTTAAAATGAATAGAGTTTGCTATTGGTTTTCAAGTCTATACATTCATATAGTATAGCTCATATAGAAATCATTTCAAGATTAAATTTACTTAGTTTAGTCGAATTTTAGTTCATTTATAGGATTTGAAAAAAAAAATTGTGCTTGAGACTAGATTTTTCGATTTAGCGTTTAGTGTTTTTGCATTTAGAGTTGTCTTTATTAAAGTTATGGAAAACAGTATAGTATGCTTTTATATTTTACGTGTGACTATATCATCAAACTTGGTGAAAAGATGGATTATATACAAAAGCCGTTGTAGGGAATAAGCATAAAGAAATACAACAACGTACTAAACAGAGGAGGGAGAGTTAGGAGGTTTCAAAACCCTTGAGAGAGGATCTAGTCAACATTAAGTGTCCTCGCTAAGCATAAAGTTAGGAGGTTACAAAAGCCCTTGTAGGGAATAAGCACAAAGAAATGGTTTGTTGAGTCTCCTCGCTAATAACTGGAGGAGGTCTTGAACAATTGGTATGGACCATGGAGTCTAGCATTCTGCTTCTGCTCCTTCCTAATTCCACGACGCACTACCAGATTCTTAGTGAACCAAAAACAAAAAAACGGACATGTCACGTTCTTATTGGTCAAATTTGTTCTACTATTCAATTCCAATGAACAAGATGAGCTATCTAGGGTTATAACTTTTAACTAGTGAAGGGTTTTAACCCAACAAACACTTTACAAGAAAAATTAGTAAATATTGTCTTCATTCTTTGCTAAGTGTGTTGTAATGTAAATTGTAATTGAGGTCCTCCCCAATGGTTTGGTGCACACGCTATCAATGATCTGTTTCTATGTTGTCTCTTGCATTAATTTTTTTGTGAACAATCAAATCTTTTTTTTTTTAATAGGATTTAAATTCGAATGCCAGGCTGAATGTCACCATTTAACTAATTAAAACAGCGTGGTGAATAATCCTTTCCACGTTTCTTGATCTGCAAGCAATGATATAAATAAACTAATAATCTCTTTAGTCAAAAAGTGTTATTTTAATTAATCAGACTGGTGAGCTGTAGAGACTTTATCAGTTTATGTTGTGGCTTAATCTTTCTGGAAGAAACTTGCAACTCCACCTCTCAAGAATCAAGAGAAAGGTGAAAGAAGTTCCAAAAAGAAAAAGAAAAAAAAAACAGAGCAATGGAGAAAAGAGAAGATCTTGAGACGATTTTAGCCTACTTGCCGGTAGAGATTCAGGGTTCGTCTCTGTCTTGGCCATCGTCACACTTGGTGGAGGTTTTAGAAGCTTTGACCGAAGGACCAAGTCACAGCAGAGTCGACTCGGGAAAAACTCTGTCTGATTCCATCTCTGACATGAGACAAGCTCTCTCTTTGACTTCTCATTTTTCTGATTCAGCACTTCAAGGCTACACTCTCTTCTTCGACGAGGTAACAAAGAAAACTTCATTTTTTTCCGCGGATTTTCCGATTTGCTGGAGTGAAAAATGTATTGGTTTGATGCAGCGAATGTCGAAAGAAGAATCAAGCAGATGGTTTAACGAGTCTTTACCTGCAATGGCTTGTCTTCTTCTGAGATTCCCATCTATCTTGGAATTACATTATCTAAGTTCAGAGAATCTCATCAATGGCACAAAAACCGGTCTTCGTGTCTTAGGCCCCAAAAAAGCAGGCATTGTGTTCCTCAGCCAGGTACATAAATTAAATGTTCTTAAGCCAGATTCTCAATAAAGCAAGAGATAATGAAAAAATGTTTTCTTCATTTTGGCTATGGCAGGAACTTATAGGAGCATTGCTTTCATGTTCTTTCTTCTGTTTGTTTCCTGTCGATAATAGAGGCTCAAATCTTCTTCCAAACATCAATTTCGACAAATTGTTCGGGTATACATTCTCATCCAGGCTAAAAAAATTAAACAAGTTTTGTTTTCTTTCTGAAACTTGTGTTTTGAATCTTGAGGTGACCTATATTTGCAGAAGCCTAATCAACACGGCACGAAACGAGCACCAAGAGAACAAGATCAAATGCATACTTCATTACTTCCAGAGGTTATCTTCCTCTATACCTCCTGGATTCGTCTCATTCGAACGCAAGATTCTCTCTTTAGAACAAGATACTTCTGGTCTCGAAGCTAGTCCTGATGCAGATTTTTGGAGTGCATCTACTGTCAATCTCTGCCCTGTTGAGGTCAATTAACTAAGTACATAGAAGCTTGATTCTACTGGGTCTGCAAATATTTTCTGTTTCAATTTACAGTTTTCAATGGTCTAGGTTCATACTTCTGGTTTAATAGAGGATCAAAGTGTTGAAGCACTTGAAGTTGACTTCGCCAACAAGTACTTAGGAGGTGGTGCTCTTCGCAAGGGATGTGTCCAGGTCTATAAAACTTTTAACTCCAAAAATCCTTTTTGATCTTGTGAAGTTTTACTCAGAGCTTTGACTATGTTTCTGATGTGAATGATTTCCTGAAACACACACAGGAAGAGATTCGATTCATGATCAATCCAGAATTGATCGCTGGTATGCTCTTCTTACCAGCCATGGAAGCCTCTGAAGCAATTGAAGTTGTTGGTGCTGAAAGATTCTCTCACTACACAGGGTTACAAACTTACAAAGAAAATTTTGAGTTACATATACACAGAGACATTAAAATGATGAAATGTAATTTACTTATGAAAGAAAATGGTTATCTACATTCTGCAGATATTCATCTTCCTTTCGGTTTTCTGGTGATTACATGGACACAAAGGGAATAGATGTTTTCGGAAGGCGAAAAACAAGAATCATCGCCATAGATGCTCTTCGTCATCCAGGAACCTCCCAATACAAACTTGAACGCCTCCTCAGGTAATAATTGAATACAATCTTTATACTGTTAACAAGTAACATATATCTGAACATTCTTCTTTTTTCCAGGGAGACCAATAAGGCTCTCTGTGGTTTCCTCCATGTCTGCAAGAATCAGTGCATTGATCATGAAGATGGAGTTGGTGTTGCAACAGGGAATTGGGGATGTGGTGCTTATGGTGGAGATCCTGAGCTCAAATATTTTCTTCAATGGAGTGCTGTTTCACAGGTCAAATCTTTCACTTTTTCTCTTCATTAAGTGCTGTTTTTTTATGGCTCACAACATTACATTATTTTCAGGCAAGAAGACCATTCATGTCTTACTACACTTTTGGATTTGAAGCACTCCATAACCTAAATCAGGTTTCGTTTTTTTTTGTTCTCATTTACTACATCAACTTACAAAACAGAGTAATGTTTTATGCTTAATATCTCTGGTTTTTGGTTACAGGTAACGGAAATGGTTATATCTAAAGGTTGGACGGTGGGAGATCTATGGAAGAAACTAGTCGAGTATTCGAACCAGAGGCTAAGAAGCAGCAAGAAAAGAAGAGAGCCTAAACTTGGTTTCTTTGATTGGCTTTATGGCATTGACTGATAAAGCTATAAATCTTGACCTCGTTTCAGACAGAGAATTATCATTTGTATTTTCGAGTGTGGAAGTTTATATGAAATAAAGCAGCAAGAAAATACCATCGACTGATACTTCAAAATAAAAAACAGAAACCATAATTATCATCTTCACTAGAGTAATGTAGAGAACTCAAAGCAGAAAATCTGAAACCTTAAAAAATTAGCATCAACAAAATTAAAAACAAAAAAACAAAATTATTTGTGCGTGATGTGTCAATTTCTTATTTGAGGATTTTGGTTGTCCGATTCTATCCCAATTAATTACCAAAACAGGGGTTTCTATAGGGTTTTAGCCGGACGACGAAACACACACAAAGATACAGTTTTTTTTTTCCAATTCATTGCCAAATTCAAGCTTTCAGATTGCTGCAAGGTTTGTTGAGAATCAAAATTTTCTTCTAAACTATTTTTTGAGTTATCAATCGCAACCAAATTCCTCTTCGCGAGCCGCTTTCTGAATATTTTACCCCCTTTATCCTTTGCTATGTGATTCCATTTTCGTTTCTTGGTCTGGAAAATTTCACTTGAAAAACTTCACCTTTATCCTTTTGTTTGTCTCAGAGGAATGATTCTCCCATATTCGACACAGTTCACTTGCCCTCTTAAGGAGAATGGATTCAGCTTTTCCTCCGCCGTTCCTGCTTCTTCCCATTTCAAAAGATATCCTTTTGAGCTTGCTTCGTCGAGACATGAGTGTTTTGGTTCTGTGAAGATTGTCTCCTCGGTTAGTTTCCGACGACCTAAGTCTCTAATTATGATTACATTAGTTCCGAATTGCCTCAATTTGAAACCTTTTTCGCTGACATATGGCTAGAAAGGGAATGTTATGAGGTCTAGAAGAAATGTGAAAGCTTTTGGGTTGGTTGATAAACTTGGGAAGAAGTCATGGAGAAGAGAAGAAGAAAGCGACAGTGAAGATGAGGAAGACGAAGCTAAAAAAGATACATCGAGCAAAAGATTAGGCGACGAAGCAAGTCTTGATGATCCAGAAGAGAGACGGGAATGGAGGAAGAAGATAAGAGAGGTGATTGATAAGCATCCTGATATTGAAGAGGAAGAGATTGACCTTGTTGAGAAGAGGAGGAAGATGCAAAAGCTTCTTGCTGATTACCCTCTTGTTGTGAACGAGGAAGATCCTAATTGGCCCGATGATGCTGATGGTTGGGGGTTTAGCTTCAATCAGTTCTTCAATAAGATAACAATTAAGAACGAAAAGAAGGATGATGATGATGATGAAGACGATAATGGAGATGATAGTCACAAGGAGATTGTTTGGCAAGATGATAACTACATACGCCCGATTAAAGATCTCACAACTGCAGAATGGGAGGATTCAGTGTTTAAAGATATCAGTCCGCTCATGGTTTTTGTTCACAACCGCTACAAAAGGTCAGTTGGTAACTGGTTGTTTCTTACTGTCCAAAAATTTATGCTTGTGGTCTCTTTGATTACTCATACCTGACTTTGCAAAGCTTAGCTTGTCAAAATAGCTACACATATAGAACTATTTCTGACATTTGGTTTCTTAAATTTGATTATTATTTGGGGTGTTTGGTTTATGGATTCAAGTCACTTTGGTGTTTAGAAGTTTCTACCTTTATTGTATCTGTAGGCAGATCTGTCTCTCCCTTCATGCTGATGGAAATCTTTTAATCCTGACTACAGTACTTCTAGCTTTTGTTGTTATATTTTGATACGAGTATCGGCTAATTTTAGGCCAAAGGAAAACGAAAAATTCAGGGAAGAACTAGAGAAGGCGATTCATGTAATATGGAACTGTGGACTTCCTTCACCAAGAGTAAGTCTCGACATCTCTTTACCATTTTGTAAAACCATTCTTGATCATCCTGTATGTTTTGGTCTGTGCTTAATCCTTCTGAGTCATTATTACTTGCAGTGTGTTGCTGTTGATGCTGTGGTTGAGACAGATTTGGTCTCTGCTCTGCAAGTATCAGTGTTCCCAGAGATCATCTTCACTAAAGCCGGAAAGATACTATACCGCGAGAAAGGTAATGTCTCAGTTCAATACCGGAATCTTGTATAACCTTCTTGTAGTACTTAGTACATTTTGAACGTATTTCAGGCATTAGAACAGCAGATGAGCTCTCAAAGATAATGGCTTTCTTCTATTATGGAGCTGCAAAACCACCTTGTTTGAATGGTGTTGTTAATTCCCAAGAACAGATTCCTTCAGTTGATGTAAGTGCCGATAAAGCATAGGCCTTTGTGATTATGTAAAGTAGTTTCTTCTCTAAAGCCTGAAGAAAATGTATGAACTGATGAAGAAGTAATCAAATCTTTTGAATTTGAAATATGTTTTTCTTCTTCTCTCAAGTTGCTATTTATAGAACACTTGATCATCAGCTTGTTTCTCTCTCTCTTGCGACGTGCTCTTCTCTCCATTTCTCTCTCGCTCGCTCTCTCTCTCTCTCTCAATCTCAATCTCGCACCATCTCTCATTCTCATTTCCTCTTCATGGTTGGATTCGTCCCGATTTCAAAATTTTCTTCATTTGTCGAGTTCCTTTGATCTTCTTCCATGGATTCGGCTATCATCGAAGCAGATGAGCGGGAGGGGTTGGCATCACTCGTTCCCGCTCATCCGCCGCCGCGTAAGACACATTCCTACGTCGAACAATACGAGCAGAAGCCGCATTACCCGATCCGCAAATATAGCCTTGACGAAGGCTCTAGATCCGTGACGACGGACTCCGAACCTGTTTATTTTGATTCCTCCGACGGCGAGTGCTCCACCGCCACCGGCAGAACCGGTGGCGACAGAGGCAACGGGGAGGATTACGGTTTCGTCACGCCTCCGTCGAAACCAGCATCGCAGGGTGGTGAGATAGCTGGTCTCGGAGGAGGAGACGATTTCGAGTCCCTCCCGGAGTTCATCGGAGCAGGAGGCGGCGTCGACGTATTTAAGGTGCCGGTGCGTGCGGCGGTGAATCCTGGACGGCCGCCGTGTCTTGAGCTCCGGCCACATCCGTTGAGAGAGACACAGACGGGAAAGTTTCTGAGAAACATTGCTTGTACGGAAAGTCAGCTATGGGCGGGACAGGAGAACGGCGTGAGATTCTGGAACTTGGAGGAAGCATACGAGGTCGGTTGTGGTATCGGCGGGCAGGTACGGCGAGGGGATGAGGATACGGCGCCGTTTCATGAGTCTGTGACTATCTCGCCTACCTTGTGCTTGATGATTGACCACGGCAATAGGCTTGTGTGGAGCGGCCACAAAGATGGCAAAATCAGGGCCTGGAAAATGGATCAGCCGGTTACTAATACTGCGGATGATTCAAAGCCTTTCAAGGAACGGCTCTCGTGGCAAGCTCATCGTGGTCCTGTGAATTACATTGTCATGAGCTCCTATGGTTAGTCAAGTTTTTTGGTGTTTTGTTATGAACAGAGACGATAATTGGATTCTCAGATATTGTTTGTTTCGTCTTGTTTATGTTGCAGGTGATATGTGGTCATGCTCTGAAGGCGGTGTGATAAAAATATGGACTTTGGATTCTTTAGAGAAGTCTCTTGTGCTTAAACCGGAGGAGAAGCATATGGCTGCATTGTTAGTGGAGAGGTCTGGGATTGACCTTAGGAGCCAAGTTACTGTCAATGGTACATGCAGTATATCTTCCTCAGATGTCAAGTTTTTGTTAGTTGATACAGTAAGAGCTAAAGTGTGGGCTGTGCAGCACCTCTCATTCTCAATTTGGTAGGCTTTTATTTTTCTTTCCTGAGAAATATGACGCATTAGGCTTCAGCAGATTATGAATATATCATTATGGAATGTCTATGTATATATTGTGGTTCTATTTTGATCATTAAAGAGAGATGTATCGGTGCAGGGATGCTCAGAATAAAGACCTTCTGAAAGTTTTTAATATTGATGGGCAAGTCGAAAACCGTGTGGACATGCAAGCTACGCAAGGTCAACAAGCTGAAGAAACGAAAGCGAAGTTCTTCTCCACACCAAAAAAGGAAAAACCACAGGGCTTTCTGCAAAGATCACGCCATGCCATAATGGGAGCTGCAGGAGCTGTTCGTCGAGCTGCCACTAGAAGTACAGGAGCTTTTGCAGAAGATCCTAGGAAAGTAGAAGCTATTGCGATAGCGGCAGATGGATCAATCTGGACTGGAAGCATGAATGGCGTAATTGCTCAGTGGGACGGAAATGGGAACCGCTTGCGGGAGGTGAATCATCATCAGCAGGCTGTTCTGTGCTTTTGCACATTTGGTGATCGAATATATGTGGGTTATGCAAGTGGTTACATCCAGATCCTGGATCTTGGTGGAAAGCTAGTTGCAAGCTGGGTTTCACACAATGAACCTGTGATAAAGCTAGCAGCAGGTGGTGGTTTCATTTTTAGTTTAGCCACTCATGGTGGTGTAAGAGGATGGTATGTGACATCTCCAGGACCTCTAGACAGTGTAATCCGAACGGAATTGTCTCAAAAGGAAATGACATATGCCCGACAAGACAGTGTTAAAATCTTGATTGGTACCTGGAATGTTGGTGAAGGACGGGCTTCACGCGGAGCTCTTATGTCTTGGCTGGGTTCTGCTGTTTCAGATGTTGGCATTGTTGCTGTTGGGTTGCAAGAGGTGGATATGGGGGCTGGTTTCCTTGCCATGTCTACTGCTAAGGAGACGGTAAGTCATTCTGTTAGAGCTATTTACTCATGACTGACTTTGTTTAGTAAATAGCTCTACTGAAAACGGTTGAAAATCAACCAAATATTAGTGTTTACTTTGCCTCCGTTTGTTTGCTTCTGTCCAATGTACTTTACGAGAAATGAGGCTCCACTGGATGATCCCTATTCCCTACTGATCTGTATTCATTATTGTTCTGCATTGACTAGTTTCTTACTCGAACAGTCATGGAAACTAGTAGGTTTTGAATCTTAATCCATTTGAGTCTATATCGCTTTCAGTTGACAGATACATGTGGACTATCTAGGAATACTGGTTATAGAGAAAAACTGTCTTCACTAGCTTGATTAAAATGTTGTGTGCGGATTCATATGTTATAACCAGGATTTTGCTGTTGTCTACATATTTCAAGTCAGCTCATATTTGAGTTTCCGTTGTAGGTAGGGGTTGAAGGAAGTGCTGTGGGCCAATGGTGGCTGGATGCAATTGGAAATGCAGTGGATGAGAGAAATACTTTCGAACGTATGGGTTCAAGGCAGTTGGCAGGACTGCTAATATCTCTCTGGTAGGCGAAGAATTTTATTCCAGACGAGTTACATTTTTGTGTTTCTCTATTGATTGCAGGTGTACCAGTCAACAGTCGTTTTATTTCCTTACATAGCATCTAAAGTCTTGAGAGTGTTAAGCTATATCATAATATCCAGGTTCACCATCTTTTTACCACCTCATGTCTTATAACTTTCTGCTTAGGGTGAGGAAGGATATTAGAACACATGTCGGAGATCTTGATGTCGCAGCAGTTCCATGTGGCTTTGGCCGCGCCATAGGAAACAAGGTCTGTCTTTCACTTAGTTCTGTCTAATGCAGAATAGATTAGTCTGATGATAACGGAATTTAATGGTTACCTTGCTAGCGTCCATTGAGGATGAGTTATCATTGTTGATCCAAACTAATTTTCCTACGTTGTTAAAAACAGGGAGGTGTGGGCTTGAGAATTAGAGTCTATGACCGGATTATGTGCTTTGTGAACTGTCACTTGGCTGCTCACTTGGAGGCAGTTACTCGTAGAAACGCGGATTTCAATCACATATATCGGTCAATGGTCTTCTCCAAAGGACAAAGTTTATATACTGCCGCAGCTGGTATAGTCCCGTACCTGTTTTTGTCTTGCTCAATTGGCTTCTCCACGTACAGTACTTATTTTGGCTTCTTTATTCTTCTGGCTTGCCATGGGCCCTCTCTTTCTTGCAGCTGGTGCTTCAACATCTGCTCAAGCGCTAAAGAGTAACACTGTATGAACTTATTATATCAGTGCATTAGTTACAGCATTTCACATTTTTGATTCACAAAATCTCGGCCTCGAGCTTATGTTGTTTGTCCTTCTTAATGTTATTGTTCTTTTTCTTGTTTCCCAGAATACAAACATCAACACGGAAGAAGAGAAGTCTGATTTAGCAGCAGCAGATATGGTTGCATTTTTCGGTGACTTCAATTATAGGTTGTTTGGTATAACCTACGACGAAGCGAGGGACTTCATTTCACACCGATCTTTTGACTGGCTCAGAGAGAAGGACCAACTTAGGGCAGAGATGAACGAGGGAAAAGTTTTCCAAGGAATGCGTGAGGCATTAATCACCTTCCCGCCGACTTACAAATTTGAGAAGAATAAGCCTGGCCTTGGAGGTAAAAAAGAGATTTGAATTACTCTTGCAAACTTCTCCTGGTTACTCTTTCATGAGTTTGTGGTAGCAAGCTAGTAAAAAGAGTAAGATTGGGACCAAGTAATTAATTTCTACGGTCTTCCTATCTCCAGGGTATGATTCAGGAGAGAAGAAGCGAATACCCGCGTGGTGTGACAGAGTTATATACAGAGACAACCAATCAAGCCCATTTTCTGAGTGCAATTTGAAGTGCCCGGTAGTTGCTTCGACTGTAATGTAATGTCCATCATGCGATCTCATGATCTTGTCTCTCTTCCTTTCACTATCCATCTTTCCCACCACCGTATGCATTGTGTTTACAGGTATGAAGCTTGCATGGATGTAACTGAGAGTGATCACAAACCCGTGCGCTGTAAGCTCCATGCTAACATAGCTCACACCGATAAATCTGTGCGAAGACAGGAGCTGGGGAAAATAATAAAGTCCAATGAGAAACTCAGATCCATGTTTGAGGAATTAAGATCGGTTCCAGAAACATCAGTGAGTACCAACAACATTCTTCTTCAGAGCCAGGACACATTCATCTTTACAATCAGAAACAAGTCAAACTCGAGCAGAGCCATCTTCAACATCGTTTGTAAGGGTCAGACCATCGCTAGAGATGATGGAGAGGAACCCGAGAATCAATCAAGAGGCACCTTTGGTCTCCCTCGTTGGCTTGAGGTTATTATTCTCTTTTTGTGTCACCAATGATCGTTTTTTTAGCCATTCTTCATCACAAGATTTAATGATCAGAAAACTCTTTCTTTAGGTTTCTCCAGGAGCTGGGATGATAAAACCAGATGCTTCAGTGCAGGTGAAGGTTCATCATGAAGACTTTCACAACTCAGATGAGTCCACTGATGGCTTCCATAAAAACATGTCGTGTGAAGACACTTGTGACAAAGAAGTGACCCTGATGATAAACATCCAGGGAAGCTGCTCGACCAGAACAACAAGCCACTCTATCAAAGTCTGCTTCTCAGCAGCCAAATCAGTTAGTGTCGCTTATTCCAAACCCACCAGCATGACAAAGAATCTCGAGGGTTCCACTCGTTACCAGCCAGATAGTTACCGCGGTGGAAGCACCAGACGCGGTTGAAGATGATTCCTGTTAACATCACACTATAGCTAGATCTTAGGAGCAGACGAACTGTGAAGCCATCTAAAGAAACGCATCCAGACCTATTAGGATATCAAGTTTTTTTAGATTCTCACAACTAAGATTCGGGTGTCATCAGGTTGTATAGTTTCTTCATTTTCATTCTTTGATTCATTGGATATCAGAGAAATTGTAGATTTTGTTGATACTTCAACGACCTCATTACAGATCTGTTATTCTACTCGAAAAACTCGAAAAATATCGAATAGCATTGGTTTACAGGTACAATACCAAGTATATATTGGTTAATCTTACATGAGGAGACCCTGCTGTTCATAGTGCATACATTCTTTTGTTGTATTCACCATTTAGAATCTCTGAATCAGAAGGCATACGAGACATAGAGAAAGACTGAGACTTGCTTCTCTCTTTCCTTATGCTCTTCAATTTAGATTCCTCCATCCTATGCATGACCACGCAGTAACACATCGCACCAATCGTGGTCAACATGATCGTGCCGCCAATAACAGTCGCACACACAGCCAACCACATCTCCTCTTTGCCCACAACAATGTAAGAGAGAGAAACAAAGGCAATGGATATGAACAAACAAGCACACCACATGAGCTTGTTTATCACAAACACAAGCTTCTTCTTCGCCTTCTGCTCAATCACAACAACTGAAGTTTGCACCACAACAACAGCTAAGGATATAAACAATGCCAAGCTGTCAAAGACGAAGAAGACTAGAAACGGTGCTTTGTTTGCTATATGAGCTTGTCCAAGCAACTCTCCTTTCGACCGGTCTTCTTCATATTGACCCGGTATTGTGAAAATGGCTGCGAAAGCCACCGTGGCAATAAGCACAGCCACGACGGTTGCTGAGTTTATAGCGTTGTTTAGACCGCTAATGTGAAGTTTCTTGAGTCTCTTGGCTATCTTCTGGACTCTTACACCGGTTTGCCTGGATTGTTGAAGCTGAGATTGTACCTCGTGTTTAATGTCGCTGACTGTTTGCTTCAGTTGCTTAGCCGGGTTTTGAGGCTTACCGAGATCTTTAGCTGTAGCAGCTCCTGCTTCCTTCAGAACCGACACAAGCTCAGCATTTCCTATCTTCTCAGCGATATCTAGTGGCGTATCTCCAGCTTTGTTTATTGGGTTGAGGTTAATGCCTTCAAAAGATACCAAACACCGCACTATCTGCAGAGAAGTCAATCAACATTTCATTTAATAACTAATATCAACCTAGAAACTCGAGAAAAGGATCATTCCATGATGCACCCCTTCTACTCTACCTTAATACGGCCTTTGTTTGTGGCAATGTGCAATGGTGTATTTCCTTTATTATCCTCAACGCTCAAAACCGCAACATCAGGTTTCACTAACTCAATAACGATCCCATCATTTTGACCTTTTACAGCCATGTGAAGAGCAGTTTGCCCCTTTTTATCGGTTCTAAACCCAATGCTTGGATCATTACCTATCAAAGATTTAACAACTTCCACATGACCCATCCTTGCTGCAGAGTGAAGCGCGGTTTTACCGTTGTTCTTAGCTATCTTAGCCAAATTAGAGTCTGTCTCCAAAAGAAGATTCACCACATCAATGTGTCCTTGTGTCGCAGCCGTGTGTAATGCAGTTGTACACGATAAATCTGTTGTCATTGCCAAGTTTGGAAAAGTCTCCAACAGTTTCTTCAACACCTCTGCAAAAGAAGAAAGAGCCAAGTAAGTGAATATTCTATGTTCTCATTGAACTAGAGAAACTGAAGAAAGTGTAGATCCTGTTACCGAGATGGCCTTGTTTTGCTGCGACATGGAAAGGATCAAACCCGTTTCTAGCTGCGATCGAAGCAGTTTCAAGATCCATATGCTTCAACATCTCCTCAACAACAATTGAATGCCCGTTCTCTGCTGCAGTATAAAGAGGAGTCTCTCCTTCAAGATTCTGCTTTGACAACAACTCTTTTAACTCTTCTCCACCACTGTCACAACAACCTCGAATCAGTTCTTTAACCTTACCTAAGTTCCCGGTTCGAGCCGCAATATGAAGAGGCGAGTCTCCTCTTTTCCCTGGTGACTCATTCTTCTTCCTCCTCTCACCAATAAAACTCAGTTGCCTCTCCATCACCACACGGAAGCTTTTCTGCTTCTCTAAAAACCCACCACGAAAACTCTTCTGCCTCTCCATTGATGCTTTACCAAAACTCGGAAGTTTCTCCATAACTCCACGTTTCTGGTTCTCCACGGTCACACCTCGAAAACTCTGTTGCTTCTCCATTGATCTTCCGAGCCTACTTGGCTGATGATTCTCTACATTCACACCTTGGAAACTAACTTGTTTCTCTAAAGCTCTCGCCTTTCTCGGTTGATTACTCTCCACACATCGAAAACTCTGTTGTTTCTCCATGGATTTCGTCTGAGTCTCTTGTGTTTGGTTTATTATACCATTAATGCTCTGCTGCTTCTCTGCAATCGGACTATTCTGCTTCTCCTCCATTATAGTCATACTATTACTCCAGTTTTCGTCGTTATCAACAAAAATTAGCTAAACCAAGATTACTTTTTTATCGCCCAATCTAACCCAAAAAAAAAAAGACTAATCTAATTACAACATAGATCTTGAAAAAAACAACTCTTGCCCAAATCTAGAGAACAAAAAAGCTATTGTTGTATCACCTAGAAAAATCCATGTTTTCAGCGAGAAAGAAAAAAAAAACGACCTTTACGGGAAACGAATGGAGGGTAGACACAAGATTTCGCGCCCAAGCTGTGAAGAAACTTGGAATTGATTAAGATCGGAGAAAGAATAATCAGATTGAAGCTGATTCAGTACCTCGAGAAGACCAAAAAAACATTCGCAGAATCTGAGAAACCCCAAAGAGCTCGAATTTCAACAAGGGTTTGATAAAAGCTTTAGCCTTTTTTGTGCTCTCACCACGTGTATGAAGTTTGTTCCTAAACCATAGACGAAGCTGCGCAGAGAGAGAGAGAGAATGTCAAAAGCAGAACATCAGCATCATCCTTGGTTGAAGAATTTTAGCAGCCACACCACTTGGTCGTTAGTTGTCAGTGCCTTCTTTTAACACGCTTTAAATTCACCTCACTCTTAAGACATGAAGTTTTTTTTTTTTGTCGTCAAGACATGAAGTTTTAAGTTTCATTCTTTTTGTCGAAAATATTGTTTTTTTGAGGGGTAAGGTATTAAACTGCAAGAATTTTGGACTGTAAATTATGTAATAAATCGAAATTTAAGCGTTAATTAAAATGTTAAGATTTGTCAAAAAAAATTACAATCGGAAATCATATATAGAAGTTGATGGAGGTCTGTAATAACTCTAGTTTATTGACTTGTATCGTCTATTGATGCTGCCATGTCACCTAATCCGAGTTAAATATATGAATGATTTAAAGATTCTACGACTAAACAATTAGTCAATTGACATATTTACTCTAGTTGAATCCCTTTAAGTCAAGTAAGTATCACTTATAGTTCGTTTTTAGGGTTATCACTTTGTTAGTTAAATAACGATTTTCTCTCTTTGTTTTGTAAAATAGTGTAATCAAAGAGTTGTCTTGTTACAAGACAAAACTAAGGGCGGCTGAAAACAAACTTTCATTTCTCACACCTCTTTTTACATTTCTAACCAAGTTATGAAACTAGAGAATATTAAATAATTAGTTTGACCGAATTTCCTAGCTTAGTTGTTTATGTTACTAAACTCTGTTATATAATTCTTCAAAGATAATTAGTTTACATTTGTAAGAACTTTTCTGTTGGTATTACATTTGTAAGAACTTTTTCTACTGTTTCGTAATATCAATAACATAATTTATTTCTTCCACCGAGAAACGGAGAAAGATATCAATCAATTCATTGTGGCCGATAATATTGTAGTCACTACAGACAAATAGAGTAGACCATAAAAAGCACGTGGCCGGCTCATTAATCATTTGTGCTTTTATAATTGCAATTATCAAAACTTTTTATGCATTTCGGAAAACAACTCTTCCTCACAACAATTAAAATGTAGGTCACGTACGATAATATCAGGGTTTTTACTATGAATAAAAGCTAATATTTCTATAGAGCTTTGTATACTATATGGTAAGAAGCAAAAAAAATAAGTAATAGGGAAACTTTGAGTTGTGATTAACAAAGTTTCATTATTAGTCTGTTTTCGCTTAGGGTAGAGCAACGAGACATACGCTTGTTCAATTAACTAAAGTCTGAATTTCCTTTTAGAAAAAAGAGTCTGAGTTTCCCTTAATTAACTAGTTTTCAACCAAATACTGTACCTATGAGTCACTTAAAGTTTATCAAAACCCTAACAAAATAAAAACGTTGTCTGATTAAAAACCTTTAGTCAGAGTTGTGTCTACAAAGAAATAAACGAAGATAAAGAACGGAGGACCATAGAAGAATGAAAAGCTACACAGGTAGACGACTTTGGTTTGCTTGCAAATCCTCCTTTGTGGCACAGAGACAGAAGCAGGAGAAGGCGATCAAGCACACGGAAGAGGGTATTCCGACACATAGAGCGAGCTTGGGAGAAATAATATAGAGAAGAAAGAGGACAAGAGCGAGCCCAAAGACATGACTCAAACATTCGACCAAAAAGAAACCTAAACCCGGCCGGGTATTATTAGGATCTGACGAATCCGAATCCGGGGGTGCCCCGGGTCCTACTGAAGCGCCATTGGTGTAGAACATGAAAAGACCAAACCCCTCAAGGTTTTGATTTAGATTCATAGAGATTTTGTTGAGTTTTATGAACAAGAACGCTGCAAGACCGGAGGACACGATGATTATGTGCATGATGATGACGGCATAAAGTTTTTGCTTCCAGGACCTGTCATGCCAAAAAAATCAGATACAATCGAACCATTAGTTAAAAATCAAATAGCTATCGAAAGCACATACACACCCCCCAAAAAAAAATCAAACAAACAAATCACCGATCCACGTACTCACCAGGAACAATTAATCATCGTTTTGCTCTTCTCCATGATGATGAATCCTGTAGACCCTCCGATGTCACACAATTTGTTAGTCAATCCTTGTATCTTATATAAGAGGATATTAGGTTCAAAATCCTGTTTGAAATATGTTTTGTGTGTTAATTCCCTTTTAACTATGGAACCTTCTTTCCTTTTTTAAAATTTATCTATATCTTTTTGTCCATTATCCTCTTTTTATTTTATAAGATAAGTATAGTAGTATACCATTGATTAAATGAAAAGTATACCATTGAGAAAGAAAGTAAAATTAATTTTGCTTGGATTGGTTCGCTTTCGCTTTCGATTTGTTTCGGTATGAAAACAAAAACAAAAAAAACTGATAAAATAGACTTTTCTACCAATTGATTTGTGAGCCGGTTATTTCGATACATTTCGGTTAAACCAGATATATAATTCCATTGTGTGATAAATCGGTGAGTGCTGATCAATCCACAAAAACACGTTGTGTAATAGGAAAGAGATTTTTAATTTGGTTGTTCTCAAATTATTTTGTTAATTTCCTAATTATATACACATAATTCCTTAAACTAATTAATATTTTGTTCTTCTCAATTTATTCTCTTAATATTTTGTTCTTTTCAAATTAGTATTTTGTTCTTCTCAAATTATCATGTTAGTAAATTCTCTTTTTTGCGCAAGGATAATTATCTGTTGACTTTATTATGTATCAGATGATAGTCCACACTCCACAGACACGATGCGTGGATTGTGTATTGTTGGTTAATTTATAATTTTTATTGAATTTTTGTATTGAATTTTTATTTAATGAAAAAATGAATTATTTTTATTTCTTATAGTGTAGGTTAATTTCCTTTCTTTAATCGGATTTTATTAATTTTTTTAGCTATTTTTTAAAAGCCAATAAAAATTTCGTAAACTATGATATAGCAAAAAGATATATTACATGAAAGAACAAAAGGAAACTTTATGGGTGATTCCTCTACTCGAAGAATCAATAGAGGTCAGAAAGGTTTTACAGGAAAGAACACACCATTTGCAGAAGATCCTATCCCGCTACGCTGTTCATAGGTAATTCCATTATCAGAGTTTAAGACTTTCCTACCTGTAATTCTTAATCTTTAGTTTGCTTAAGAATAACATAGACCATCACTGTCTGTTTGTTACTGATTCCAGTTTTTATACAGCAAGTAAAATTGAAGAGGTACTACTAAAAAACCTTCAAGAACTTAAGTTACTGTCTCGGGTAAAAGTGACTCACTGATTCACAGATACTATCTCATTAAAATGAGAAGCTCCAGTAGCCATGATATCTCTACACATACAAGGGAGAAACCAAATATCAAATGACAAAAGTTTCTTATGTGCAGTTTAAAAAGAATCCATACAAAGCACGGTGAACACATGGCAAACTCTTAACTAAGTGGTATCGAAACAACAAATTTTATTTAAAAGTCATTTCATCTCCAAGAGGACACAGACATCTGATATTATAGTTTTCCAATTAACAAGAGGATTTTTGTTTAATTTCTACTTAGAAACAAATGTGAGGAAGCTAACTTTAGAAATAGTTTCTCAAGAGACAAAAACTTCATCACGATCAGAGTTGCACACACAATACCCGCTCCTATAGCAAAGTCAATTGACAGCAGGCTATTCATAACCACTAATGCAAAGAGTTCTGGTGGTATCCTGATGCATTTATCTTATCCACAATAAAGCAAATAATATGTTGAGGACAGGTGAATCATTAATCTTCCGGCAATGTAGACATATCCAGCTATGCCATACAACGTTTTCACAAACTGAGACCATAAACTTGCATCAGTAATCCTCAACAAGTACAACGTTTGTCCTAGCTGTGCACATACAAATTCATATAATTTTATCAATCTATTATTATAAATTATATATTATTCTTGTATATTACATTAATGTATAAATATTATTTCTGAAAAAATATAGGCTTTATAGCTAGTATCTATTTGAAACATAGTTAACGAGAATCTGTTTTTATTTAAAATAAATTGGTGTTTAACTTAGATTTTCATTTAAAAGAGTTTTGAATCTATCTTAAATTTTTGGTTTATCAACATAATTAGAAGATAGTTAACCAGAATCTGCATGTGTATAAAAAATCTTATGAGTTATCAATGGGCTTGGCATAAACACCATTTATTCATTAGTTATCAATGGGCTTGGCATAAACACCATATATTCAAGAAACAATGAATGTCTTCCCTGGAATCGTACGATTTGTGATCATTTCTCCTATATGAACTTGTGCCCTCGTACTTATCTAGATCTTGACATAACACTTGAAGATTGATGTTTGTTTGTAACAGTTTGAAAACCTAGTTCAATCATTGAATTGTAAGGATCAATCCTTAATTTTATAAATGTTTTATATAGAACTCAAAAGTGTGATTTATTATTCATTTTAACATAACTATTGGGAAAAAGAAGAATAGCGACAAAGTAAGAAAGGAATCAAAATGAAGCCACAAAATCTGCTAACTGTAAAATAAACAAAGTCTCAAACATATCTACAGTCTCTCTGGCTCTGTATTTGGGTTTGCACATAAAAAGTGTAATAATCTTTCATCTTCCAAAGTACACTCCATGGATACACCTCTGTATCTTATTTTGCAACGGATTAACCTGTTAAAGGGAAGGAGTATCCACGAAGATACTTAGAGTCCACTCCTGATTCACGAGCCAATGCGACACGCCCGGTTCTTGCAACCTGTGATTTAAAACATCAACACGATGCATACTTTAAAACAAGCAATGCTTGTCAAACTGATTCTTGTCCTAAGCACAACAACAAGACTTAGAAAACAATATATATCACAAAAAGGGTCCAGCTTTGGTTATTGATTATACAGACTTACATTTCACTCATCCGTTTCTAAGTTAACAAAGACTACAAACTCCTAAATCTTTGAACTTTATCTACACTATTGAGCCTTTAAGCTATGGCTCACAGTTTGTCCGAGAACTATTATGCGCTATTGCCTGTTTTGATCTGGATTTATGGTTCAGAAAGGCCACACGAAAGTAACTGCTTCTATGTGGAACAGCATGAGCAGAACAAAGGTATATTATAACTCTCACTTAAGAGATGAAAGTAGATTGCGAAACAAACCTCGCATATACCGTAGGGCTCCAACAACCTTTGCAGTGCAACCATCTTGTCTAGATCCCCCGTAAGCTGTATCCACAGCAAACAAATTTCAGCACCAAATCCAAAAAACTAAGGGAGAAAGGGAATAAGATGGAAAATCCATGTCTGCTTCATGTATTTTGTCAGAAAGAACTCTGAATACGTCAAACAAGTTAAAGACTTATGGAAAAATGTGAAACTTCAAAGATCTCCAATGGAAAGAATCTCTCATCTGATATGCAGTTACACCTCAAATAGAAATCCAGTTCATGAGAAATGTATTTTACCTGCAAAGTAATAGTATGATCAGATACGTCAACAGCTATTGCCCTGAAAATACTAGCAATGTCCAGGACATCTCTTCTTGCAGCAGCGTTCACAGCAATCTTAATCAGCATCAGTTCTCTTTCAGCAAATGGCAAATGAGTAAGATCATGGACCTGGAGATATCGTCACATAATTAATGACTGCTCGGGAAAAGATAGCCAAGGATAGACTCATCAAAAAACATTAAATCTGTTAAATACATTGGAAAGACAGCTGCATTTTTTTAATCCTACCTCATGCACATCTACGAGTTTATAAAGTTGCTGCACCAATTTGCTGACCGATTCATCTGTTGCAGGAACAACTGTTGTAATGCGTGAAATTCCCTCGGTTTCAGCATGTCCTACAGCCAAGCTCTAAACCAAAAAGACGATCGGTCAGTTGTATCAGTAAACTTTAAGCACACTGTGTGTACACAACACAAGAGAGAGATAAGGACTATGCCTGAATATTGTATCCTCTTCGAGCGAAAACACCAGTAACAATATTAAGGACTCCTGGAGCATCGTTTACAAGCAAAGATAAAGTATGTGACCGTAGTCCAGTCGTCTGAAATATCAGAAATGAAGAATTGTTATAACAGAAACAAAATAACCTAGAAAAACTGTCTGCTATGTAAGTATACAGATACAATCTCCGCATCTACCAAACACACTCCATGGATTTGTGTAACTAATTTGTCCATACGATATTAACAGTAAGGATTATTAAAAGTCAGACTCCCAGATAGCCTGAATGGACAGATCAGGGGAACTCTTGTGATGCAAACCACATTCTGAGAACCGCTATCATGTATGCTGCATGTTACTATTTATCAAAGTCATGGCATGCATACCTATGGCAGTATCTATAAAAGTTATAAATATCTAGCAACAAACTTTCTTACATCTTCGTCCGTGAGAAGTCCCCAGTGAGCGTCAAGAACACGATGTACCATGAGATCAGAAGTTGGCTCAACGGGATAAACATCTCCCTACATTTAAAAGCAAAGATAAGTTTTGACATTGGACGATTAACAAATTTTGTGAAGAGCACTAGTTTAGTTAGGGCCAAAAAACAAAAGGGCATTAGAATTGCATGCTGGAAGAATTTTCTCCTCTGGGAGAAGACACTATTTTGTAGTTTTTCAGCAATTTGTAAGCATATCTAGATCTGCAGACCATCAAAGATTGTGCTATTCCCCCATTGCAGTGCCAATCAATCGCAGGTAGCCACCACACAGAGGTAAAAACACAAACACTGCCCTCTATAGTTCCGTTTAAGTTTATAAAATCGCCAAATCCAAACCTTTTATGCAACCCATATCTCTGAAAGAAATTGAGGAATTTCAAGCCGAAATTATGCAATCTAATGAGGAGAGAAGCACATACCCCTGCTGTTGTTTCAATTTGAGGGACCATGGCTCCCTTTTTGCTACCTCTAAGAACACTAACAGGTGCTTGCTCCTTGAGATCTGGATAGGATGCTGCTGAAAATCGCCAAAATGGAGCAGTAGCCCCCATCTTTTCCCTTCTCAGTGCTATCTGTTGTATAAAATTGTCATTCCATTTTCCTTAAATTAGTGAGAGTCCGCGAGATTGATGTCCACTGAAAGATTTAGCTACTGCATATGTACATTATAAAGCACAAACTGGATGATATTCAAAAGCCTTAAAATCTAGTTATTTTAAAAATGCACTACCTTTCCTGTCCTGACAATCTCTCTGATCTGAAACTTTCTCAAATTTCTTTCTACAGCAATCATTTTTCCAGGATCTCCAGTTACCTGCGAGATAGCTTAAAAAATCATTACTAAATAACTAAATATTGTAAGTTAGATAAACCAAAGTTATTTATCCCACTTCCTCATAATCAAGGTAAAAAGAACAATATGTGTATGGTCTTGTTTCTCTAACTATCATAAACAACACTTAGCACTCCCTCAGAAATCATAGTGCGCAAATAAATATTGCAAACAGCACTAATCATAAGCAGATGTACCTCAATAGTCAATGCATGTTCCGCAATATCTACAATTCTTGCTCTGAATGTGTCAACTAGCCACATGATCTGTAAATTCATTCAACAGAGGCTAGTCAAAATTTGAAAGAAACCTCCACCTCAGTACTGAACCAAAAGCAACCAGGAACAGCAAGTATAGTAAACTCTAATTTCTCATAGGCAAGGAAGATTACCTCTGGCCTGGATTCTGGATGTGCATTAACTTTTACAAGCATCAGTTCACGCTCCACTTGCGGCTCACTCGAGATATCTTCAACCTAATCAGCAAGTCGAAGTCAATTCAGGAAAGGAAAAGGCATTTGCAAATATAATCTTCAACACAAATTTTTGGAGCTGCATAGCACAAATCGAAATTTTACACAATCCTACGAAGTCCACTGAATTTAGAAAGCAGTGATAAGCAAATCTGCTGATGAGTAAAGATCCTGGTGATGACACAATTATGAAGCAGAAATTGATAAGTGCGATCTAGAGAATATACAACCTTGAGAACATTAACGAGCTTCTGGAGTTGCTCGATGACCTGCTGAAGTACCCTTTCAGTCCCACAGACAACTATGGTGAATAGAGCCTTGTCTCTGTTCAGACCAACAGCAAGACTCTCGATATTGTATCCTCTCCTCGCAAAGACTCCTGCAATCCTATTAATCATTCCGCTTTCATCTCCAACAAATACTGAAATTGTGTGCTTCCTCACCCTGTTTTAACGTAAAAAGCTAAACGTTAGTGATAGACAAGGTTCAGATAAAATATCATGCTTCAAACCTATTCACATCGATAATGGAGCTAATTCTGTAAAGAAGCAATACGATCACATTTTGCAACCATCAGGTAGATATTCGGAATAGAAAACATTAAGCTCAATTTGCAGAACACCATGGAAGAAACAGAGCATAATGATGGATTTCTATACAGTTATCACAACCTCAATCAAAAGAATATTGAGCAAAGCAGGGAGGAAAAACCGTTTAATTACAAACACAATTGCATGAAAATATTAAATTTCAAAAATCGATGGAGATGCTTAAAACTACACATCAAATAGGAACGGATAATTAGGGAACGAAACAAATTCAAGCAAAGGAAACGAATTCAAAGAAATATCACAATACTTCGATTTTGGAGTTGCAGATGAAGCTTCGGAGAAAGATGGGTCAGAGATCTTCCCGTCTACGCTTCTAACGACTCCCTCCATTCTCCTACACATTTCATCGCCACGGTTCGAAGATTTACCGGATAGATAGGAAAACTTCGCCGGGAACGATACCCGCGTCGAGGATACGAGTGGGGGAGAAGAATCAGGACATGCCGATCTCAAGCATCCAATGGAAAGGGAAGAACTTGCAGAAATGGCCGCCATTGAGGAGAAGAAGCTGGAAGATTGCTACTGAGGATTGAAGACGAAGTGAAAGAGACCAAGACCACTCTCCAATTGTCAATGCAAACGCAAACGCAAACGCAAATACGCGAAGGTTTCGACTTTCGAGTGTCTATTTGTGGGTCATACATAAATGCTTTTAAAAAGCCCAAAAGGCCTCGACCGGATCAGGCCGACACGTCAGCCTTATCCACAATTTCGTTATAATAAGAATGTTTAGGGTTAATTTCATAATTATGAAACGCTTAGGGTTAATTTGACAATTTCGCAGACAAAATAATTTTATTTCCGGTAAAAGCCACCGAAATAAGTGGACGATCAAGAACAGTCCTTTTTTACGCGGGAGTTGCCAAACAATGATTGAAAGCAAAAAGTCAAATCAAAGTCAATCGGAAACAGACGTCGCCAATAATATCTTCTCCCGTGAAGTGAAATTATAAAAAAAAAATATTAATTTTCCTCGAGAACCCAACGCGCTTCAAGCGGATCTCACATAATCCTCACAGATCAAACAATTTTCTCTTTCGGAAAAAAAAATGTGATTTATCTGTTCGATTTCCTTTTTGTTTTTCTCTAAGAAGAAGACGAAATCGGTGAATAGATTTTGAAATCGAAGACCCGGAAAAGATGGCGAACATCGCGGGGCAGCTAAAACGTGGAATCTCGAGGCAATTCTCCACTGGATCGCTTCGCCGTACTCTTAGCCGTCAATTCACGCGCCAGGCATCGCACGATCCTCGCCGGAACAATATGCGATTCAGCTTCGGTCGGCAATCGTCTCTCGATCCGATTCGCCGGAGTCCAGAAGGTTCTAGCCGTCCGCAGCTCGCCGTCCCCGATAACCTCGACGCCACTATGCAGCTCCTCTTCGTGGCCTGTAGAGGAGACGTTGAAGGTGTCCAGGATCTGCTCGACGAAGGAATCGACGTCAATAGCATCGATCTCGATGGTCGAACCGCACTACACATCGCCGCTTGTGAAGGCCACGTCGACGTTGTCAAGCTTCTCCTTACTAGGAAGGCCAACATCGATGCTCGTGATCGTTGGGGAAGCACGGTAATGTGATTTTTCTCATTTTCACGACCTAATCTTTTCTCATTGCAATAAGGTTTCAGAATTGGATTTGATTAGTCGTTGTCTCTTTTAGGTTCTACTTTGTGCTTTTGATCTGAAATTTTGGTTTGGTTGCGTGGATAGGCAGCTGCTGATGCTAAGTACTATGGTAACATAGACGTTTACAACATTTTGAAAGCTCGTGGAGCCAAAGTTCCGGTATGCTTTTTCATGGATCGAGCTCTGTTCCTTTTTATATACATCACAATACGTTTAGTTAAAGTTTCTTCTTTGGTTTTAAGAGAACCAGTAGGACACCGATGGTTGTGGCGAATCCTCGTGAAGTTCCTGAATACGAGTTAAATCCACAAGAACTTCAAGTTCGGAAAGCTGATGGTATCTCAAAGGTAAGGGCTCGTTTTTTCACTTTACCATAAGAATGTCTTGGTTTCCTGCTACTGCTTCTAATAGTTTTCACTTACCAGGGAATATATCAAGTGGCTAAATGGAATGGGACTAAAGTTTTTGTAAAGATTCTTGATAAGGATCTCTACAAGGATCATGAAACCATGTACGTTTACTCTTCTCTTCGATGAGTATCTGACTAAGTTAACAAATAGGGGAAGAGTGATTTTGCATTTCTTCTTACGTTAAGCTATAGATCGTTGAAAGCATTTGTTGTGCTTATGATATGAGCTGTAAGATTATAGAACCATAGTTTGGAAAATTGCATTTTCGGTCTATTTTTCAGAATTTTACTTCATTCCCTTTGTTTTTTTACATATATTACGTTTGTTCCGCATTTATACCATCTGAATTATAATATTTACCCACAGCCAGGCTTTCAAACACGAACTTACTTTATTCGAGAAGGTTCGTCATCCTAATGTTGTGCAATTTGTTGGAGCTGTTACTCAAAATGTCCCCATGATGATTGTGTCTGAGTATCATCCTAAGGTAAGCTTCTCCCTCTTTCTACACCTTACAAAAAGGTTCCATCATAAAGCAACTTTTGGATTATAAAAAAGTAATTTCTTGGCTTGTTGGTAACTTGCAGGGTGACCTGGGGAGCTATCTTCAAAAGAAAGGACGCCTTTCTTTATCCAAAGTTCTAAGATTTGCCCTCGATATAGCCAGGCATGTGCCTTCATTTTTTACAAGATTTTATTCAAATGACAGCTGCATTTTTTTAAATCTTCTGAAGAAAATCATTTGGCTCTTCTCAGGGGAATGAACTATCTTCACGAGTGTAAACCAGAACCAGTTATCCACTGTGATCTAAAACCCAAGTAAGATAACTAAATAAAGAAGCATCTGTACGTTATTCAAGAACATATCTTTGGAATCCCCGTTATCTAATTTTTGCAACTTCTTGTAAGGTGCCAGAAATATTATGCTCGATAATGGAGGACATTTGAAAGTGGCGGGATTTGGGTTGATTAGTTTTGCAAAGTTATCATCTGATAAATCAAGAATCCTTAATCACGCGGCACATATAGACCCTTCAAGTGAGTGCTAAATGCTTAATTCCTTCTGGCTACCCAAAAGAAATGTACATATGTTATATCATCTGATAAATTTAGAATCCCAACCCAAAGGGTCACGTTTGGGACTCTCGACAGAGAAATAGTCATAAGAATGATTGATTTCATGAGCCACTTGTTCGCAGATTACTGTGTGGCACCTGAGGTTTACAGAGATGACATATTTGACAGGAGTGTGGATTCATACTCTTTTGGTGTCGTACTATATGAGGTAGATACCACCTTATGGTTACCCTTAATATCAAATATTCGTGATCCTCTGCATTTCTTGATGGTTGTATCCAGTCTGGATTCTAATCCATTCATTCCTTTAGATTCTCTCTAAAGTACTTCGTTCTGTTTTTCAGCCATTCTAGTTGATATGTTTTTTCTAGCATCGAGGCCAATAAGCTTTTCTAAGAAATTCTCATTGAAGCAGTATTTTTATCTTAAATAAAATTCAGATGATTGAAGGAGTACAACCATTCCATCCCAAGCCCCCAGAAGAGGCGGTGAAGCTAATGTGTTTGGAAGGAAGAAGACCTTCGTTTAAGGCCAAGTCCAAAAGTTGTCCGCAAGAGTTGAGAGAGTATGTGTACTATTCTTTATCAACTCTGTTTTTTTTTTTCTTTTTGCACTTAGTGTACAGTAACATCATTTGTTTGGTCCTTGATCCTTTACCCAACAACCTCTTTCAACTCATTGGTTCAATTGTTACATAAACAGATTGATTGAGGAGTGCTGGGATACGGAAACTTTTGTTAGGCCGACATTTTCTGAGATCATAGTTCGATTGGACAAGATCTTTGTACACTGCTCAAAACAGGGATGGTGGAAAGATACATTCAAGTTACCTTGGTAAAAACCCTTCTCTTAACAACTCTTTATCATTTCTGTGTTTGCATCTATGGTTTCACCTTAGTTAAGCCATAACGGACTAGAGCCAAGCTCTCACATATACGATGAGTTTGTTTCTCAACCAAAAGCATGATTTCTCAGGAAATAGTACAAAATACCGGGAGAGGTTTGACTCAGAAACACGAGGAACTCAGCAATACAAGAGCTTTCTTCTCATGTTTACAATAAAATCGGTACAAAGAATACAAAAAGAAACGGCACTCTTCCATTTGCCACTTTCTTATCGTGTAACAATGTATAATGTGTACTAAAGTACTTCATCGAGCTATATAGACTTCTCTAATGAACAGAACTGAGCATTTTGAGCTACAATGTATCATATTCATGTAAGTAGCAAGAAAGCTCTTTGTTTTTGTTATGTCTCAAAGTCAAAGGTCTCTTCTTTTATAACACAACATTTCATATATTGATTTGTTTGCAGGTGATAACCAACGAAGCCAAAAGGATCACTCAGAATTTAACCGACATAGAAGTCGTTATTAGGTAATAAACTAACAAACTGACAACAATCCAAACATCTCAGTTTCCATATTCTCAAGTCAAAATAGCAACAAACTCATCAATGTTCTTGTCGGAAGTACCTCCTTCGGAGATAGCCTCACGAGCCAACACCTTTAACTTCTCAACATTCTTCCTCATCTCTTTCCCTTTCTCTCCTTCCATAACCTCAACAATGCATCTCGCAATCTCTTCCTTACTCACAAACCCTTCTTCATCAGTCTTTACTCTAACCCCAATCTTCCACACATCCTCTATAAACTTCGCATTCGTGGGCTGATCCGTCCACTGAGGCATCCCCACCAAAGGAATCCCTAAGCATAGTGCCTCCAATGTCGAGTTCCATCCACAATGTGTCACGAAACATCCAATTGAGTCATGTGCTAAAACCTCTAGCTGAGGAATCCACTTAGCCACCAGTCCACAGTCTTTCTCCAAAGCTTCTTCCACAAAACCAGACGGTAACTTGCTTCTCTCGGAATCTCGAACAGACCACAAGAAATTGTATCCGGTTTGTCTAATCGCCAATGCGGTTTCCTTCATCTGCTTCTCACTCAAAGCCACCAATGTCCCAAACGCCACGTAAACCACCGACTTCGCCGGTTTATTCGCCAGCCAACTCAAAACAGACTCGTCCGGCTCCGTCTTGAAATCTCCGAGGTCGTAATCTTTGTCTTCCGGCAACCGGTTATCCAAGAATCTGGACGGAACAACCGGTCCAATGTTCTTCACCGGCCACTGATCATTCATCCATTTCACTACCTGTGAAAAGAAAAGACGTTCCACAAAACTATCTACGAAACTATCCTTCTCAAAACTCAGATACATAAAACCAAAAACAATATAAATCGTAAGCTATAACCTTACCTTAGGTTCAAGTTGATCAAAAGTGTTGCAAAGAATGCAATCAGCTCGGCGCAAGTTAGAGAATTGGCTAACCACAATGTCGTATAATAAAGGGTAAGACCCTTTTTCGCAGGCGAACGAAGGAAGATCATTTTGGCTTAGCAATGGGAAAGCCGGAAACGATGCAAGCGTCGGGTTCTCGTGTCTATCATCGGGAACATCGTAGGTACCTTCGTTGATGTGGTAGTAAATAAGACTAGCCAACCATGGTTGAGTGAAATAGGCCACAACGTATAGACCCAAGTCCTTGGCTACGTCCAATGCAAAGGGTACAAATGGATCATAGATCAGAGCCTTTGGAGGATTGTCCGATAACTTCAACCTACATATATGACACTAGTGCTGAATAACAACTTTGCATGTAATAATCAGGAAAACGCTAACGAAAGGTTTAATTTAAATAGATATATATATATAACATCTTCTTTTATTAAGTATGGCCAACCACGATTTCCCAATGATGTATCTATAAGACTATAACCATTAAACAACCATAAGTGGTGAAAGCACCTATTAAAATCCAACACTTCAAAAAAAAAAAAAAAAAAAACTATATGGTAAAAAAGGAAAGGAGAGTTGCATTTTTGATAGGTGAAAAAGTGATAAATCTTTGATAATCGCTTAAGATAGCTTGGTTAATAATAAAGAAAGAAAAAAGTCAGTCATAGTCGTTATTGACAAAAATAGAAATCCTACGTCAGAACATTTTGGATATATGGCTTTCAAGTTTTCGACTTTAGGAGAAAGAAGAAGATAGGGATTTTTTTTCTGTCATTGAATTTCAGGACATTGTTATAGATAAGATCGGTAAAATGGCCTCTAAAAAGCCATAAATAACTAGGGATGTCAAAGTGAAAAAGTTCAATAACTTGTACCTAGAGATAAAATCGGTGAGGCTACGAGTAGTAGAGTCGGTAAAACGTTTAGGATCTTTGAACTTGGTATGAGGATGCTCGTGGGGAAGGAAACCGTCGTGGATGGTGTGGACGGTGATGGAGTAGTCGTCGGAAGTGTAAGGTTCACGGTGGTTGTTGGAGGCGATGATGAGTGAGACAGTGAGTCCCTTTTTGGATAAGCGTTTAGAGAGTTGGGTCATTGGATTAATGTGGCCTTGTAGTGGATATGGAAAAAACAGAACGTGACCCTTTGCTTCACTCATTTGGGGTATGTTCTTGTTGAGAGCTGAGAAATAATATCTAAGGGTGGTATAATTCGACTGTCTCCTATGTTCGAGGGTATTATAGTATTTATATGTCTCGTTATTTACAATGTTGGATCAACTCATCAAAGTTAGTAAATTTAATCAGAGTATGTGTCAATTATTTTTTCGTTTCTTTTTTAACTAGGTCGGGTCTAAATTGTGAAGGAATGTTTCATTATTTATGTGTTGATGTTTTTGTTTGGGAATAAGTTTATATGCAATGTGAGAGTATTTACTTTGTTTGTTTTAGGATTGACTTCATTGATATGTATTTGGTTGAATCAATTTGGTGTGATATATGTTTAATCTTCAAGTTTCATCATGATAATCAAAAAATTCTAATGGTAAAAGAAGTTTTTTACTAAGCATGTAATAAAAACGTGGAAGGAAATTAGGTGGGTGGGTATCAAAAAATACTTTATTTTCATTATTTTCTCCTTTTTTGTGTGCACCATGTTGTTTCAAAGGACCTCAAAACAGTTGTGGACTAGCTAACTTTAAAAAAGGGTAATGGTCAAGTAAAAAGATATATAATGTTACAATTTATCTTCTATATATGGATACTTAACTAAGTTCTCCCAATTCCCATAGAACTTTGTCGAAACTAAAAGATCGAATTCCATCTATGTACAGCGATTTGTTGGTCCGTCTCTAGACTTTTGAGTGTTTTAGAAAATCTCATATTCTACTGCTATCAGAACTTCTGGCCGCGGGATTAATATGACTTTCAATCCAAAATTTTCCAATTATTGAACAAATCATCTGCTCTTGGCCAAGATGAAACTAAGCAGAAAAGACACTGGTTTTGGTTCACCAAAATTGCAGTACATGATGCAAAGAGTAGGCATTCAACGTAAAAAAAAAAACAATGCAAAAACATAAAACTGAAACTGAGAGATCTCTCAGTTGTACCTCTTGGCTTCCTTAGACCCTTGTCACCAACTTCTGCCTCTTGGAAGAAGCTTTAGAGCCTGTCTTTTGTCTTTTGGTAGAAGATTTGATGCTCTGATCATTGTGTTCAACATCAGCAAGACCATTCTCAAAAGCTTTCACCAGATTTTCGAAGTAGGTTTTGGTTACTTTAGTCAAACCAATTATTTTCCTTCGGAACTCATCGAAATTTTGAGATGGATCATTAGTTCCATAGACAAACTGTCCCAACTCCATCTCTGCACAATGATGAAGCCTCTCCAAACCATCTTCAGCCTCCCTTGCAAAAACTCGAATAATTGTTTCTTGGCATATTCTTTCTGAGGAAGGTAGTATCCATATGCATATGTCCATTTCAACACCCTCCTACATTCGATGATCTGCGCAATCGTATAATCAATCAAATTAATTAAAACATCGTTCTATCTAAGGAATATAATGTACAAAAGTCTCACTTATAGTCTCATAACTAACTCCCAAAATAGTAGAAAGATTACAAGTTTTTACCATTCACGCTCTTTAGAGAAATTAAGCATTCTTCTATTCATTGATTCCACAAGATTTATACCAATATATAATTTTGAAACCGTGTCTTGTTTTCAGTTTACTCAAATATTTTCCATCTATATTCCATTCTCACATATCAAAAAAAAAAGAATCAATTTCTAGCGTATATGGCAATGTTAACAATCAGAGGCTTAGTTGTTTACTAAGTACTAACCTGAAGCCATGCCTCTACAGTGAATTGGAGTTGAGTTTCTGGTGTGGACTGTTTGACACTAAGCTTCTTAAGCTGAACCAATCGCAATTTCTGAAAATCTCCCATAGCCTTTAGCCTCGACGATTCATTGCTTTTCCATCTTTCATAATAATGCGTGTATCTAACAATCGCATTTTTTGCCATGATTCTCTTCTTCTCATCCTCATTAGAACCCTTAAACTTGTGGCAGTTCAAGTGCTCACGACCAAGAGGTCCAAGACAAAGCCAACAAAAGTGATGTTTACAAATGGATCACATCATATGGCTACATCCCTGGTTCTTCTGGATATTACGCTTGCACTTAGGACAAGGCTTTGTATTCACAAGTATCCAGTTCGTGTTCTCTGATTCATCTCTGTTCTTAAGAACCCATTTTGACACCGTCTTGCAATCCACAGGACGGTGAGCATCTTCACTACAGTTCCAGCAAAACTCATGAGAACACAAACAAGAAACATCATACTTGTCACTTCCACCTCCAAAATCAATCGCGTATTCGCATCCTGGTGATGGACACCATTTGATCTTTTTCCCGCTAGCTTCAACATAAGACCTTGAAAAAAAAACTATAATACTTGTCCTTATCTTTTTTCTTGGTTATAACCTTATTGACCATATCTTGACCTACCACAGCAGAACAAGAAGGCTCAGGACATTTAACCATCAAACATGCTTGACCATCTTCGATTTTCGCAGTGATGTAACCTCTCCAACAAGTTTTGCAAAAAGGATGACCACAAGAAACCCTAGCGATTTCCTTTGGACGATACGATTCAAAGCAAATCCCACAATCAATTTTCTTCACTTCTTTGTCATTAACATCATCAACGACAGGCTCCTTCAATAAACCAACGATTTTACGGACTCTCTCTTCGTCCGTAAACCATTCATCTTCAACTTTACAAACACTCCACTGATAATGAAGAAGCAATCGCTTCGGCTTGGCTTATAGAGAGAATCGTAGAAACTCGTTCAATATTGTCTCTTTGATGCTTTCGAATATCTTCGTCGCTGAGAACTACGTAACTTACCTGAGAGCGTTTTGATGTTTCCTCGGCGAATCCGTAATCCATATCGGACCCTTCGTCATTGTACAAACTATCCTCCCCTGACTCGATGTCGAGTATGTCATCCTCGGAATAATCCATGATCTGAGTGATAGGAGAAAACCCTAAAAACGGCTTTGAGATTTATATGACGCAGACAAAACTTAACCCTAGCCTTGTGGCCCCTAATTATTATTACTAGATTTTGGGGAAATCATATTTTAAACTCTTAATTATTTTAAATTAGATATATTATATATAACAAAAAGTATGCGTAGATGTAAATATTCAATTTTTTTAAAAAATAAAAAATAACTATTATTGTAAAAAAAATCAATAAATATACATCTATATAAAAGTTAATTATTTTTTTTTAAGAGACAATAACGGGTTTCATTTCATACGTCAAAGAAAGTGTTCTTGCAATGACTTGTGGTGATTACATAAGTAAAAAATATGAAGCATTCATTTCATTGTCTATATAGTTAACTAACATAGAGACTTATATAATTAAACTTCAATCGTTGAAAGGATGAATTATTGAGACAAACTAGATAGAAGAAAAAAGGTGTTCAAGATCACTTGTTCATGTTCGAGGTGGCGCAGGAGTGATTGAGTCGATAAACGAGTGATACATAGGATCAGATCCCCAAAGACGAGCAAGTTCAAAACGAGAAGAAGTGAGACGATGGATTTCTTCAACGAACCAGATGGTAGCTTCAGCATTCGAAGGATGAATGATTGAATCCAAACACTGGTCTTCAGAATCAGAACCGACTCTTGATTGATCCCAACGTTGTAAGAGAACGTTGGTGAGGTAATGTAAAGGCTGACCATAAAGCTCCTTGATTGAGTTACCTAATCCAACCCAGCTCGTGAACGGAATCACCGAACAGCGATTTGTCGGGATCGGAAATCGCCTCATGTAATCTTGATACATCTCTGCTCTCCTCATCAGCAATGAATCTTCTTCTTCGACGACTCTGTGAGAGACTCTGTGAGAGACTCTGTGAGATCTATCGGGCGGTGTAAACACTGAAATGGCATCGCTGATCTCAGCTTCAGAGAGACCGGTAACATCTGACGGTGGGGGATTCATCGTCACTACACTTTGGTCCGATGAGTTATCTCAAAGTACGTGTGATGTCTTAAAGCTTTTATAAGCAACGAGGATAACTATCAGAGAATATTCATAACCAATAGACTTTCTCCACGTGTTTTTCATCTTCAAAACTGAAAGTAACCACATCTTTTAACTAGTCAATCACGTAACTATTTTTACCATATATATTAGTCTTTCTCATAACTATTAGTACCATTTATGGTGCAAAAATCTTTAAAAAGTGCAACAAATTCAGAAAACAAAACATTTCTGGTTTAAATGTTTAAGTCTAAGATATTGTCTACATTAATAGATTTTTTTTAAAATGTTTTCATTAATGGAATCATTAAAAAGGAAAATTGGAAGTCAAAGAAGGAGATGAAGAACTTGCTAGTTTTTTTTTTTTCTCTTCTTTGACTATCCTGATCACCAATCTCGCTAGTGATATCTAAGACATGTATTCTCTTCAACGAGCATGAGGTATCTCTCGATCGTCTTCTTTCGGCTTCTCAAGCGAGTCGGCTTCTCGTTTTGGGCTTTCTCTAGTTGTAACTTAATTTGGTTTTATATAATATTTTACCCCAAAAAAAAACTTTGGTTCTCTATGGGATTATTGAGCTTGTTAAACAATGGACTATATTGTTACTTTTCATTTTTTTAATGCATTAAAAAAAAGGGTGTTACATGTGAAAGCGATAAACGTGATTTTGGAATTAAGTTGTAACAATTTATAATGCTATCACCAATCACAAAAAACACAAATAAAAACCGCAGAAAACTTAAAACTTTTTCCTTCTCCAATCATTTTTTATCACGTTGTTCATACCACAAACAACTCCGAAACAACAACAAAAAAAAAAATTACATTATAAATATTTTAGTTCATCTAAAACTCCCAACACACATTATTAAGCATATCACATGTTGTTATGATCAGTTTACCTAGCAATTTTAGCAACAAACTCATCAATATTCTTATCAGAGTTTCCTCCTTCAGACAATGCTTCTTTTGCAAACTCCATCAATCTCTCAGCATTCTTTCTTATCTCTTTCCCTTTCTCCGACTTCTCCTCCATTACTTCTCCAACACATCTCAAAATCTCTTCCTTCGTCACAAAACCATCTTTATCTGCCTTAACCCTAACCCCAACCTTCCACACATCCTCTATAAACTTAGCATTAGTTGGCTGATCGCTATAAGCTGGCATTCCAATCAAAGCCACTCCTAAACTTAAAGCCTCTAAAGTCGAATTCCACCCACAATGCGTCATGAAACATCCGATCGATTTATGCGCAAGAACTTGTAACTGAGGACTCCAACTCACTATCAATCCTTTCTCACCAAGTTCCTCTATGTAATTGCTTGGGAGCTTCTTTGTCTCTGTTTCTCTAACCACCCATAAGAAGTTATGCTTGGTTTGTTTTAGACCGGCCGCTACTTCAAGCATTTGATCGTCTTTTAGAACCGCTAAGCTTCCAAAGGAGACGTAGATCACTGAACCAGGCGGTTTTGAGTCAAGCCAATCAAGGCATTCGTTGACTTGAGCATTGAAGAGGCTGATACCGTACTCTTTGTCGCCTTCTAATCGTTTGTCTAAGTACATTGATGGAATCATTGGTCCTATGTTCTTGACCTGCCATTGCTTCTTCATCCATTCTAGCACCTGAGAAAGAAAAATGGGATTTCAGTAATACATGCAATAGAAGAAACGTTAGTATAGCTTGATTGCACATTGTGATAAACTTTTAGTTTTTTTAATCCAAAAGAAATTGTAAGTTGTTAATGCAAACAATTTTGAAAGCTAATTGGCGTACCCATATTCATTCTTTAAAGTTATATATCAGCCTCTTTTTTTCTATTTTTTCACATCAACCTTTTATTTTCTAAAAACAAGGAAACCAATTTCGTTTTGATACTGATGGATAGCCAGAAACTCATACCCCAAAAGGACATTCTAAGAAGATTTGGGTAAATGTTTCAAACCAAACAGGCCTGACCTACCCTAAAAGTTCCCGGGTTAAAATTATTTACCACTTTGAACCAAACATGATCCTGTTCTCTTAATCTCATTTTTCGGCATAAGAATGAAAATCATGAACTAAGTGTCAGTTTGAGTACTAATGGTGGGAGAAAAAAACTAATTAACCTGTAAATTATGGATCTTATAGTAAGAAAGAAAATAAGATACATTTTTTTGTGTTAAAGAAAAAAAAGATAGTTATTTGACCTGATCCAATAATGGATCCTTCTTTTTTGTGTAACAATAATGGATCATCAATGTACCAAATCTTACTAATAAAACGTTTTTATGCAAAATCTCAATATCACACATGCATGTCCCAGTGTATACTAAAAGTCTAAAATAATCAAAAGGTGTAGGGCGCGACACGTATAATTAAAGATAATATTCGTTTTCTGGCTACATATTTGCCACGTTAATAAGTTAAAACCCCATCGCAAATAATCTGCACCTGGGGCAGTGCGCCCAATCGTTATCTTTGTGTGCAGTGATGAATTATGTTTTTCTATTTGTCGCTGATAATAAAATAAGTATGCAACAAAACTCTACCAAAAAAATAATAATAATAATATACTAATTAACAATAATTACCTCGACTTCGAGTTCGTCGAAAGAGTTAACCAAGAAGAAGTCAATGTCGTCAACATTCACAAACTGGCTACTAATGAGCTCAAACAACGGCCGGCAAAGATTATTGTCGTACAAAAACACCGGCAAGTCACTACCTTTCAACGGTGGCATCGCAGCCAAAACGACATCGTCTTGAAACTCCTTAAACTCTCCACGCAAGAAATGAACGTAAATCGCGTTCACGGTGGAGCACTGAGTGAAAAACGACGCCGCAGCGACGCCGGGATGTTTCCGGCAAACGTCAAGAACCCAAGGCGTACAAGAATCGTAAACGACGGCGTTTGGTTTGGGTTCCATCGAGGAGATAAGCTGAGAGAGGCTTCGAGAGACGTTTTCTTCGAACTTTGCGAAGTAGTCGGGAGATGTGTCGGTTGATGGATGGCCTTCCTCGAAGCCGTCGTCGATAGGGACGAAAGTGAGCGGAAGAGCGGTGGCTCCGCCGGCGATGGCACGACGGAGGATGGTGTTGTGTGTGGAGGAAGTGGTGAGGAATGTGACGGCGACGTTTTTGGAGATTAGACGTTTTGAGAATTGGAGAAGAGGGTTTATGTGTCCTTGTATCGGAAATGAGAAGACTAACACTTTTGCTTTCGCATTTTCTCCCATTTTTTCTCTCTTCTTTCTTTCTTCTTCTCTTTTTTACTTTCAAGATTTTGATGCTGTTGTTGATAACACTCTATAGCTGTGGACTCTGTGGTGGAGAGAGATTATATAATAGAGTCATATATCGAATATATCATTTATGTAACGTTTTATATCAAAATATTTGTTTCTATATGCTTCTCTAACCAAAAAAAAAAAAGCAGATAAAAAGGGATTGGTGGGTTAGTGATATAGTGTAAAAAGAGTGTTGGTGTAAGAAAGAAAAAGAGAATTATTTGGCTGTGAGTTAGGTTGTGATGGTATATCAATGTATACACCTTTTACAATAGTTAGGTATGCTCTATCAATACAGTAAAATCTGACACGGCCACAATATAGTTCCATTGTTGCCTCCTCAAACCATTTCTTCCGTTGAGTTTACATTGAATTTAACGAATTTATGTTTGGTTTACAATGAATAAGAGTTTTGCCTTCCTCTATTGTATTGTTAGTTAATACCTGGACTGCTATTGCCTGTTTGATAATTAAACCTGCTATAGATTTGGATTACTTTTTGTTCACGATTTTCCATACTTATACGTAAGAATTAAGAGTTATCATGTGAAAATTATTTTACGCAACAAAGTTCAAAATAACAATGTTGATGGGTCAATAGTAAATGTTTGTTGTTTATGTTGAGACGAAAGACACGTGACATGACATACCAGTTCAAAAACTCTTGTCATATTTACCAGGAGAAGCACTGCCATCAAATTATAGCGGTTGATGTCATTGCTTATGTAAGCAAGTACCGAACACTTTTAAACCAAAAAAATCACTCAAAGTCATTCAATCTGGCCCCTCGTAGTTAGGTGCCAAACTTGGTATATACCATATTAGCTCTATACCAAACGAAATATTTAGTTTTTACTGAGAACTAAATCATTGTGTTGGACCATTTTAGGGCTTTGGTCTAGATATTAATTCTGTGGTGATTTTGTAGGCAACTCAGTGTTAAAGAACTTGCTCAGTCCAAAAGTAAAATCTGTGGTGATTTTGTAGAAAACTCCTCTTAAAAAATCTGGTCAGTCCAAAAGTAGTCAGCTTTGATTAAATGTCGGTTTTGGGAAATAGATAACTCGATATTTGATAAATTCTATAATAAACTAATAATATTTTGACTATCATATTTTGTGAATTTATAGATTTGTTAAGTTAGAGAAAATTTGGTTTCAACCCATTCTTTACTTCAATGCTTTCCTCATTAGGATATTTGACACACATACCTACCTGATTTCAGTTCAGAATTCAGATAATTCATTCATAATGGATCCATCAAAACTACTGTACATATGAGGCCAAATCCTTCTCTTGCACAATCTCTAGTCCAATTGAAGCCAACTAGCTAAACAAGCCCATATCATGGATCGTATTTTTGGTTAGCTATCCGGTTAGGTTTGGTTTACTTTGATTTGTTTCGGCTAATGATTTTCTTGAACCAAAATTAAACCGTACTCCGGCTCCAGCCTCGCCCACCTCCAAGCTCCGTCACTGTAGCCAGTGAGATAGAGAGTTTTCGTAAATCCTTAGACGAGAAATTAGGGTTTTAGGGGAATTCCATCGCAGATATGGGGAAGAAGAAAGGTAGCAAAGCAGCTTCTTCAGATGATTTCCTACAAACCCTCGAAGACTTCACAAGCAAAGAGAATTGGGATAAATTCTTCACTCTCAGAGGCAACGACGACTCTTTCGAGTGGTATGCTGAGTGGCCTCAGCTCCGTGACTCGCTGTTACCTCTACTCCGAGATTCGTCCTCTTCCTCTTCTTCTTCTTCTGGGTCGCTTCAGATTTTGGTTCCCGGATGCGGAAACTCCCGCCTTTCCGAGCATTTGTACGATTCTGGATTCCGGGACATCACCAATGTCGACTTCTCCAAGGTTGTTATCTCCGATATGCTTCGCCGCAACATAAGGACTCGGCCTGAGCTTCGTTGGCGAGTTATGGACATAACGAAGATGCAGGTTTTGAAACTTTTGTGCTCTGTTTTCCTTTCTTCTAGCTTCTCGTTGTGCTCTCTCATTAAGACCAGCTTTTTTACTTCTCTTGCCTAGTTGGCCGATGAATCTTTTGATACGGTTCTAGATAAAGGTGCTCTTGATGCATTAATGGAGCCAGAAGTTGGTACGAAGCTAGGAAATCAATACTTATCAGAGGTGCGTGCTTCTTCTTCTTCATATTTACATTCCAATAAAATGATTGTAGGATCAAGTTGTGTGCTTGAAATGCTTAAATTCGAAGTCGAATTAGATCATCAAGTACCTCTTTTCTCAGGCCAAGCGGCTTTTGAAACCTGGGGGGAAGTTTATTTGTCTAACGCTTGCAGAATCTCATGTCTTAGGTACTTCCACCACCTTATATTTTGTTACCTGGTTGTCGTTTTTCTCCATTATATTGAAATTCCTAGTATTTTTGCAGCATTGCTTTTTTCAAGATTTCGTTTTGGTTGGAAGATGACTGTTCATTCAATCTCTCAAAAGCGATCGAATCTTAAGACATTTATGGTGGTTGCTGAAAAAGAAAAGTCCATTGTATTGCATGAGATAACCTCTTCTTTCGATCTTTTATCTCTTGGCCGCAATGATAGTCAGGTACGACTTTCCTGAACCTAAATTTCATCCAAATTATATGAATTTTTTTCACTGATCTTTTCTTCCACTTAACTAAGACTATAAATGTGGATATCTTTTTCACATTCACCTATTGTTAATTGAAACCACCGTTCACTTCATATATTTGTTTTCCACTCTTTGCTCTTATCCAATGTAAGATATGGTGTTGAATTATTATTATAGGCTTCTGGTATGTGTGAAGCCCTTGAGAGTGAAAACAAGATACGTAGAGACTGCAATAATGGCTCAGACTTACTGTACTCTCATGAGGATTTGAAACTTGGTATTAAAGGAGATTTAACAGAGCTTGTTGGAGGTCGCCGTATAAAATTTACTTTGGGTTGCCAAGGAAGCAATTTTAGCTATAGGGCCGTGCTTCTTGATGCTCAGAAGCAGACCGAACCGTTCGTGTATCATTGTGGTGTTTTTCTTGTTCCCAAGGTAAGCTCTGTCAACATCATCCTTCAATTTAAGTTCGCAAAAAGTGACGTGAATGTTTAGTAAGATTTCGTTTGAACTATTAAAAGGAGTTTTAAATTTCAGACTCGTGCTCATGAGTGGCTGTTCTGTTCAGAGGAAGGACAGTGGCAGGTTGTCGAGAGTTCTAAGGCCGCTCGTCTCATAATGGTAAGCTCTATATGATAAATCCTCTCTGTATTCACCATGTTATCTCGGTGATTTATTCGTCGTATGAGATTTTAAACAAACCTTAATTTCCTTGTGTAAGGTTTATCTCGACAGTAGCCATAGTGGCGCCAGCATGGAGGATATCCAGGTACAATCTGCTTATTTAGTTGTCTGGTGAATCGTGTAATGTACTCATTTGTTAATTTATCTTGTAACCTTGTTCCCCTCAGAATGATTTATCTCCCATGGTGACACAATTAGCTCCTAGAAATGATGATGAAGGAGCTCGCATTCCGTACGTTAATTTTTCCTTTTTCTGTATATCTCGATCCTTTTGATGCAAAAGTTGATATTTTTCTTAAAATTTCTTAATTATTCAAGAATTCTAAATTTCAACATCTGTTTTCATATTATTTTTCTCATTAGCGCTTGTTAATTAGTAGTTGCATTGGCCTGGTGTTGTAGGTATATGATGGCAAGTGATGGGATCAAAAATCGTACTACTGTCCACGAGGTGTTATTACTATATATGTCCAAGAAATCAGTTTAAATTTTGTTGTCACTTCCATTTCTTTTTTTTTATATGATCATTGTTTCTGTTATTGATCTCCGCGATCAGACCTTTTTTATCTACCGGTTTTCTTACAATTCATCTCGGTTTATATAGGTTACGTCCTCCTTGACTGGGCAAGTGGTCGTTGAAGATGTGGTTTACGAAAGCACTCCTAGTAATCCCGGAGGCTTATCTCCTTCTGATGAAATGGCATTTCGACGCCTTGTATTCAAAAGAACCGAGTATTTGATACAGTCTGAAGCTTTGCTTGTGGAGGATGGTGAGAGTATTGATCAATCTCAAAAAGAGGGAACCAAAAATGTTACCCAATCAAAACGAAAGGGAAATAGAAGACGAAACCAAGGTAAAAAGTCTTACTTCTTTAGGTGTTGTGATACAGACATTGCACATGAGAAATTTCATCATGTTCTTTTCTTTGTTTGTATTCATTTCAGAACCGAGCGGACCTATTATGAGGGTCTCTCATGATTATTTGGCTAGCTCTTACCACGCTGGAATTATTTCCGGATTCACATTGGTATCTTCCTACCTGAAGAAGGCTGAATCGAGTGGAAAGATGGTGAGGTTCATTTGAGGTTCTTGATAAGTTCATTGTACAAGAATTACTGATCCTGCAAATGTTCTGATGATTTTCAGGTTAAGACTGTTATAATTGGTCTTGGAGCAGGATTACTTCCCATGTTCCTCCATGGATGCTTTCCATTTTTCGATATCCAGGTAAGAAAGATCAATAAAGCTGAGTATTTTCGATTGCCATTTATGTGATGGTATCTCGTTGAATAGGCGGTTGAGCTTGACCCGGTAACGCTTAGCGTTGGCAAGAATTACTTTAGTTTCACACAAAATGATCGCTTGAAGGTAAATCCCTTCTCTTTATTACAAAAGTACCAATCTTTGTCATGTTTTATACTAAATGATCACCACTCAGCCTTTTTTCCCATTCTTATAATATAGGTGCATATTGCTGATGGGATCAAATACATTGGAGATATAGCAAACTCTGAATCTTCTTCCATTCCTGACATTCTGATTATAGATGTGGATTCAGCAGATTCAAGGTAAGCACAAGGCCAACTAATATTATATTTATATGACGTTTCCCCATAGAAATTACATTGATCTGCTGTTTTGATTCTGTGTCTGCAGCGGCGGGTTAACCTGTCCTGCATCAGAGTTTATCGAAGAGACGTTTCTTCGATTGGTTAAGCGTGCTCTACCTCAGCACGGTCTTTTTGTCGTGAACTTGGTCTCGAGGTCACAATCTGTCAAAGATATGGTAGTATCTAGAATGAAAAAGGTAAAAGCAAATGTGATTCGATTCTTGTGAAATGATTTGATTCTTGTGAAATGATTTGATTCTTGTGAAATGTGTGCATATTTTCGCGATTTGATCTCTCTGGTTTTTTTGTATATTTCAAGGTTTTTGATCACTTGTTCAGCCTGCAACTAGAAGAGGAAGATGACGTAAACGTGGTGCTCTTTGGGCTTTGCTCTGAATCTGTAATCGGTGAGAGCGAAATCCCAGAATCTGCAGTTATACTGGAGGGATTGCTCAAGTGCCAGAGATTGGAAACGAAGCAAAGCATCATTGACGCTACAAACAAGTTGAAATGCTGGAAATGAATCAACAAACTTATAGCTATTATTTTTGAAAAAAGTTATTCTTCATGTTTTAAAAACTTATATGTTTCCGTTACAAGTTGTGATTGGAAATTTTGAGTTGAATAAATTTTATAATGTTGTGAAAACTTAGAAACTTTATTAATCACTGGAATGTATATATAGAGTACATAGGGAATCTAGGTTAAGTACAATGCCCTGATGGGTCTAATGGGCCGGTATAAGAGTCCATATATGATATGTGTTATAACACTCCCCCTTGGACGAGTGAACCGGGTCAGCTACTCAATCGGGATCTCGATAATGCGCTGGGGAATGTTGCCTCATTAAAACCTTACCAGGAAAAACCCAGTGGGACAAAACCATGGTGAAGGAAAAAGAGTACAACACGCATTACTCCCCCTGATTGTAGCATCACTGCAGATCTCTAAGTCTATACATTCCTATCTGTTTGACGAGCTTCCGGTGTGTTGAAGTAGGCAATGATTTGGTGAAGAGGTCAGCTGAATTCTCACTGGATCGGACCTGCTGAACGCTGAGAGTGCCGTCCTTCTGCCAGTCTGAGGTTGAGAAGAACTTCGGTAGAATGTGCTTCGTCCGATCTCCTTTGATATATCCTTCCTTGAGCTGAGCTATGCATGCCGCGTTGTCTTCATACATCACCGTGGGCTGTGTGTCTTCGTCCATACCACAATCTCTGCGAATGTGCTGAGTCATGGAGCGCAGCCAGACGCATTCCCTACTAGCCTCATGAATGGCTAGGATTTCAGCATGGTTTGATGAAGTGGCAGTGAGTGTCTGCTTCATTGATCTCCAAGAGATGGCTGTTCCTCCATGCGTAAAAACGTAGCCAGTTTGAGACTTGGCAGTGTGCGAATCTGATAGATATCCTGCATCGGCGAAGCCGACTAACCCATCTTTATTTTGGTTAGTATAGAAGAGTCCTAAGTCTTGAGTACCTCGAAGGTATCTTAGGAGATGTTTTATACCGTTCCAGTGCCTCTGAGTTGGAGATGAACTATATCGAGCGAGGAGGTTCACGGCGAAACATATGTCTGGTCTAGTGTGACTAGCCAGGTACATTAACGCTCCTACAGCACTGAGGTATGGCTTTTCAGGACCAAGGATTTTTTCATCATCCTTTTTGGGACCAAGAGGGTCATCAATTAAGCTTCTAACTACCATTGGGCTGGTCAATGGGTGAGCTTGGTCCATATTAAATCGCTTGAGTACCTTTTCGATATAAGCCGATTGATGCACAAGGATTCCTCCTTTGATGTACTCAAGTTGTAATCCCAAACAGTACTTTGTTTTGCCTAGGTCTTTCATTTCGAATTCTGCTTTTAAGCAGTCGACTGTTTGGGAGATCTCACCAGATGTTCCGAGGATGTTTAGATCATCCACGTATACTGCTATGATTACAAATCCTTTGTTTGAGTACTTCTTGATGAAGATGCATGGACTGATGGGGTCATTTTTGTAGCCTTCTTTGATGAGGTAATCGCTGAGGCGGTTGTACCACATACGCCCACTTTGTTTCAATCCATACAAGGATTTGTTCAGCCTGATGCAGTATTGATCTCGAGATGCATTTTTTGTCTTTTAGTTCAATGCCATCTGGGAGTCTCATATATATTTCGTTGTCCAGGGGCCCATAGAGATATGCGGTTACAACATCCATTAACCGCAGATCAAGATTTTCTCTTATGGCCAGACTTATGAGGAATCGGAATGTTGTTGCATCCACCACTGGAGAATAAGTCTCCTCATAATCGATTCCGGGTCTCTGTGAGAATCCTTGTGCTACAAGCCGTGCTTTGTATCGAACGACTTCACCGAGTTCGTTCCTTTTGCGCACAAAGACCCATTTGTGGCCCACTGGCTTGATGTGTGATGGGGTCCGGATGATCGGACCGAACACGTTTCTGAGTTTGAGACTCTTTAACTTCACGTTTATGGCTTCTTTCCATTTTAGCCAATCTGTTCGATGTGTACACTGTGTTATTGACGTGGGTTCTAGATCCTCTTGCGTGAGCGCAACATCAAGTACTACTTTGTATGCAAAGAGTGCATTTAAGTCGACTTCTTTTCGATTCCATTGTATTCCGGACATATTGTAATTGATGGAGATCTCATTGTTATCTTCTGAACCTGGAGATTCGGCGTCCCGAACTTCCATTGAGGGTTCATTAGATTGAGTCTCAGCCGCGGCTATGTCTGATATTGCAGGAATCCCGGTTTCGGTTATTGCACCTTTCTTTGATTTCCGGGGATTCTTATCTTTGGAACCGAGAGGTCTGCCCCGTTTGAGACGTGGTGCAGACTCTGTAGCAACTTGGGTCTGTCCCGTTGGGACAGCTATTCGTACTGGTGCATTACAAGCTGGGATGTACGATTTGGTTACTTTGGTCGGGTCAGCAAAGGAATCTGGCAATTGATTAGCTAGCTTTTGATAATGAATAATCTTTTGGATCTCTGAATCACATTCTAGAGTCCGAGGATCTTGCCAATTTAATGATGTTTGATTCCATGAAAGATCTTTGACCAGCTTGTTTGTCTCACCACCTAAAGAGGGATATACCGATTCATCGAATTGGCAATCCGCATATCTGGCCTTGAAGAGATCTCCAGTGGTTGGCTCGAGATATCTTATGATGGTGGGAGAGTCAAAACCAACATATATTCCCATCCTTCTTTGAGGTCCCATTTTGGTTCGATGTGGTGGAGCAATGGGTACATATACTGAACACCCAAATGTTTTGAGATGGGAGATGTCTGGCTCATGACCCGAGAGTAGTTGGGATGGGGAATATTTGTGTTCACTAGATGGCCGGATGCGTATGAGTTCAGCAGCATGTAATACTGCATGTCCCCATGCTGAGGCCGGGAGCTTTGATCTCGTGAGTAATGGTCGGGCTATCCATTGAATGCGTTTAATGAATGATTCAGCCAATCCATTTTGAGTATGGACATGTGCTACAGGATGTTCCACGGTTACCCCCATGGCCATACAGTAGTCATTAAACGCTTGTGAGGTAAATTCACCAGCATTGTCAAGGCGGATAGTCTTTAGTGGGAAGTCAGGGAAATGGGCCCGCAATTTTATGATTTGGGCCAAGAACCTAGCGAAGGCTTGGTTCCGAGAGGACAAGAGACAAACATATGACCAACGGGTCGATGCGTCTATAAGGACCATGAAGTACCGGAATGGTCCGGAAGATGGATGTATAGGTCCACAGATATCGCCCTGGATTCTTTCTAGGAAATGAAGTGTTTGTTTAGAGATTTTAACTGGTGAAGGCCGAGTGATCAATTTGCCTTGAGAACAAGCTGTGCACATGAGGTGTTGAGGATAAGCTCGGTTTTCTTTGAGGGTATGCCCTTGAGAGTTTTGAATTAGTTTACGCATCATATTTGCACCGGGATGACCGAGCCGGTCGTGCCAAATAGTATAATCAGTAAACCGGGCTTTGAGAGTGGTATTAGCTTCAATCATACTGACTTTAGCATGGTAAAGTCCAGTAGAGAGCACGGGTATGGTTTCGAGGATTTGTTTATGGCCGTCTACGGTTTTAGTGACTAGGAGGGATTCTTTGTTCCCTTGACCTTGGGTTTCTATGTGGAAACCATTTTGTCTTATATCCTTGAAGCTCAGAAGATTTCTCTTCGAAGTAGGAGAATATAGAGCATCTGGTATTTCAAGTTGTGTGCCATTTGATAGCAACACATAGGCATGGCCATATCCTTCGATAAAGTTTGAGGGACCCGCGATGGTGCTAATATTTGCGGTTTGATAGGTTAGGTTTATGAAGTAACTTTTGTTTCTTAAGATAGTGTGGCTGGATCCACTATCTACGACTATGGTTTCCATTTGCTGGTGTGCTTCATTATGAATAGAAGATAGAATTCAGTATTGAGGAATTCAGAAAATGTGATAAATCATAAAGTAAAGCAGTGTGTGAGAATAAAGGCAAATGGAAAAAAAAAAGTGAAACAAATCCCAAAATGAAAAAAATAAAAAACAAAATCAAATTGTATCAGAGTTTCAGATGATTGAATTAATCGAGGAGATCAGTTGTTTCATAGTCCATGGGGTCGGTCTGCTCGTTTGTGGTGTTCTCATCATCAAGGAGGTCGTCACCTTCCAGGTTAGCAGCATCGACTGGCTGAGTCATGTTGGCTTCAGCAGGAGCTTTTCCGTACTTCTGGTATAGATCGCAGTGGATCTTGGGGGTGCGACATTGCTTTGTTGGGTGGTTGAACATCCCACATCTGGTACAAGCAGAGTGATCGGGGTTGGTGTGGCGGGTCGGCTTGGTGATGCCTCGACCACGACCAGGACCATAACTGAGGTTAGGTCGGTTGCCACGACCATGTCCGCGTCCACGTCTTCCACGTCCATGTCCTCGGCCATTACCACGTCCATTACCACGTCCACGGCGGTGATCTGAGGATCTATCGGGTTGAACATGGTAGGACTCTTGACGAGAAGCTAGGACAGGAGCCGATCCCGGGGGCCTCATAGCGCTGTTCCTCATAAGTAGCTGGTTATTCTTCTCAGCGAGGAGAAGACAGGACAACAAGTCTTCGTACAATGTGTGTTTCATTGCACGGTATTGTTGTTGGAGCACAACATTCTCTGTGCTGAATGTGGATAATGTTTTCTCGAGGAGATCATTATCTGTCACATCCTCGCCACAGAGTTTCCGGATGGCAACAATACGAAAGAGTTCGTTGTTGTAATCATCTACGGATTTGTAGTCCTGGAACCGAAGGTTCTTCCAGTCGAAATCTGCCTGAGGCAACTGGACCATTTTCTGATGGTCATATCGCTTTTTCAGCGCTTGCCACAATTCAAGTGGATTCTCAAGAGTGAGATATTGCTGCTTAAGGCTCGGGGCCAGATGATGGCGTATGTGACATATCGCCTGAGACTGTCCCTTACGGGATGCGGTGTTACCGTCGGTAATACACGCATCGAGTTCTTTCGATGCAAGGAACAAGCGCATGTCTAGGGCCCACTCGAGGTAGTTATCCCCGGAGACGTGAAGGGCCTCGAATTCACATTTCTGAATGTTTGACATCTGAAACATGAGATTGATTTTGTTAGGGATTGTTTTGAGAAAATTTTGAATGCTGATGATGAAACTTTCTATTTTGAGAATATTTCTATTTTAGGAAAGTTTCTAAATTTGGAAAGTTTCTAATTTGGGTAATTTTCTAAATGAGGAAAGTTTCTATGTCGGGAAAATTTCTATATGAGGAAAGTTTTTATATGAGGAAACTTTCTATTAGAGGGAACTTTCTCGGAAATAGTAAATTTTAAAGGGTATGGTTTTAGTTACCCCGAACATGATGTTGGTTTAATAGCTGTGATTTAATCGGTTAAAGCCGAATATAATTTCGGTTAATGAGAACCAGGTTTAGCCGGTTTTAGGCGGTTTAGGAGGAACCCTAGGGGAGCCGAATATGATTAGGGTTTTATCTAGGGTTTTAACGGTTTGGAAAACATATTTTGGATGTGATTTCGAGATCTATAGGATCTGTGGTCGATTTTTTTTTTTTTTTTTTTATAGGGTTTTGAAGTGTTTAAACAACAGGTTCTATGGCTCTCAGTTTTAGAAGATACCTTTTCCACCTTTGGATTTCTAACAGGCTAATGAAACTGGGAGCTAATAGACCTCAGTTAGCCGCTATAAATTCCAAGGATTGATCACCAAAACTGGAGAAGCTGCTGGTTGAAGAAGGAAAAACTCGGATTTGGTTTTTTTTTTTTTTTTGGTTGATCGTCGTGTACTGTAAGTGTGCGTGAGGGCGCGTCTGACGTTGGATCGACAAACGGTTTTCACCAGTAGATTCGTCTCGTCGAGGGCTTCGATTTGATATGTAGATCGTCTTCTGGTTCCTCACGGTTTGGAAGATATGCGTCTTTTAAGTTTCGACTTGCTTTAGGGTTTTGGTGGTGGCCGGATTTATTAGGGTTTTTCGCTCAGAGAGTCTTATCGTGCTGATAACGTGTTGTGAAAACTTAGAAACTTTATTAATCACTGGAATGTATATATAGAGTACATAGGGAATCTAGGTTAAGTACAATGTCCTGATGGGCCTAATGGGCCGGTATAAGAGTCCATATATGATATGTGTTATAACATATAATAGTTTCTTCCTTACGCAAGTGGAAAACGAAGCGTGGGGGGTTTAAGTTTTTACGTAATAAATAACCTTTTTATTGTTAGACCAACTAACTTATTGAGGCATTTAATTTGGATGATAGTGATGTTCGAATGTAAGACAAGAAGCATCATCAATCTCTTGAATTGATTTGTGCATTTGGAAACTATCCGGTATTGTTGCTAATTAGAGGTTCGAATGATCCGCATTGTTGCTAACCAATGGTTCTTTATGGTGATTACTATTTTTTTTTTTTTACGATACTTACGATTGGAGCAAACGCATTTGGTGTATCGTTTAATGTTTTTTTTTTCTATAAATTATTGTTGTAAGAAAAAGTGAAATAGGTGGATTTCGCCAATTCCGTGCGTACGTAAGACTGTTTTTTAAAGTATATATAATTAAATAAATAAAGAACCTAAATGAAATCTGGTCGCCGCGAAAGACAAATGAAAAACAGTGACAAAGAAACAAAATATAGAAACCGCGTGGGTCCGATAATTCGACATTTGTAACCAATTTTCAATACTTTGCATGTAATCAATATATCTTCTTTTCTAGTAACCTAATCAAGAAGATATTGTAGATTCCACTAATGATATAACATAGTGTTAACAAATACCATGCATGGACACAAACATTATTATATATCGACTCAGGAATCAGGATATCATACTGTATATTGTTTATAAATGAAACAATTCATTTGGGCAGAGAGGTAGGCTGCAAAATTATGCTGGATTGTTGTAAAGAGTTTATTATTTATTCAGTTTCCTAGTTTACTGTGAGTTTCATATTTTGCTTTTTTAATGTTCCAATGAATAAACAGAAACTAATTAAGACTGAATCAACTCAATATTCACAGTTCTTGGTTCTAATTAGGTTCAATCGTCTATTTAAAATAAAATGAGCTTCGATAATGTTACTGAGGAAAAACAAAAGACAATAACATTATGTGTGAATGTACTCGGATATCAACGAAAAGATATACAATGCATTAACCTCTCTCGTAGAAATATTCAAAGGACGAAAGAAAAGCATAAAGTTGAAAAAGGGACCGATGCAGCAGAATTGGTCAAAATATTTTTGACAAAACTAAATAAAACAAACAATCAAATGTCACTTTCAAAATAATTAGTTTCAACTTTTTTTTTTAATTTATTATCAAGAAATTGAAAATAATGAAAGCGACTTCTATCTGGGACTGGTAAAATGACCTCTCTTCATTGGTTGTACATTAGCTGTCAAATATTACATTTCAATACATTCGGAAACTCCAAATATATATACACATTAGATGGTACACAATGAAACTCTTGGAACACTATAGTAAAATACTCATGATTATTTTATTTTTTCTATTTTTTTTATCAACTACTAATATAATTTTATAATCGTTAAATTTATTACTGAGCTATATAAGTCACTTACTGCCTAATTGCCTATCTATCCACAATAATCCGGAACAAAGTTGTAAAATTAGTAGTATATAACTATAGGACCTTTTCCTAATAATATTTTAAATATTTTTTTGGTATCACAAGAAAAATATATAATGAGAATTAAATGAACAAGACGAAAGGAAAAACAAAAGAAAGAAAAAGACATATGAAACGTAGTCCCCCATCTATTTGCTTTCTTCTGTAGTCTGTACACAAAGGACTCTCTCTCTTTCTCTCTCTCTCTCTGCCTCTGTCAAATTACGTCGCCGTTTTTCATCCAAACGCAAACCTCTGGTTTCAGCGTCACCGTAGGAGCTCTCGACCTTTCATATTAAAGTCGTGGACTTTCTTTCTTCAAGACCTGAAAAGATAGAAATAATAGTATATAATTACCATAGAAATCAAAATCCTCGTCGTTTCTGGGTTTCATCGTGTTGTCTTTGGGTTAGAGACCAAAAAGATGACATAAAAACCCCATTTTGGAAACTTAGACAAAGAACAATTTCAAGAGATTGTGAAGTTCTTGTTGGGTTAGTGTGCTGTTTTCTGGCGAATGCTGAGTCTCTTCTCTCTGTAAGTTCTTTAATATGTTTTCTTCACTTACTCTGGAATTTTCCCTCATATTTGGTATTTTTTGCCTTAATGACTTACTTCAACTATTTAAAGGTTAATCTTAACCATATATAGAGCAAGATATACAATAGAAGTTCTAATGAAATCACCTTTTTTTTTGTTCTCATCTTCTTGTGGGGTTTTCTATTGAAGTTCGCTTAGCTTTGAATCTTGTCTCTATAGAAGTTCTAATGAAATTAACTCGACTAAAAAATAACACCTTTAATGATGAACCAGTTCTATTACATGAACTAATTAAAATATAATCATTCAAATGAGTTAATTGCGTAGTTTCATGAGTAAGAACATCATGCTTATACAATGTATTGTCTCCGTATGGAAGCAAAGTATGATATCATATTTAATCATCTATGATTGTGCTACCAAACTTAAAATAATACTTTAAGCTGATGTGATCTTAAGGGCTAACCACTGACCATTATCTACTTTCTTTGACCATTGCTTTGGCTACTAAATGTTCTTATCAAAAGTCGTATCTTCCAACGCATTAGTTAGTCCTAACCAATTTGCATCCTTTGTAGTTCACATTTAATTTGTTTTTTTGGAAACCAAGTCACCGGTTTGTTTGTTTGTCTGAGAATAAGGCGTATAGATTTGTCCTTGTGACGCTTCAAAAAGCAAGTTGTTGAGTGGTAATCCTATGTTTGTTCTGCAACTTGTTTTGGATTAGCCATTAGATTTGCTTTTCTACAACATATCCCTATTAAAGGGTAGCAAGTAAACCAGATTCTTATGTCGAAAAACCGATCTTCTGTTTTGGACAAGGGATGGAATACTGCAGAGACTCAGCAGGGATGATGATGGAGAATAAGCGCAGTGTCTGTTCTCTTGAAGAAAACAGCATGAAACGACACAAGTCTGATATCTCTTTCTCTTCCAAGGTCTTATCATGATACTCTCGATCTTCAAAATCAGAATTCCTTTTGTGTGCGCATGAAGCTCCTTGACATTCTTGGACCAGCATGCTAATGATGTTGGAACTTTGTTGTTCTCTCGTTAAACAGGAGAGGAAGGACAAGGTTGGAGAACGTATTTCAGCTCTTCAACAGCTAGTTTCCCCTTACGGAAAGGTTAGATCCAAAATTCATTTTCAAGCAAAAGAAATGATCTCTTTTACATGCTCTTGGTATTCTCTAATCTTGTTCAAGCCTCTCTCTCTCTCTCGCTGCAGACAGACACTGCATCAGTTCTTCTAGAGGCGATGCAATACATTCAGTTTCTTCAAGAACAAGTCAAGGTCTACTCATCAAGTTTCCTAACATTGTTTCCGAATCCAAACATGTTTCATTCTTACGTCTCTTCGAATCAACAATGACCTTGCTTAGTTGTCTGTACAGGTTCTAAGCGCTCCATATCTGCAAACAACGCCCATTACCACGCAGGTGAGCAGAATCTTGACCCCTTTTTACTGAAGAACAATTATGTGATCTGGAACTTAACATCACTTGCTTGTCTCTGTAACCAGGAGGAGCTAGAGGAGAACAGCCTTAGAAGCAGAGGGTTATGTCTTGTCCCAATGGAGTATACATTAGGTGTTGCTCAAACCAATGGTGCTGATATCTGGGCTCATGTGAAGACTCCAACAACTCCTGCTTTCAATCTCAAATCTAATTCGCCATTTCGATGATTGAGCTAAAAGAAAGATAGCCAAAACGTTAGTTCTTTGTAACATATATTGATGGAGAGAGAGACCCATGAAGTTGGCTGCCTCATATAGTCAATGATGGCTGTTTTCTAATATTTTTTACTGCTTAATCTCCCAACTATGTGGTGGCTTGAATGAATCATCCCATTACTTGGAATTTGTATTATTTGTCGACATTTTGGTAATAACTGATTCCAGTGCAAAGATTTATCTTACTGGGAAATTTAGCTTGAGGTCCAGTCTAAAGAACATATCTGGACTTAGCCAAAGTCGGAAACTTTTAGTTACACACTCTTGATGCAATTTCAGATTGTCAAATCCAGATACAGATTAGATACGACACGCGAAAGAATTATCAAAAGGAGAAATTTTTAGAACAAAGCTTGGTCCTTGATGGAATTAAGAGAGTGTGTTTTGTGTTAGATATCTGAACCGGTCAATGACGGATTTAGCTTCCGGTCTATACCGGTTAATGAAGCCAATTCTGACAAAGTGCGATAGAAGACCGGGTTTGAGAAACCCGGGAATCCTAAACCCGACCCAACTTTGGGAAACCGCAGCTAAACCCTAGGCCCTGAAATCAAATTACAGTCATCGGAGAAGGAGACGAAGGGAGAGAGATTGAGAGAGATTGTGAGAGAGAGACGATGGATCACATCGGTGCTGCAGAGGAGCAAATCGTATCGGAAAGGCTTAGAAGAAAGCTTGAAGAAGTTAATGCAGCTGCTCAGGCTCAGCTTTCTCCTGTCCAAGATCACATCAATTTCACCCTCCAGGTATATATTCATCTGTATTCGTGTGTATATAATTGCTTTCTTAGGATTTCTGATTAATAACTTTAGCAAAGTTAGCTTCTTGACATTTGAAAAATCTCTATTGGTTTGATACAATCTCTGTAATAGTTTGTATGTCCAAGTCATCTTTTTGCATAAAGTATTTACTTTTGAGAACGGAGCTTTGCTCTATAAGATATATTTGATGTCTTGCTGTGGTGATTTCTGAAAATTGCTTTAAGCTTCCTTCTAGATTTGTCTTTTAGAGACTGTTGAATCAGGTTCATGAAAAATCATTTAGACACTGTTGAATCATTTCATTGCTCACCACTTATTTCTTGCGGTTGCTGTATTGACTTAACATGAGATCCTTTTGAAGTGAAATGAATCAGACCCTGTTTCCATTGTTGCAGCAAGCTTATTTCAAATGTGCATATGAGTGCTTTGACAGAAGAAGAAAGCAAGAGGAGATTAGTAACTGCGTCGAGCACTGCAGTGTTCCCGTTGTCAAATCTCAGCAGCATTTCGAGAACGAAATGGCTCAGTTTCAGGTAAAAACAAGATAACAAAATGCTTCTCGTGGCTTATAAAAGAGATGATGAACTGATCCTGCAACTCTATATATGTGTATCTTTGTTTGCTGAATGAATAGGAAAGACTGAACAGATCATTGATGGTGTGTCAAGACAAATTTGAGGCTGCAAAGCTCCAGAAGATAAGGCCTGAAGCGGTTAACGAGATGGAGAGTTGCGTGCACAAAGCCATTGAGGAGAATCTCAATACATTACCACATGTTGTGCAGAGAATGAAGACAGCATTCAACATAACCAACTAAAACTGTTTCCTCCCGGAGAAAACCACAATAACAGTTGATTTCAGTACCCATTGTTTGAAATAAGACCTTTTGTTTTGTCTTATTATTTATTTACAAAATTTAAAGACCTTCCTTAGCTTTACAAAATATTGTTCTTAGATAAAGAGCTTATTATATTTATATTTGACACTGGAATTTTTGTTATTTTTTTTTTTGGAAACCAGTTTTGTTGTTAATAAAATTTATATTTGTGCTCCTTTTTCTGTTTTAAGTTATAGGAGAATCAGGCTTTTGGTCAGTTTTAAATAGTGAGTGGTAGTGATGAGGAACGTTTGTTGCTCCAACCATTGGCGGAATCATATAGCTCGAGAAATAGTAATCCCGAGAGCATTCAGGTTTTCATACAGCAGTTCGAAAGACTTGGGGACACTCTATGCCCTCGTTCTCCCAGATTTCTGATCAATTGGCTGGTGGAACTTCTCTGTGACGATATACTTGGTTCTCTCCCTGTCATTGTAGCTGGTTTGTTTAACATGACCAGCTTACCCAAAGCTTCTCCAGATGCTTCTTTATTCAAGAAGTCAGAAAATGAATCTCTTGAATTGATCAGATCGCTTTATGAGAAGGTAAGAGAGCGTAAAGGCTATCATTATGTGACTGTCAATATTGAGGCTACTGTATTTGTAGTCGCACGGAACCTAAAAAAACCACTACGCGCAAATGCAAAGGCAGAAGCATTACAGTGGGCTTCAGTTCTGATACAAATGTTTCCTCGTGAGCTTTTCAAGTGTGCAGAGTTCGAGAAAATCTTTCTATAGGATCTAGATTTACCACAGGCCCATTTCTTGATGCGACTCCATATTGCCATCAAAGGAAGTGATGATTTGGAAGCAGCAAAAAGACATCTTTTCAAAGCCATCAATCATGTCAGAAGGCCACCTTTGTCATGGCAATGGTGGCTATTCTCTCAGGTAACCATGGTGTGGCTAAGTTTTTCTTTGATATGGTATACACTGAAAGACTGATAGAGGTGGCAGAGATGCATCAAGCTGGTTTTGCAACAGTTGCGAAAATTATAGAAAATTCAACCTCAGCCACCATGTGATAGATCTCACAACATTGACTCTATGTGTCAGAGTTGCTACATGTACTACTATTGTGCAGAGGAGTTGATGTGTTTGATCCAGAGCTCCTCTTCTCTGTAGTTGTTGTAGGAATTCTTCTCTCTTATGTATTTGTTGCATTTAGTTGTTTTTTACAACGATTATATGAGTTGATATGTGTTATGTGTTATGTTTATTATTCATTCTAAAAAAGTTATAGGAGAATCTGAAAATGCTTGACGATGTTAAAAATATATTTTTTTTTAACTTATTATGACTAAAGAATCTTCAAAATATATTTTTTTTACCGAAAAAGCAATAATAAATAGGAATACAAAACTAAAGATGGATTTCATATAAAAATGCAAATTTTGTACAGATTCATGATTATCTTATATTGAAAAGAAAAATAATAATAAGTTCTATTTTGGACCAACTCTTACGGCATCTTGAGTCTCGTTTCAAGCAGGCTGGTCAATTAACTCTCGAACTTTCCATTCAAGAGCTGATAAACGTAAGTTCTTGACTTAATGGAAAAATAATTGGGGTTGTCAAGAAAGCTACCGCCCCTTACATATCAACGTGACTACTCTAGGATTTGTGAAGGACCCACTAGGTACAAGGCATCATTGTCTCGATCTCACTTTTTAGGTGCACTTGAAGAAGAGATGTTCACTAACGGGCTGATAGGTGTGTTCATCAAATTGTTTCCGAGTTTTTGGATTGATGGAAAGATGTATCTTACTAATCCTACTAGAATGAAAAAAAAAATTTCTATATTTTTTTCTTTCTCAACAAAAAGAGAAACTTTTGAAAACTCACTAATTATATAAAAAAATATATTATTATTATTCAAGATTATTGAAACCAATAGACATACAAGATAAATACGGATTTAACAAGGAAACACAAATAATTAATACAGATTTGAGATTACATCTTCACAATAAAAAAAAAAACAGAAAAAGAATATTTAAATAGAAATTTTCTTTTTAGGCATTTTATAGAAAAAGTTCTTTACACATAAAAAATTCTACTTAAGCAAATGCTTACAACCGGCTCAACTATTTTTTCTTCTTGTTACTTACGAGATTTATACATTGCGCAAAGCAAACTATGTTGAAAATACTCAATAATAATATACAAATAAAGATGAATTAAATATAAAAAGGTAATTTATGTATAGTTTTGCGATTACAAAAAATAAAAATAAAAATAATAAGTTTCTTTTTTTCTTTTTCTGACTTGCTAATTATGTTATATATTATTGTTACCCAAGAAATTATTGAAACCAACCAATAGGAATATAAGATAAATCCAGATTAAAAAAAAACACAGATAATTAATACAGATTTGATTTGAGATTAGCTTCACAAGAAAAACAAAACAAAAAAGTGTTATAAACAAATGGACTTCTAGTATCCGGCCCATTAACCATCAGGTTAATGTCTCATGGCCCATTAGGATTTCTGATACATTAGTTATGTAATGTATATATACACTGCTTATGGAAACAATAAGACAAGAGTTTTTCCCTTAATACGTTATCAGCACAAAGCTCAACTTCAAACGATCATATCTCTCAAAATACAAGGAGTTAGAAGGCGATCTACATATCATTTTGAAGCCCTGGAAGAGAAGAATCTAGTGGTGAAAACCGCTCCTCAATCCGACACCAGACGCGCCCTCAAGACTCAAAACAATTGGCACTGTCCCACCTTAGCGGGTGATTCTTTCCAAGCGGTGGTTCCTCCATTGTAGCAGCTGTTCGTCCTCCCTTCTGGCCATCATTCTCAAGAGTTTCCAGTAAATATCTGTGGTCTTTAGCTCCCAGATCATAAGCCGGTCAGAAATCCATTTGGCGAAAATGTATTATCTAAAACTATAGATCCTAATGCTTTGTTCAAACCCTATACCGATCGGTCCTAGCATCATCTAAACCAAACACTAAAATTCCTTGCAAACCGAAACCTAAATCTTTGCAAAACCCTAGATCTAAAATCGTTTTGGTTTGTCTATCGTTAAACCGAGATCGATCGGTTTAAATCCTAAACCGATCAGTTATTTATCTTAGATCCGATCCTTGAAAACCCTAAAACCGGTCCATGCAAGCTCCTAAATCCTAAACCAATCGACCCCTTAAACTCTAAACCAATCGATCCACCTAAACCGTTTATAAACCGATAAATTCTAATCCTAAATAGATCCTCAGATCGTGGACGTGGAAATGGACATGGACTGCGCGGCAGAGGACGCGGTAGACCGAACCAAGATAACCGACCTAACCTCAGTTTTGGTCGGGGTAAGGGTCGTGGTATCAACAAACCGACCCAAAAGAGGCAGTTCATCTAGACCAACTCCTTGCTCAAGATGCGGAATGACTAATCATTGGGTCAAGATCTGCCGTACTCCCAAATATCTTGTTGAGCTCTACCAGAAGTATGGGAAAGATAATCATGAGGCTAACCTGGTTCATCAAGTCAATGAAGATGACTCAAAGGATGATAAGATTGATGGCATGGATTATGAGCTCTCCGACCTCCTTGATTGATCTCAAAAATCTGAATTTGTTTTTCATTACTCCTTAAACTTTTATCTTTTGTTTTTGGGATTTATTGTCTTTACTTTGGATTTTTAAGACCTTTTGCTTTTACATTTTTATTTATGGAGTAATGTTTTATTTACATCTCATTTTTGCATGTTATTGAATTATAATTCTTGTTTAATGAAGATATGCAAGACAATATGGATATCATTGTGGATAGTGGATCGAGCCACACCATTCTAAAAGACAAGAATTACTTCATAAATTTAGTAATCAAAACCGCAAACATTAGCACTATAGCGGGTAGTTCGAGCCTAATAGAGGGCCATGGCCAAGCTAATGTGCTGTTATCAAATGGCACATATCTAGACATCTCTGATGCCTGATACTCACCCAGTTCTAAGAGAAACCTATTGAGTTTCGAAGACATAAGATTGAATGGTTTCCATATCGAAACTCAGGATGAAGGGAACAAAGAGTTTTTAATTATCACTAAAATGATAAATGGCCATAAACAAGTTTTTGAACTATACCCGCCGTATCTACTGGCATTTACCATGCTAAAGTCAGTATGATTGAGGCTAATGCTGCTATCAAAGCACGGTTTTTAGATTACACTATTTGGCATGATCGCCTGGGTCATCCCGGTGCGAACATGATGCGTAAATTAGTCCAGAATTCTAAAGGGCACAGCCTTAAACCAAATGGTATTTTCTCTCAGCACCTCAAGTGCACAGCTTGCTCACAAGGGAAACTGATTACCCGACCTTCACCAGTCAAAGTGTCTAAAGAGACCTTGAACTTTCTGAAAAGAATCCAAGGAGACATATGTGGACCAATTCACCCACCTTGTGGGACATTCAGATATTTCATGGTCCTCATTGACGCATCGACCCGCTGGTCGCATGTCTGTCTGCTCTCTTCTAGGAACCAGGCTTTTGCTAGATTATTGGCCCAAATCATCAGATTACGAGCCCATTTTCCAGACTTCCCATTAAAGACTATACATCTTGATAATGCTAGTGAATTCACTTCCCAAGCGTTTAATGAATATTGTATGTCCATGGGGGTAAGTGTTGAACATCCCGTTCCACATGTCCATACACAAAATGGATTAGCTGAATCCTTCATTAAACGAATTCAATGGGTTGCTAGACCATTACTCATGAAGTCACAACTCCCGGTCTCAGCTTGGGGACACGCAGTCTTACATGCCGCTGAACTAATACGCATACGACCATCTAGTGAGCACAAATATTCACCATCCCAATTGCTAACGGGTCATGAGCCAGACGTCTCCCATATTAAAACATTTGGGTGTTGAGTCTATGTACCCATTGCACCACCACAGAGGACTAAAATGGGACCTCAAAGGAGGATGGGAATATATGTTGGTTTTGATTCTCCCACCATCATAAAATATCTCGAGCCAACTACAGGAGATCTGTTTAAAGCCAGATATGCAGATCGCCGATTTGATGAATCGGTATATCCTAGATTAGGTGGTGAGACAGACAAGCTGGTAAAAGAACTTTCATGGAATCAAACATCCACACAATGGCAAGATCCTCGGACTCTAGAATGTGATTCAGAGGTCCAAAGAATTATACATTTACAAAACTAGCTATCAATTGCTAGATCCTTTGCTGACTCGAACAAAGTTACCAATCGTACATACAGCTAGTAATGCACCAGTACGAATAGATGTCCCCTCAGGGAAAAGTCAAGTTGCTACAGAGTCTGACGCACGTAAGAAACGTGGCAGACCACCAGGTTCCAAAGATAAGAATCCCCGGAAATCAAAGAAAGGTGCAATGATTGAAACCGGGATTCAAGAGAACACGGATACAGCCTCAGCTGATACTTACCCTATCGAACCATCTCAAGAGGTTTGGAACGCCAAAACTCAAGGTTCTGAAGGGATTGATAATAATGAGATCTCAATCAATTATATCATATTCGGTTCTCTATGGAACAGAAAAGATGTCGACATCAATGAAACTTTTGCATACAAGGTAGCACTTGAGATTGCGCACACGCAAGAGGATCTAGAACCCACGTCTATAATTGAGTGCACTCGTAGATCAGATTGGCTGAAATGGAAAGAAGCCATAAACGTGGAGTTGAATAGTTTAAAGAAACGGAATGTGTTTGGTCCGATCTTAAGGACACCATTCGATGTTAAACCAGTGGGAAAAAATGGGTCTTTGTGCGTAAAAGAAACGAACTCGGCGAAGTTGTTAGATACAAGGCACGCCTTGTAGCACAAGGATTCTCACAGAGACCCGGAATCGATTATGAGGAGACTTATTCTCCAGTGGTGGATGCAACTACATTTCGATTCCTCATAAGTCTGGCCATAAGAGAAAACTTAGATTTGCGGTTAATGGATGTTGTAACCGCATATCTTTATGGACCACTGGACAGTGAAATCTATATGAGATTACCAGATGGTATTGAGCTCAAAGATAAGCATGCATCTCGTGATAAACACTGCATTAGGCTGAACAAATCCTTATATGGACTGAAACAAAGCGGACGTATTTGGTATAACCGGTTAAGCGAATATCTCATCAGAGAAGGCTACGAAAACGATCCGATCAGTCCATGCATCTTCATCAGAAAATATCAAAACAAAGGATTTGTAATCATAGCAGTATACGTGGATGACTTGAACATCCTCGGAACATCTGGTGAAATCGCCCAAACAGTTGAATGCTTAAAAGCAGAGTTTGAAATGAAAGACCTAGGCAAAACTAAATTCTGTTTGGGATTACAACTTGAGTACGTCAATGACGGAATCCTTGTGCATCAATTGGCATACACTGAAAAGGTACTCAAGAGATTCAATATGGACCAGGCCCACCCATTGACCAGCCCAATGGTTGTGAGGAGCCTTGGATTGGATAGTGATCCATTCGGTCCAAAGAAGGACGATGAAGAAATCCTCGGTCCTGAAATGCCATACCTCAGTGCCATAGGAGCATTAATGTACTTGGCTAGTCACACTAGACCAGACATCTGCTTTGCCGTGAGCTTCTTAGCTCGCTTTAGTTCGTGTCCAACTCAAAGGCACTGGAACGGTATTAAGCACATCCTTAGATACCTTCAAGGTACTAAGGACTTGGAATTATTTTATTCTAACCATAACAAGGATGGTCTAGTTGGTTTTGCTGATGCAGGATATTTGTCAGATCCGCACTGTGCCCGGTCTCAAACCGGTTATGTTTTCACGCATGGAGGAACAGCCATATCTTGGAGATCCATGAAGCAGACTATTGCCGCTACCTCATCCAACCATGCGGAAATCTTGGCCATTCACGAAGCTAGTAGAGAGTGTGTTTGGTTGCGGTCCATGACTCAGCATATCCGATCAGATTGTGGTATGGACGAAGATAAGGAGCCTACGGTGATGTATGAAGACAATGCAGCTTGTATCGCTCAACTCAAGGACGGCTACATCAAAGGTGACCGGACGAAGCATATTCTGCCCAAATTCTTCTTCACTCATGAGCTACAGAAGGATGGTCAGGTCAAGGTTCAGCAAGTCCGATCAAGCGAAAATTCAGCCGATCTATTCACTAAATCATTACCGACTTCTACACTCCGGAAGCTCATTCATCAGATAGGAATGCTTTGACTTAGAGATCTACAGTGATGCCTAAACCAGGCGGGAGTAATGCGTGTTGTACTCTTTTTCCTTCACCATGGTTTTTCCCACTGGGTTTTCCTGGTAAGGTTTTAATGAGGCAACGTTCCCCAGCGCATTATAGAGATCCCGGTTTTGTGACAGGCACGGTTACCTTGTCCAATGGGGAGTGTTATAAACAAATGGACTTATAGTAACCGGCCCATTAACCATCAGGTTAATGTCTCATGGTCCATTAGGGTTTCTGATACATTAGTTATGTAATATATATATACACTGCTTATGGAAACAATAAGACAAGAGTTTTTCCCTTAATAAAAAGGATTTTTTAAGCGTACTGATAGTAAAATGTCTCCACTATTTTGTTACTTACATTGCGCAAAAGCAAAACAAAAGAAAAAAAAACCAATACCAATACCAATACTTTGAACTGACGATGGTGAAAGATATGAACGAGTATATGGAACGAGTATTGATGGATGGGTGCGAGGGTCAACAAAACCCTAACCGACATGATACTTCTTCTCCAAGTTTATCCTCAGTAGAGTCCAACGAACCGATCAGAGCTGAGCTGATAAAGCTGCTGGTTAAAAGAAAGTCGCCGTTAAAAGAAATTCGCCGGGTAAACGAAAGCCGTCGGTTAGAACAAAACCAGTCAAAAGAGAGAGGTTGTTGACGTCAGAATGGCTGGTTAACCTGATGAGTGAAGAGAACGGTGTGGATGCGAAGCTGATCATTGAGAGATATCTTACGGTGACTAATCTCGATAGAAGCCAAGGTCGTCTCAATTTACCCTTTAACCAAATAGTAGAGAAGGACTTCTTGAACGAGGCAGAGTTGAAAATCATAAAAAGAAAAACAAGACAAGGATCGTGACAAAGGAGCTGATGCGATCTTGGTGGATCCTAGTGGTATACATTGGGTGGTTGATGACAGGAGATGGAATATGAATACCTCTTTCATTTACGTCTTGTGTTCTGGATGGAACAAGGTCGTCAACAGTAACAAGCTAAAGGAAGGCCAGATTTATCAGGCTCAGGCTATGGCTCAGGCTATGGCTCAACTTCAAGCTCAAGATCCAGCTCAGGCTGTGACTCAACCTCAAGCTCAAGATCCAGATGATCAGGCCGTGGCTCAAGCTCTGGCTCCAGCTATAGCTGCAGCTTTATCTTCATCTTTAGCCATGGCTCCGGTTGTGACTAGACAATATGACGAACTAAATCTATGTGAAGAAGAGAGAAACAGGAGTTGTGCTAACTTTCCAAAGAGAAGGAAAACTACTCGAGTTTGTGTTCCAGCTCCAACAACTAGAGATTCAAGCAACCTAGGCCAAAGCATGCTCAAAAGGTTGGACCTAGATAGATTGGTTAGGGCTCCTCTTGAGGCTGTACAAGAGACAAATAGGAGGATCTCACTGCTCTCTGACACAGATATGAAGACTCTGGATCTCCTGCTCAGGTTGTGATTAGAGAGTACTAGGAAAACAGCTCTGCAATGTGACTTTATCTCTAATTATTCTGGAACCTAGATCTCTATTGCCCGTGACATGCAGGTATTTTTTTTTGGCGAATTTTTGTTTTTGGTTTTTTTGTCCATTACTCTCGAGTGTTGTTTAGATTTTATTCACTCAATAGCTCGCTAGCTTCATTAATTGTGTGAATGGATGATGATAATAATGGTATTTTGGGGAACTTATATATTTCAAACTGGTTTGATTATGTCTTGAGTACATGCTTTAATCAGATAAGATTGGAATAATAGGTAACAAGGAAACAACAGGTAATAAAGAAATAGACTTCAGATGTCAGAAACAGATAAAAGAAATGGATCTCATAGAATTCAGAAAAGAATGTTTCTACGTTACCTCAAGACAGACAAGAAGGATTTGTAACATTAGGGAATATAGTTGTTTCTTGTAAAGATAAGAATGGAGCTCCACATACAAAAACAACATAAGTTCATCCACTGAAGATGCTTTACGCCTCTGTCAACTTCATGGAATCAACAAAAGAAGCAACACGCAAGAAGAGCTTCAATCAACTCCTCCTGCAGAAGACAACAAATTATACTGAGGGGTGAAAAAAATCTAAGACATTGTTTTGAAGCTCTTGTTCAACTAGAGGTGGCCACACTAGAGATGAATACTGAGGCTCAAGAGGCAGATACTGAAGAAGTGACCTAATGTCTGCACTCTTCTCCATCCTTATTTGACTTTCCTGAAATAGAATTTAGCAAAAGACTGATTCAAAACATTTGATCAAAACCATAAAATCAGCATTCATCAACGCAACTCAATGAATTTAGGATCAAGAGCTGGTGTAAATTTAAAATGATTCATGATCGTAAGAAAGAAAAACTGATTCATGCTTTGCTAAATCGGCATTTGCCGCGGTTTTCAGAACGAGAAACTCTCTCAGTCAGAGTGAGAATGGCGATGGCAAACCAGAACTGCGTGTAGTCTGTACGCCGTGGTTAGAAACGGCACACAACTTTTCTTGAACCGAACCGGATTATTTCGGTTTGCAATGTGGGTAATATCACTCTGGTTAATAATGGCTTCCTCGAGATTGACAGGAGAACTCTGTCTGTCGAACAAAAATCTAGACTTTGCAAATTTCAATTTTTTTCGTCGAACAACTTTCTTTCGACGAACAATTTCAATCTGCGTGTACTCTGTCGAACAACTTTCTTTCGTCGCTTACTTTGTGGTATTAAAGTTCAATTTTTTCAAAGCCCTGGATTACAGATTTGTCTACTTTTTTTTTTTTGGTTCTCATCCCGCATCTTCGTGATTCCTGGTTCTCATGATTTGATGTAGATTTTCGTGCTACCATGGCTGGAGTTATGCAGAAGTTCCTTGTTGCATCAATGTTCATGTGGATTCTTCCTATAGCGATATTATATGGATTCAACAATGATTTGCTTCCTGGTAATGCATTCGGATTGACTTTTTCGTCGCTTTGCTTGAGCATCCCATTTTTCCACTCTTAATTTATCCTTGGAACAGTTGATCTTTGATGAAATTTCGATTTGATTTATACAAGACCTTGTTGCATCTATAGATTAGGACCAATTGTTCTCCAAGTAAGACCACGTGAAAGCAAAAAAGCTCCAGGTTTAACTTGATGTATGAAGAAATCTGTGTAGTTTTCTAATTGTATCCATGAATTCTGCCTTTGAGCTTTACTTGAATCGTGTTCAGAGCTTGGAGCTCTTCCTGCTTCTTATGACAAATAACTCGGCGTGGGTTTCGAAAGTCTGAATCAACTCATATGCATCTACCCGTTGGCGTATCTGTTAGATTGAAAAATATTTCCTTTTTTTAACCTTTTTGGTCAGAGACAAAGAGTTTGTTAAATCTCTCATTTTTTGTTGAAATTTGGATTGTGCGTATTTCGGTGGGAGTTTGCATTATGATTGTGAGTTTTCTCTGGATCGGTCTTGACTAAATGACTGAGGGTTTAGAGGCAGCATAGAATCTTAAGGAGTTGATGAGTTTCTAGAAACCAGAGGGCATTATTTTGCTAATTGCTAATCCATCTAGTTTTGTTTTCGCATTTACTTCCAAGTCTGTCCATCAACTATGATCTGAAGATCTATGTCATTCCTCATCGTAAGTATTAGTCTTGTTGATTAGGAGTGACTGGATTGTGGCTTCTCCTAGGAGGTTTTGACACTTGAAGTATTTCAAAATGAGTTTAACCCAGAGAACCACTCTCTCAAGAAGTATGGAAAGGTGCTTATAGTTTTCTTTTAGGGGGAGAAAATACCGGTGCGAACACTCCTTTCTTAGCGGAACTTGATTCATGACAATAGCTGGTTGTTGGGATCTGATGGCAGATTAGAGAATTCTAATTATAGAATCTTATAGAAACTGCAAACTTATTTGATTACAACGTAGGTTTTAGGCTGTCATAGCAAAGAGTCGAAGTTGGATAAGATGAGATTGAAATGCTACAAGAGGCTATGATATCGCTGTAACCTTGATTCTTGTAACAAATGCGATTTAGTCTTTGACGCCTAGTGCATGTAATGAAGTTTGATTTTCTGTGATGGCCTTCTGACATAAGATCTCTTTCTCTCACAAAGTTGTCTGTAGTATTTTCCTGGCTTTAGTTTTGTAATAACATATAGAAATCAACCGTTTAGACTGCAGCCATAGGTGTCTCATAGCTTTTACCACCTCTGACACTGTTCTTTTTGAAATCTCCGACAGGTTCAACAACATTGTCTCCGCATTCTCTTACTCTACTGAGTGGATTTCTTGCGGTGGTATCAGTCAATGTAGTGATTGTGTTCTACATCTGTCTGGCCCTGAAAGAACCTGCGGATAAACACAAGCCAGACGCTTTGTTTGTAGCAGAGGCCAAAGATAGTGTAAAGAAATTTACATCAGGAGTCACAAGTAGTGATCCGGCGCTCAAGAAACAAGAATAAGAGCTAACAAGGGCCTTGCCTACTGTAGACGTAAAGAAACATTTGCCTACGTCACTCAATTTGTATGCAGAAGTTAGAAATCAAATTTAAAAATGTATTTTTATATACGGTATCTGCTAAGTTTTTTTTTTTGTCTACCCCAGATCTAAATTGTCATTTCTTATCCGGGTTTTTTTCTGTCTCCCGCACTAACAAGCTTAACAAAAAAAAAAAAATATATCAATCCTACATCCATTAAGGCTGCATAAGCACTTAAACTGCTTAATGAGTACGACTGTACGAGTCATTTCGTCTCAATGGGCCAATATGATCAATTCATGCAATAGTCATAGCCGATCAGTTCATTCAGAAACTTTTATTCCCTAGGTTCAATTCTATTCTAATCAATAACTTGATATCGGTCAGGATCGTTCTTTACTTTTGGAAAAGTCTAATTTAATGAGTGAAATGCATGGTTTGGACCGAATAGAGACGTTTTAACCGAATGTTAGTCAGCTTGACTTAGTGCATTGGTTAACCTTTGACCATATGAACTGGTACCACATAAAAACCAACTGAGTATGGATCGAACAAGAAAACCAGAATGACACGGTTTTGGCTTGGCCCGGTTAGGAGGGGATGCGATCTCAGTCAATCCGGAATGAGTGGCAATATATAGAGTGAAATTTTGTTTCCAACCGTTACACCAATCGTATACATGACATCACTTGATAACGTTTGAATTTCGCAACCACAATGTTTTAGCAACATCTAAACCACTCAGACTTTATACGTATAAAGAATATACCAATGTACGTAAACTTCTGTTTGATTAAAAAAGTATTGTTAAGATTTCTAAAAGTGGAAAGGCTTATTTTAAACATATTTCTGTTAGACAATTAGCCACATGCAATATTTAATAATGTAACGATACACGCATATTAACATAAATGCGCGTACATATGCAAACTTATATAATAGCTCTTTGACACTTTTTGACTATACTCAGATGTGAGGAGTGTCAACATATGTACAAGGTTTTTTTTTCTTTCGGTCAACACACTAAAGATTTTATTCTTACGTTTTTATTTCTTTTTTTCTTTGTCAAACGATTGCATTTCCTATATGGCCAACATAGTAAACAAACATTTTGCTTTACTCATTCAGCGAAAGTAATTAGAGAAAAAAAACTAAAAAAGTAGTATCCGGTAAAAAAAATATACAGTAGACGTTTTCATTTTTATTACTGCATATATAGTAACTCTTAATCAATACAGTTCTATAAAAATAGACATTTGAATAACAATGAGGAATGATGTTTCGTAAATTATTGTCGTCAATGGGCAAAGAGTTAAACCCAAAAAAAAAAAAAAATAAAGAGTCCCAATAGAGAGTATATAAAACCGATAAACCGATTTCAACTGACCTCAAGTATTTGGAAACATCGTAGAACGGTAGAAGAAAGCCCAATGATTCAGTGTACATTATATATTAGCTATTGCATATAAATTGTTTGTGATTAATTCGGCTATTGCCTACCGTTCGATATATGTCATATACGTTTGTGATCAATTCGGTCATTACCAACTCGTATTGAGTTAGAAACCATAAGAAAATCAAAAATTGTATAAGACATCGCGCGAGGTTATATCAAAAATGGTATAATTAAGACTCGGGTGTTCCAAAGGGGATTATCGATTTTAGAGTGTGACTTGATTTGAGGTGCATCAGAGAAAAGCTATCGTCTCAAGGAAACATATATATTGAGGATCCCATATCGAAAGTGATATGAAGTTTATAATAATATGTATAAGTTATACATATTTCAAAATATTTTGCCTTTAATTATTACTTCCACATCTTTTTTTCACCTAACTATGATTATATATGACAAAACATATATCTGATTTGAAATATATATCTTGACTGACTTGTTGAAATTTGTCTTACAATTAAGGATACTTGGTACATCTGAAACAATTAATAACATTAGGATATCTGCAATGAAAATTTGAGTTGTATGCGCATAATATATTTAAAATTTTCCTTTTACTAAAACATACTTATTAAATTTTATATTCGTGAAGTTATTATATATATATATATATATATATATATATATATTATTTCACTTGTATTTATCAATAACATATTAAGCTAGCTTAGTATTGGCAAAAAAGAACATATTAAGCTAGTATTACTTTTACTATAAAAACAGTTTGTATTACTTTTTAAGTGATCTTTGTATTTTATGTTTGAAACATGAACTTATTTTCAGTACAATAGGTAACCTAGGCGTTAAGATTTACTTCCTCAATTATTTGTCCGTTCCAACCCTAAATCAGTTGACCACATTATTCAACATGGTCAAATCAGCACTCTCCAACTAATCTGAAATTTTAATTAGTAGAGTATTCTCAAGTGATACGTTGGTAACTTGGAATTAACGGTATTTAATTATTATTCAACTATATAATTTGCGTTCGCACTCACATGATATAATAACGCGTATAAAAGACTGAACTAAGGAGAATCAAGAACTCGAAGACGAAATATAAACAAAGTTCAATAATAGAATACCGACCACATAAAATATTGTTACTTATCATAAACGATCGTAATTCGACTATTTTAACCTCATTTCTCAGTCAAATACACGCCAAAATATGTGGAACACTCTCTCAATAATGCTCACTATAAATACGCTTACACATACTTTTGTCTCTCTTAACACTTCCACCAACTTCTCTCTCTCTCTCTCTCTCCCTCTTCTTTACGTTATTGTCGTCAAAAAATGGCGGCCAAATCTTTGATCAAAACCCCTAATTTGAAACATGATAGATTTCTAAGATCAGACAAAACCCGACAACACACTCTATTTCTTCCTCATGTTACTTCCCTCCCCAATTCCAACGTTAATACCTCCAATATTAATAGACTCGTAATAACTTCTTCTTCTTCTAATTCTATATTTTCACCACAGATTCTAACTTCTCCGGTTGCTTCTCCTCCTATTTATCGTCCTCCTCCGGCGACATGTTCCGGTGCAGAAGCGACGTTACCGTTATCTCTGGTTTGGAGAGAGATACAAGGATCTAACAACTGGCAAGATCTCGTTGAACCTTTAAACCCTCTTCTCCAACAAGAGCTCACTCGATACGGTAACTTAGTCTCCACTTGTTACAAAGCCTTCGATCTAAACCCTAATTCCAAACGTTACTTGAACTGCAAGTATGGGAAAGAAACCATACTTAAAGAAACAGGAATCGACCAACCTGAAAACTACCAAGTCACCAAGTACATCTACGCCACACCGGACATCAACATGATCAGTCCGATACATAACGATGAGAATCAGCGCGCACGTTGGATAGGTTACGTCGCAGTTTCATCTGATGACTCGGTGAAACGTTTAGGTAGGAGAGACATTGTGGTGACGTTTCGTGGAACGGTAACTAACCCTGAATGGTTGGCGAATCTCATGAGCTCTTTAACTCCTGCTAGGTTCGATCCTCATAATCCACGTCTCGACGTTCAAGTAGAATCAGGGTTCTTGAGTTTATACACATCCGATGAGAGTGAGAGTAAATTCGGACTAGAGAGCTGCAGACAACAGCTTCTGTCCGAGATCTCGAGGTTGATGAATAAGCACAAGGGAGAAGAGCTGAGTTTAACACTCGCTGGACATAGCATGGGAAGCTCCTTGGCTCATCTTCTTGCTTACGACATTTCGGAACTCGGTTTAAACCAGAGGAACGGCGAGGAAGATATTCCGGTGACCGTGTTCTCTTTCGCAGGTCCTAGGGTTGGTAACTTGGAGTTCAAGAAACGTTGTGAGGAGCTTGGTGTTAAAGTTTTGAGGATCACCAATGTTAAAGATCCCATAACTAAACTTCCCGGTGTTTTATTTAACGAGAATTTTAGGGCTTTAGGTGGTGTTTATGAGCTTCCGTGGAGCTGTTCATGTTATGCTCATGTTGGGGTTGAACTAACGCTAGATTTTTTCGATGTTCAAAATATTTCTTGCGTTCACGATCTCGAGACTTATATCGATCTTTTAAACCATCGGAGAGTAAGCTCGAGATCATCCGATCCCTATGAAGAAAAGGACAGTGAAAATTCTGCCTTTGAGTTTTTGAAGAGAAAAGGTGAGAAGATAATGTTCCCTGAGGGACAAAGAATGATGCATTGGACCAGCGTCGTGGATCTACTTTCTTCTGTCTCTAATCATATGTTGTATTGTAATATATTTTAGAGCTAGAATGATCCAAACTATAGTTTAGTTTTTTTTTTTTTGGTGGTGTAACAAATAGTCTTTTTTGTTTAAATAACAAAATAGTTATAAGTATATCTATAACGTACAAAGTTTCTTATGCGGATGGTTGTAATAATTTCTCTATATCACAAAGATTATGAATATTTGCATATCCCTTGATCCTATTTTCAGAACCTGAGATTCCACTACTTTTTACTATTCAGAGTATTTATCAAATTTTTATATTTTCACATTTCTAAAACCTGATTATGCTAACAACTATCATGTTAATAATACTATATATTTCTTTAGTGAATATATTCATCAGTCATCTTTTCAAAGTTGCATGAGCGAAATGCAGACAAATTTGTGTGTGTGTGTGTGTACGTCTTTCATATAGAGGTTTACATTTTTCATTTAAAATGTTGTTTACTTTTAAAGATAAATAATTTCAAACTAGAAAAGATAAACTAAACTTGTAAACACGGAAATCTAGCCCTGAATTGTTGGCTGTAATGTGTGAACAACGTGTTTCATTTCTGCCATTTATCTCACTTTATCGTCCTTTTGACTTAATTCTATGTTCCATGCAAATTAGAGTTGACTAACTAACCATTAGTTTTTTTTTTAATAAAAAGATAGCTCTAAGTTTTTTGGTTGTAATGTAAACAATATGTTATCTTTTTAATCAATATGTTGGATGGGTTAATAGCGTTTCGGTCTATCTCTCCGGAGAAAGATGGTTTTGGATCTTTAATTAGTTCGATTTTTGTTTGAGAGGCGCCTCACGAGATTTCGAAGGTTGAATATTAACTACATAACTTAAGGGCGCATAACTTTTTGATGTTAATCCTACTTTATTTTCTTCTTATCGTCCTTTGTACTTATATTTGCTAAAATTATCGTCCTTTGTACTCGAGTCCCTGTTTCATGCAAATTAGAATTGACTATAATCATATTCTCTCTCTAATTAGCATTTTATCATCGAGTTTATATCATCAGATTACTCTAGCTGGTCTTCTCTTGTTCTTCACTGTAATTTAGGTCAAAATTTGACCAACGTTAGGAAATATTCTCTTTCAATGAAATATGTGAGAACGTGGACTCTTTAATCTTTTTTTCTTTTTTCTGTTCATATGATGCAAATAGATATGGTTTCTAAGAATTAAATCAGCTGGAATTATAGATTTGGTATTAAGGTTGATAGGTTTCATGAAACAATAAAAAAAAAACTAGCAGTAAAAGTACATAAAAATGGTATATATACCATCACTAATAAACACAACCATGATGGGAGAATATGTGATTCCCACCTTGTAGTCTCTGTAATCAGGCTATTTGTAAAAGACACCTTTACACTCTTAATATAATCTATAAGAAGGAAAATGGGAACATGATCATAGGTTAGAGTTAGATTGAAAAATGACAAACGTGGGTCCATGAATCCATATATCTTATATTTCTGTATGAATATAATTATGTAAAAATGTGATAAATCGGTCTTAGAAGTATTTAAAGACCATGCACAAAATATACATCAAACGTCTGTTTGATGATACTGTAACTGCTCGGATTATTCTATCCACTCTTGTTTTTTGGTTTTACAGCAAACTACATGACATCGAGTCATCGACCATACTCAGTATTATGGGCTTTTTGGCTTAAAGAGAACACAAATTGGGCCACTCTATGTTCTGATTGAATAGCCCAAGAAGACAAGAATTGATAATTCCACCGAATTTCACGGCACATTATTAATTCGAAAAAAACAAATAATTATATTCAACCATTTCATGAACAGTCATGTCCCTCTCTCCTTTCCTTGCCAGCTTGTTTAATCTTCCACAATCCCTCTCTCTATCTAAAACAAGTCGCAGCTTTCTCTCTCTAAGAAACCAGTAAGATCGATGTCGTCCGATGACGAAGGAGGAGAGGAGTATCTCTTCAAGATAGTGATAATCGGAGACTCGGCGGTCGGGAAATCGAACCTTCTCTCTCGTTATGCTCGGAACGAGTTCAACGCCCACTCGAAAGCCACGATCGGCGTCGAGTTCCAGACTCAGAGCATCGAAATCGATGGCAAAGAGGTCAAAGCTCAGATTTGGGACACCGCCGGTCAGGAACGCTTCCGTGCCGTCACCTCCGCTTATTACCGTGGCGCCGTCGGAGCTCTCGTCGTCTACGACATTACTCGTCGCTCCACCTTCGAGAGTGTTGGACGTTGGCTTGATGAGCTCAACAGTAAGCTCTTTCGCTATAGATCTAAACTCTATTTCTGGTTGAGATTTCAAAACCGATTTCTTTGAATTTTTGTTTGGCTAATCGAAGAATCTCTCTGAGTTGAGAAATGCGATTGATTGAGCTTGAATTCGTACTCAATCTGAATAGTGTGAAGAATTGTGTTTAGCAGATTAGGTCCTATGATTGACTGAAATTGCAAAATGCCAAGATGTATTTTAAGTAGACTTGTGGACTTTGTTGGTAAATTGTGATCAATTGATTGATTATAAGATTCTTACCATTTGGATCTGAAATGTTTTATCGAGACTTTGGTTCTTAGGCCGAAATTGAAGTTTACAAGTCGAAAAGAGAATCTTTTTTAGCATTTTAGGATTCTTGTGGTAAATTTAGACAAGTTTTTGCACCTATTTCTGGAATTGCCGAGCTAAGCTAGGACTCAGCCACACATTTGCTTCTTGAATCTCTCTTTAGATAGTGGCTCGAAGATTAATCCTTTGGATATTAGGCACATACAGTACTAAGAGGAGAGATATATAGTAAATGGTTTCACTTTCTATAAGAAGTTGGTAACATAATGTCCACTCTGTTTCCTTTTTATTCTCATTACTCATTAAGCAACCATAATCTCTCTCTACGTTCTTGCATTTCCTCTAAGTTTGTAAAGATTCATATGATTCTGTTCAATTGTGAAACTTTGTTGATTTCATTTGCTTGTTTTGTTTTGGTAGCACATTCGGATACAACGGTGGCGAGGATGCTGGTGGGAAACAAATGTGACCTAGACAGCATTAGAGCGGTGAGCGTGGAAGAAGGCAAAGCCCTAGCGGAAACAGAGGGACTATTCTTCATGGAAACATCGGCTCTCGATTCAACAAACGTTAAAACTGCTTTCGAAATGGTGATCCGCGACATCTACACCAATGTTAGCCGGAAACAACTCAATTCCGACACTTACAAAACACAACTAAACGCCAACAACCGAGTAAGTCTCGTTAAGGACGACAATAAGGGATCCAAGCAAGGCTTAGGTTTCTCTTGCTGTTCTTCCTCGTGACCTCATTTTGATTCTAAATTATTTTTCTTTTGCTTCATTTGTTACAAAGTTCCATTAAGAAAAGAAAAAAGCAGCTCCATAAGATTTTTCTTTTATTTTTTTCTCCCATAACAATAAGCAAAGATCTTATAGATTCATATTTGTAATTTTTCTTCAAGTTTGGATCATACACAGTAAGACTTTACACGATGATTAATTACTATTGGTATTATTTTATTAGGTTAATCCAGTTATTCAAAGAGGAGGCTTTTTTTATAAAAAACTATTCCTTACGAAGTTATGATCAAAAGAATTGTCCGCAAAGTTAATATAACTTTTTAACAGAGGAAAGTTAATAAAGAAGAATTTTGTTCCTCTAAGCTAGTATCAAATACGGTAACGAGATGTTTCTATTTTCGAATATAATAATAATACTCATAAAGAAACTTTTGAATGGTATAAGATAATAATTTTCACCTTATGAAAGAATGGTCGTACAACCTGATGAGTGACCGGGCTGATCTCTCTGTGAGATCACAAAAATTCAATGTAACTTTCCTAAAAACCTAACACATCCCAAAAAGACGAGACACAATGTGTAAGGCATCGATAAAAGAGTACACAAAATTCCCCTAACGCTCTCAAAACAAAAATCTCTTTCTTTAAGAATACAACCAATCCAGAAGAAGACACAACACAACACACACAACCATTGAAGAAGAAGAAGATTTCACACCTTTTCTTCAGACCATAAGAGACTCCATCATCAATCTTCAATCAATCTTTACCAAAACATTTAAACCTTCTGACCGCAACCACACGGTTTCACAAGGCTATGGAAGATGATCATGTCTTTTTGCTAAAATCCACAAATCTGCTTCTTTGTTTGTATAACCTGGAAGCAGGCTGCAATGCTGAATATGTATGAACGAGAATCTCACCAAAATGACGATTTCTTGTGCTTATCAAACTAAGACTTTGATCCAAGCTTAATGATCATATAGCATGAACAGGAGTAGCAGCAGCTTCGGCTGCCTTCTTTTGCTTCTCCTTCTCGATCTCCACTCTTCTCAGCTCTGCATGCTCTGCTATTCCGTTCGCAATCGCCTGATAAGTGAAGTCCAGTGACTGGTTAAGGTTCTGAAACCTCAGCGCATCTGATGCCTGCATAACTGTTTGATGGACAAGGATGCGGTCAAACAAGATGTAAACTTGACAAAATGAAGCTCCCTATAGGATTGTGTGGTCGGGAATGGTGATCAGAGAATTTTATATACTGGTACCTCTGATTGCGTCGACAAAGAACACAAAGGCATCCACCTCATCGATGGGTGACTGGAACTCCTCGTCATCGCTAAAGTCATCATCATCAGAATCGTCATCATCTTCATCATCATAGCCGAAGGCCTTCGCCTATGAAGCGGACAAACAAATTGGCAGAGTCAATTCCCGCGAAAAAAAAAACATCTTTGGCAGAGGGAAGTCGATACAAACGCTTGACAAACCTGTGCAGCTAACTTCCGCAGTTTCATGCTTTGTGCTTCATCTCCATCCTCGGTATCCTCCATCTCCCCATCAGAACCATCATCATCATCGTCGTCATCACTCTGGAGTCCATTCATCTCATCCTCATAATCTACTTCTGTCTCCTTTGCTGCTTCTGCGAGAAGGATGGGAAAGGGAATATTGTAAACATTATCACACCAAGTGAAGAGAAACTGTATCATAAGCACAGCATACCAGCTAGCTGATTCTTATATGCAACTAGAAGATCAAGTGTTGCCCTGAAAACACGCTGCAGCGCTTCATCCGGAAATTGACCGCCCGGGAGAGCAAGTAATGAAGTTAAACCCAAGCAGCAAACCTTTTTATCGTGTTCCCTGGTATACAAAAGAGCAGCTTGTTTATCAGCTATTCAAATTGAAAAATAGAAAGTCCAACCATTACACTTAAAAGCTTCCATGAACAAGATAAGACATAAGACAAAGGGTCAAACCTTTTGAAGTTTGCAGGCAGGCCACTCTTTTTCTTTTGTTGCAACATCTGGAACCAAAGATCAAAGACTTTTGAAGCAAGCCCCGTGTTATGTAACACACCAAGAGTCAAACCTGGATTGTAGTAAAGCATATTTGCCACCTGCGAATAGAAATTATAAGTTTATTTGAGAACTTGATCAAGAAAGCAAACTTTTAGAAAAACTTCAAGAAAGCAGATATAATGGTGGTTCCCTTGCAACGAAAAAAACGTTGAGAATTTCAAGCCATCGTTGTAACCATCACACAACAATGGAATTAATTCAATGCAAGCTCTCCTGATTCATATAGTGAGACTGAAAGAACTAAACTGGTAAGTTGGAATCACAGCAGGTCAACAAATCCTCCACACAGTTCTTACCACTTGTATAAGAAGAGATTTTAAATATGAAGTCTCGGCTCGTTGTAACCGATCAATAGTGAGCCGCAGATATGGTTCAATCCACTGATCCACCTGCCCTTTGCAATTCTGGAAAACAACTTCAATAAGCTTTGGAGCAGACTCAATATCACTGTCTTCTATGTTTCTGTCGGTCATAAGCTGTAGAAATATAAACGTGAGACATAAATTAGCTATGAAGATAACAAATGGTATTGCTAGGTAGACTGATGAGTGATTTGCTTGGGTAGAGTAACTTGGGAGATGCTTATATACCCAACATCTTCACACTACGACAGCAAGAAATGCCATATGTTTTGCTGAAAATTGTTCTTATTATTTACAGTACACTCGAGGCCAACAACTTTCTACCAGTATAGGCATATATAACTCGTAATTTCTGTTAGACGATAAAGGAAGATTCTATCCCTTCATGATATGTACAAAAATTCCATAACCTTACGTTCGGAACAACCAACAAGCACAGACCATTTAATTGCACTATAAGTATCAAAAGATATACTTACAGTTGAAAGAACATTAAATAGACTTTGCTGATAGTCGGGCTCCTTGCAAGTGAGAAAATGAGCAGTTCCCCTTGATATAAAGTTATCCATTGGAACCAATATATCTAAATTTTCAAAGAATAACTTTAGTGAGTGGAACAAAAAATATTGACAAGGAAGTTCTATAGTGAGAGAGTAAACTAATAATAAAAACATATATAAGAGAAGTCATACTTGGAAAGAAATCGATTGCCCAATCGACCAATGCTTCCACCATTAATGGCCAGAGACTCCATATGTCCAAGGAAATGTTAGGTGAATAAAAGGTCATGTATGATGCGATCTCCAAAACTTCTTCAAATACCTCTGCCAGAACAAATAGGTTGAAAAATTAAATGCTTTCGTTAACAAGTTAAAACAGCTGGAAAAGGAATTGGATGATCTTGAGATCTGATGCTACTATACAACAAATGGCTGAAAAAAAAATAACGGATATATATTTCTGATATAGAAAAATGCATACTGATGGAAAGAATCCAAATGGCTAACAAATCAGTCCAAAAGTCTATCATCTGGACACAATATAACTTAATTATGCTCGGAGTCTACAAGCAAAGGACCAGAGCTAAATGAGAGAAACTCGAGAAGCATCAGTTTACCTTGGCCATCAGTGGTCAACATTTTTTGCATTATTGGAAGTATCGTTGGTTCTATCTCAACAAACAGCTGAGGAAGACTGCTAACAGATTCAAGGATTGTGCTTATGGCACGCAAACAACCGACTGCAGCTAAAGCTCCCATGTCATCCGAATCATCAGCTTCCGACGTGTTTAGACACCTCCAAAATGCAGCCGCCTGAGCAAAAGGAGAATTATATATACATATCTTGCCAACGTTTAATCATTCAAGAGAACTAGACACATGAGATAGCCCATTTTCTTACCAGATTTTGGCATAATCCAAAAGCATAAGGAGCCATCTCCTCACCAAACTTATCTACGATAGTCTCCAAAGTAAAAACAAGGTCTTCATTCTCTACCTCATTCATGAGTTTGAAAAATTCTGATGGAAGCAAGATCACACCATCAAGTTAAAGCATTAGTTTACTCCAACAGCTGACCAAATGATCATCTACTTTTTATAAACCAGGGTTACCTACCATCAAGTAACTGAGGGAGGATTGGACGTATCTCATTCAAATCTGCATGTTCGGCCAGACAGTTTTAATTAGCCACATATAAACCCAGAACACAATGAAGAAGACAACAACGGACACAGGTAACAGATGCAAACAGATTCATGCATACAAATGGACATGAGTAAAACACATACCCTTGCACGCCTCGACAAATGAACGTAATGCAAAAACTGAATCAACACGAACAGGGAGATCAGGATCGCGCAGTCCCGAAACAACACTATGGAACGCTTTACGGAAGTTGTTCTGATCCAGGAAGTTGATATGTGCATATTGTCCAGCTACCCATGCAGCCTACATCCAAGAACCCAATCGTTAAACAGATCAAAGGGGATCCCAAAGAATATAATATCTAATACTGGACACAAAACAGGAAATTCATACAAAAATATCGATAACACTGCATCAGTCGCCCCAAGTATCACAATAATTCATCTAAGCAATGATACAGAGAATTCTCAATTAAATGGAGATGTACAACAGAGCCCCTGTTTTCGGCAACAATGGATTGCTGAGGTATTCATGACACAGTTTAAAGCCAAAAACAACGAATACCTTTGCTCTAAGATGTCCAACTGGACTACTGAATTCAGGAAAAATATGTTGCACCAACATACGCTCTAGTTCAGATTTATAGGGATCCGTTTGCTTCAGTTTATCACAAAGAGCTCCAACAGCAAGCATCGCGCCATCTTTTTGACGATAAGGCTTACGTTCTGCAGGAGCTTCGTCATAACTACAAAAAGTCGAAAAACAAGTTCTCAACAAGACACAAATAGGAGAATAAGATCCAAGCAGAAGAGCTCAAATGGAATACCTCCTGAAGATCCCTACAACAAACTGAACAAATTTCGGAAGATTCTCTTTCCCACGTTTTCGAACCAACTCATTTACAAAATCCATAGACGCTGTTCGCGGACTGTACAAGTCTTCAATGATATCTGCAATGCAGCACAACAGATATCATTAAATATGATATGTTTAAGATTTTTTACGAAAGTCACTAATTTTTAATACTTACTGTAACCTTTCCTCACATATTCATGAGGATCTTCCTCCCAAAGCTTTTGATCAGCGTCATTAAAGCACATTAGAGGGAAAACAATCTCAAAAAGCAGAACATCCAGCCGAGGCAGCAGCAAATTGTACATGCTATTCTTCGAAATGCTGCAGATATATTGAATTAGTGTCAAAGAATTACGAACTCTCTTCAACGAGGAATACCACATATGTCAAAAAAAAGAGTAGTAGATTTTTATTTATTTACTTAATACATGATCAAAGGTAGAATTAAAATCAAGAATGTATTATTCGTTGACCAAAAAAGTAAATCTACAATGCCAGAGAAATGAGGAAACTTAAGTTCGCCAAGTGAGCATACTGATATATACGCATGAAACTATAGCACACAAGGAACTGTAACACAAACCTGTTGCTTAAGTACTGAAGGAGAAGATTGGTAACTCTGTCAGGAAGATAGCCTCCAAGACGAATTGTATTCAGAAAATTTAGGTGGCTTTCCAAAATCCTGCCTGCATAATTCTTTTGAAACATTTGGGCGAAAGGTTTGTTTTCTGGAGTTTGAAGTTTTGGGTCTCCAAACCTATCGCAATGAATGTTCACAAAAATTCAATAGACGTTTGAAGAGTACTTTTTGTTTAACATATTAACTTCACAGACATACCGACTATAGAGCCTGTTTAAGATGTGCACTGTCCACTTCTTGACCTTCCACCAGCCCCAAGATTTTCTAAGTTCCGGATCCATAGGCTGGCCTTCAATTGGAACAGGACGCTCCGAAACACTCAAGAACAGAGCCATCCAGGCATTAAATACGTTTGGATCAAACAATTGCTTTGGCAGCTCCAGCTGCCCACAGATAAAAGTATGAAATTATCATGAGGTGAACCTCTGGAAAGTAACACAAAATGAAGATCCAAAACTTCCACCAAAATTATCAACGACGTATACGGGAGGGGATAAGGGAGCCTATGGTGCCAGTCTTTTATTTATTTGTTGGGGTTACCAAAGAAGAGTTTAACTAAACAAATTTGCCAAATGTCAATTAGATAAGAAACCATGCAATGCAAGTAATAATCTGAAATACAAAAAGAAAGAGACAGGGATAACAAATGGAGTTGGAACTTGGAAGTTCGAACCACCTATCTAGGAGTCCTTGTCCCACATTTTTCACTTTGACAAACACTACTAGTTTGAATTGTATTTTAACTTTTTATGGATATGCATATTAACTTAGAAAACAAAATGTACAATTACGCACAGAGAAGCACAAGTAACTGATCTCTCTAGTGACTTACATATATGGTTGACCAAAATATTTTGCATATCAGCTTCATAAATTCTGCTATCTCCAGAGATGGATTAGCTATCTGAATAAGCCCATTAAAAATAGTCAAAAGTAGAGGAAATGTCTCCTCCACAATGCGGGAAACCGGTGTCCTCTCCTCGTCTGACTTGAACCTAGAAAACAAAATTTTGAAACAGAATCAAGGGGGTGGGATACTTATGCGTAACCAATGAGACTGTCATCTAGATTTGCTGCTTCTTTTGCATGCACAACTTGCGTTCCTAGCTGGAACTCGTCTAAACTTCATAAGGCATTATAAATATTGTCTGAACGAGCCATGAACGGCATTGTATTGTGATAGTACATTTTTTTAACATTCATCCTAACACTTATTTTCCAATACAAATTGTCTCTCCCGAACATTGTTTTCTACTCAGGTGTGGTTACCACCTAAAAGTTTTTACTCAGTGTGCTACACTGAAACAGTCAAATTAGTGCTACTGCAACCGCAGACAATCATGAAGATAATTCAATAAATCATATCAATACTTCCACTAACAAACTTTTAAATCATCCACACAGGCATGGGAATACGGAATGGAAAGTGATGAACTTACTCATATTTTCTAGAGAGTATCCGCAGAACAAACAAGGCTCCATAAATTTGTTGATTTTGCAAGTTGTACTTCACCCAATCCAGAAGACGTGGCCAATGTTCTGGGTAGTCAGCATATATAATTGTCTTGAGGCACTCTCCAAGTTGTGATCTGGATCAGAAATTAAAGGAAAGAAACTGAATTATGATTCTCGTTGAGAAAAAAAATGAAGAATAAGTTCAAAAGCTGTCTAGAAAATTCACCTGAGTAAGGTCGGAACTTGGGTGACATAGACGAGGATGTTGTCCCTCACCAATTCTTTGTCGCTTTGCAATATCCTCTGCTGCTCTCCTGCACCATCAGATATGATAATCAACCCAAGAGCTTTCCCAAAAAATCAAGAAGGAACAAGAAAATTAGTAGTTATTACCAGAATCTTCAGGTGACCAGTTCTTAGCAATGAAGTTTTTGAACTGAATGCTAGCAATTTGACGCACTGCCATGTCACAACTTCCATCCACGGCTATCTGCAATAACCTCACCAAATGCTGTGGCGTGTGCTGCAACTGCAATACAGAGAATAACGAGAAACACAGACATCAGGAACTTCAGAACTTAAATCTGATTAAACTAAGTCCAACTAGAAATAGTAAAACCCCAACTCCAACACCATTGAAATCAGACTATATGTGATTAAAAGCAATAGCGATCTGTCAAAAAGTTGGGTATCTCTGAACAATCTTGGGTAAAACACTTATCCAACAAACAACTCGAGAAAATAAATCCAAAAAGTTAACTTTTTAAGGATTATCTTTAATACACGAACTCAGCTCACGGAAAACGAGAGCACCAACTGAAAGAAAAAATTCAAAATGCTATAATCGAAAAAAAACTTCCTGCCTACATCTGGGAACAATCAAAATCGCAAAGAATATCAAAACCCAGTAACCGTAAAATACATCTTAAAGAGAATTCAAGTGAAGAACAAAAAACTGAGAAACCTGATTGAGTTGCTGCTCAGAAGCTTTCCGTTCATCGGGATTGGGGCTGAGAGCGGCGGCTCGGAGGATCAAAGCGAGGCTAGGCAGATCCATCCTCCGGGAAGTTTGGAAATCGAGACACTAGACAGAGTACAGTAGAGAGAGTGGGCAGAGACGATCAAAGGCGGCGGTGGATTCGATTTGAATTTTCCGTTCAAAATCCCTGTAGGGAGCTCAATTGAGTAGGAAGAGATTTCAGTAGAGCATCAATAGGGTTTTAAAGCGACAAAAATGGCGGAGAAGAAGGGAGAGGAAGATGATAGTTGGCGAGAGTCGAGAGGGACAAATAGAGCTGGAGGAAAAAGAGTATTTAAATCCCTAGGGTTGTTTAACTAACCACCATTTTTTGATTGACCCGGGTCGTCTATAAAGCCGGTTTAATTCGAACCGGGTCTTTTCCAACTAAAATGGATTGATAAATAGTTTAAAAACAAAAACTGTCGATGACTTGATATTCAACTATTCATGACTGTTGATGAGCATAATCCTGTTTATGTCTAGAGATGGTCTGTAAAGGACTAATCATAATGAGAAAAAAATTATTGATTTATTTTAAAGAAGGGTTAAAAGTTGTTTTATGTTTTTGTTTAGAGGAAGTTTGCCGACGTATAAATCTAGTCTGATAAAAAATTTAGCTTAACTAAGTATTTGATTGTTCGGGCGTAATCCGTGAGAAGTTAGCTCATACGAAGTGTGGTTTAGTGAAGTCTACGAACCCGAGTCATGTATCTCCTCTAAATATCCATTCATTTCATAATGAAGATAGGTTACTAAAGTGACTTTTTGGGGATCAAACATTACGTTTAACATCAGTCTCATGTTTACTTTCACATTCCAACTTATATGTCTTCATCACCATATAATACTTGGATACATCATATCTTATGGCAGGCGACATATGTCATTATCCAGGCAACTATCGGCTAAATTTTTGTTTTGCAGGTTTTACTTGTAGTTGCGTCAGAGAGAATTAGGGGTAGTAAGTGGATGATTTGTTGATGTGGCATAAGGAACCTAATATTAAAATTTCTTTTGATAGATAATGAATTTAGTGGTCAACTTTTGGTACTAACCAAAATGATCTTTCATTATTACTGATTGAATTTGAACTGAAAGTTTTCAATTCATTTCAACATGATATTAAAACTCAAGTGACCTATTATTGATATATTACTTGATCCGACCCTCTGAATCCAGAAAGATGGTAAAAGAAAAAAGAAAAGTGGCAAAACTCAAGAGTCAAGAGTTTTTTTTGTCTGGGCATTGACACAACAATAGCAATCGAGTAAAAAAGACAACAAGTGCATACTAGTAAACACTACTCTTAAGTCTTATATACCGAAGCAGATATTGATATTGCATTGTTCAAAAGAAAAGAAGCAGATATTGCTACAAATATACATACAGCATGAATGTTTGTATGTATGCATGCGGAGGTATATAAACAGACAGATCATTAGATCTGAGAATGTTGTCATCTAAAAAAACCCGGCGGGAACGGAAAGCTAACTTCTTTCTTCTCCCTCCAAAGGTGGAGGATTTTTTTTTTCTCCAATTCTTGTTTCTAAACCCTAATTTCTGTTACCCACGAAACCCTAGCAATTTGGGGGTACGGTGAAGGGAAAAGAGAGAGAGATCTAGAGAAAGGCAGCTCTTTGCGAAGCTTTGTGCCTTTCTCCTTCCGAATAATCTCAATGGCGTGTGTCTCGGATGAAACCCAGATCGAAATCGACACTCAAGACCACGTCGAAGCTCCGATTCGCTACGCATCTATTGAGCTCATGTATTCAGTTCCCTCGTCGTCATTGTGCAATGTTGCCGTCGGTTCCCAGAGTCTGATGTCCAAGAAGGTCATCAAGGCCCAGAAGCTCTCGATGATTGATCAATTCGAGGTCCAAGGTAGCTGCGTGAGCTCCATTGCCGACAAATGTAAGCTGCTGACTCGGCGTCCTGAGATTGTTTACGTTTACTGTCGCCGCCGTAAGAGGACACGGCGGGAGTCTTTCCTTGAGTCGGTGAACACTGAAAGTTTGAAGCTTGATGATGCAAGCGCTTGGTTTGAGGAAGAGAAGAAGCAGAAGCAAAGGAGGATTGGTAATTGCGAGCTGGAGAAATTGGATGTGGATTGGAGTGGTCTAAGGAGTTGTGGGAATAAGCAAAATGGGTCATCGCGAAGGAAAGGGAGCTCTGTCAAGAATCAGGACAAGTTGTCTCTGGCTTCTACTTCAGCCAAGAGATGGGTCAGGTTAGTGTTTATCGATCTATGACTTCTTCATCTTTTGAAAGTCGCGGTCTTTGGAAATTGTGTGGTCTTTCGAACTTCTTTTTTTGTGGGTTTCTTGTGCGCTCTTGTTTTGCGTCGATGATCTACTTAGCTCAGAGGTTCAACCTGTAGACATTTTATTGTTAACGGGCCTTGTATGATGGGAGAGTTTTGACTTGGCAGGTTGAGTTACGATGGTGTGGATCCTAAAAGTTTCATAGGGCTGCAATGCAAGGCAAGTGTTAAACTAGACATTTGGATCTACATTAAGCCACTGCATTCCATTTTTTTTGTCTTGTGAAGGGGACATCTTAACAATTGATTGTTGTTGAATCCCTAGGTGTTTTGGCCGCTGGACGCTGTATGGTATACAGGTTCTATTGCTGGATACAGTTTAGAGAGAAAACGTCACAATGTAAGTAGTTCTGTCTACTCTGCTTGAGTTGTGCCGTTTAGTTCTGAGTTTGGGTAATTTAGTGAGCTACGGAATATTCAAAAGCTTGTTCCTCTTACACTGGTTGAATTCTTCTATAGGTTAAATACGAGGATGGTTATGAAGAAGATATAAAACTTGATCGTGAAAGGATCAAATTTTTCGTTTCTCGTGAAGAGATGAATCTGTTACATCTGAGCCTTTGTACTAGTGATGTGACTCTTGGTGGCCATGATTACGATGAGATGGTTGTATTGGCAGCTGCTTCGGAGGATTGTCAAGATTTTGAGCCTGGTGACATTGTATGGGCGAAACTAGCTGGTTTGTACTAAACCTTTTTATTCATATATTCAAACCCTTCTTTATGCTACCAGTAATTTTATGCGTTGAAAGCGTTTAGACAGGGAAAACTACCTACTGACTTCCCTTTGCATTTGCTTACCGTTTTGGACAGGTCATGCTATGTGGCCAGCAGTAATTGTGGAAGAATCTGTTATTGGAGAGCGAAAAGGTTTAAACAACAAGTTATCTGGAAGAGGATCACTCTTGGTACAATTTTTTGGCACCCATGATTTTGCTAGGTTAGCCAGTGTTCTCTAAATTTTTAAATATTTTTTTTTTGCTAGTGAGTTGTTGTGATAAATGTTACGCATTGTCAAGGGAAAGTTAACATCCTTTGGTTGTATTAGGATAAAAGGAAAGCAAGCAACCTCATTTATCAAAGGGCTTCTCTCGCCATCTCACTTGAAGTGCAAACAACCTCGGTTTGAAGAGGGCATGCAGGAAGCAAAAATGCAAGTCCCTCTCGCTTTTCTTTGGCATTCCGCTTTCTTCATTGTCCAGTACTTGTTCCATTACAATCAGACCAATCAATTCTCCCTGGTGTTTTGAAACTTGCATGTCCTGAAGTTACTGTTATTTTGCCTCACCCAGGTATCTGAAAGAACATAGGCTTCCAGAAAGGATGAGTCAACTTCAAAAAGGAGCTGATTCCAATTATTCCGATAGGGCCAATTGTACAGAAGAAGGCAGCTCAAACTCGGGTGGTGATCACTTTAATGATGGAGAAGTGTGGTTGAGACCAACAGAAATTGTAGATTTCCGGCATCAAGATCATCCTACTGGTTACCGACCTGTTCGTGTTGACTGGAAAGATCTCGATAAGTGCAATGTCTGCCACATGGATGAGGTTATGGATGCATTTTTTTTTTTTTATCAACAGGACATTTCAACTTTCTTGCGCTTTTATAAGTAGTTCTGATTTATAAAGTTTTTTTTGGTCTGCAGGAGTATGAGAACAATTTGTTCCTGCAATGTGATAAATGTAGAATGATGGTATTGCTCATGCTCTGAGATTTATATATAAATATATTGTATACTCTTAAACTTATATTCTACAGTGCCCTGTGTTCTTTCTTTCTCCGAGGTATGACTCAATTTGAAATTTCTGGTCCACTACTAGGTCCATGCTAGTTGCTATGGAGAGCTAGAACCTTGTGATGGTGCTTTGTGGTTATGCAACTTATGTCGTCCTGGAGCTCCTGATATAACTCCACGGTGTTGTCTTTGTCCTGTAGTAGGTAATTTGACCGTACCATTTGGTGTGTGGAGTCTTTTATGTTCTTTCTTTTTTTTTTTTTGATAAAACTTGTGTCCTTTCATTAGTGAATAATTAAACTTCTTTTAGGAGGTGCTATGAAGCCGACAACTGATGGGCGATGGGCTCATCTAGCTTGTGCTATATGGATCCCAGGTTCAATCTTAATGATTTGCTATAATGTATAAGCCTGCTTTCTACTGAAGAAACAGGAGACCTTTTACTTGTTTTTGCGAATTAACACTTGTTATTTTTTTTTATTAGAAACATGTTTATCTGATGTCCAAAAGATGGAACCGATTGATGGGGTGAAGAAAGTCAGTAAGGTTTGTACTCATTTCTTTTTCTGGTTCTTTTACCCCGGTACTATGGCCTATTCAAACCTCTTATTCCTCTTCCTTTTTCCAAATTCTTAAAACTAGGATCGCTGGAAATTACTGTGCACCATCTGTGGAGTATCTTATGGAGCTTGTATCCAAGTAAGATTTCGTTCTTTGTTCAGAGAAAACTGAATCATTCCTATACATTGTGTTCTGTTCTTCTTTGTCATAGTTTTCTGATCATACCTGTAAAGCTTTTGGATTATTGCTTCAGACGTTATTGACTTTGACAGATATATGAACTTATTGTTTTGTTTTTGAAGCTATGATGCATATTTTAAATCACAGGAATGTGTGATCTATGAGTTTTCCAGTAGATATCTTAGAACTTATTTATTGTTTGTTCTTCCTGTCAGCTGCCTAAGTCCCATGTAGTTTCATTGAGTAGACCTTGTTGTTTTGTTTTATTGCAAGAATTTTGATCTATCTTTTTGAAATATTGCATTGGGATATCTGCCAACTTACAGTTATGTTTGCCATTTAGCTCGTGTATGAGTTTTGTTCTAGATAATGGATTCTGGTTACTACAGTTAACATTTATGTGCATGCCATTGTTACTAAGGCCAGCGATGAATTGATATAATGTTATGTATGACTACATTTTCAGTGTTCAAACTGTTCTTGTCGTGTGGCATATCATCCACTCTGCGCGCGAGCTGCTGGTCTCTGTGTTGAGGTACTATCAGATCTTCCAGGGAATCAGGAGATTTTGCATTCATACTTACACACATTCACTCAAAACACAGCTAATCCACAAGAAATGATTTTAACTAATGATGGCTTTCCTGACTGTCCGTGTAGCTTGAGAGTGAAAATCGAATTTTCCTTCAATCAACGGAGGATGAAGAAGCAGATCAGTGTATCCGCATGCTTTCATTCTGTAAGAGGCATCGACAAACTTCAACTGCCTGCCTAGAATCAGAAGACATGATCAAAACCACTACTCAAAAAACTTCTGAGTATCTCCCACCACCTAATCCATCTGGCTGTGCTCGTACTGGTATGTAGCTAATGCATTGACCTTTGGCTACTAGGATTGAACTTTTAAATTACACCACACTTTTATTCTCTTTCGTCGCATATGACCATGTGTGTTTTTTTCGTTTATCTTTCACGTTCTTACAGATCCTCTTGGAATAGTATTTTTTATACAAACCTTTTTTTCTATTTGATACACAGATTCTGTCTCACGCATTTTTCACATTCTTTTATACATTTCTTCATTTTTGCATCCTAGGGTCAGCAGCGTAGAATGCATAATTTCAACATACTTTTCATCTATTGTTGCAGAGCCTTATAATTTTCTTGGAAGAAGAGGGCGGAAAGAACCTGAAGCTCTTGCGGCTGCTTCTTCGAAGCGCTTATTTGTTGAGAATCAGCCATATGTTGTCGGTGGTTACTCCCGAAATGAGTTTTCAACCTATGAATGCATTCACGGGTCAAAAGTGTCACAGATTAATACTCCAACCAACATCCTTTCTATGGCTGAGAAATATAGCTACATGAAGGAAACATACAGGAAGAGATTAGCATTTGGTAATCATTCATTCTTCTTGAATTATCAGCAAATCTTAAAAGATTATAGTAGTAGGATATATGTAAGATTAAGTAATCTGTTGGATTTCTTTGAAAACCATCTTCTACAGAATCTTCCTTTTCTTCTAAAAGTTCGGGTTTTTTTTTCCCCAGGGAAATCAGGAATTCATGGTTTTGGCATCTTTGCAAAGCTTCCGCACAGGGCTGGAGATATGGTGAGCATACTAAACTTGAACTGGAAATTTCATCTTTGGAAAGTGTCAATCATGATAATATCGGATGAGTCCGTTGCAGGTGATTGAATACACTGGAGAACTTGTTAGACCTTCCATAGCTGATAAAAGAGAACATCTTATCTACAACTCAATGGTGGTACGCAGTTCTGACTAACTTTGTACATTTTGTGTGCTACATATATGGAAGATTCTACGATTCATCTAAATCGTGCTTTCTATGTATTTTAACTAACCGTTCTTTTTCTTCTTTGTATTCCAAGACTGCTCTTTCATAGCATTTCCCTTAAAAGTAGAAATCAATCAGGGATACTAATGAATTAATTAATATATAGAGAAAATTATTTGTTTCGTATGTGGATAGGGTGCGGGGACTTACATGTTTAGAATTGATGAGGAGCGAGTCATAGATGCTACAAGGGCAGGAAGCATTGCCCACCTGATTAATCACTCTTGTGTGGTATGTCTATGGCCCCATCAATCTTGATTGCTTGTATTCAATTTAGTTAGCATTTGCAAAATTTTAAGCATCTAACTTTTATGCAGCCAAATTGCTATTCGAGAGTCATCAGCGTAAATGGAGATGAACACATTATCATTTTTGCAAAGAGGGATGTCGCTAAATGGGAAGAGCTGACTTATGACTATAGGTTTCATTTTCATGCCCTTTTTCAAATCATCTGTTAGTGAGATAATTCTATAATCATTTGCTGAACTTTGTGCTTGTAATTTACAGATTCTTTTCAACCGATGAGCGTCTTTCATGTTCATGTGGCTTCCCAGGGTGTCGAGGTGTTGTTAATGATACAGAAGCCGAAGAACAACAGTCGAAAATCTGTGTTCCTCGTTCTGCTCTAATAGACTGCATCTGAGAAAAGCTATGATACACCCTTTTTATTGTTGTAGCTCCTTATACTGAGAGTGAGAGCAATGTGTTGTTAGTTTTGTTACAGTCCATTTTTCTGTACAGATAACTAATTAGTGAGTAGTAACTAGACCGATCACAGAAACTCTTTTGTAAAGCCACACTTACATTCTCTTCTTCTTTTCAGATTCCATAGAGAACGAAAAGCTTTATTTGCAAGGATCATATCTGCAAATAAGGGTTACAAAATTTGTTGGGTATTAAATTTGAGGTTATCTACTCTTATACAGCATAGTGAGCTCTATCATAGAGTTGGAAGATTTATGGGTAATGTTTGAAGTTACCTCCCAAAAGGGTCAGATTTCTACTGTATCGGGATTGCATTCCGATATTTTGCCAACCAATGCACCACATTCCTCCTGTAGAAAGTAAGTTTTTAGTGTTATATGTAATGAAAACAGAGATTACAAAGAAAGATCACCAGAGTACAAACGCAACCAGAATCAAAAGTTGCTTACAAGAGGGGAAAAAGGTAATCACGAAATGGAAAGTGGCATTTTGGATAACCTTCATCAACTCTGCATCAAAGTTTAACAATGAGGGCCGCAAGGAGACAAATTATGTGACACATTGATGCATCCCAGAGTACTGAAAGCATCTTCTATAAGAGTCATATTTCTGATTATAAAACACTTCAATCAAGTAGATCCAACATATCTTGCCTACCAACAAATTACGATTTTGTAACCGGACGGACATTACCAAGTTGCGTATGAGTTAACTAAATATAATAGCTTTCACAGCATTTATCAGTTGAGTTTCATGTTTAATCAGCAAATAACTGGAATGGGTGATGGAGAGACGTAGAGGAAGGCATGTTCAGTAGTCAGTTCGACCAATACGGGTAGACAGTTACTTTATTTTCCCGTTGTGGATTTTCCATAATTGAATTTACATAATATGATGTAATAGCCATTCCTTCTCTGAATAGGACCAAGAGTTTTCATAGAGCTAAGAGCGTTAAACCTCAAAAAACCTTGACATAAGTTTAGAAACAACTTGAGAAAATAACTATATAAGAAAAAACAACTAGTGAGTATCATCAAGAGACGCAGAAAAGTTTTAGCAAAAAAAGAAGCATCATCCCATGGAAGGAGTAACAAACAAGTTTCTTCTAGGCGACTGGGATCATCTCAGGGTAATCTACGGCTGTGAGGGCTGCTTCCGGTACGAGAGCAGCAGGAGTAACAGCCTGAGCAGGCGCTAGGTTGATACTTTCTTCCTTAGGAGCATGGATGATCACAACATCAGGCAATGGTGTCATTGGTCCTGTTTTACCCTTAGGGTCCCAGTCAAGCATGACCTTGACCTTGATTCCAAGCACACCCTGCACATTTTGGTTTAACCAGTCTCAGGTTAGACATTGCCGAGTTTACTAACATGAAAAAGAGGAACTCAGAAGCAGAAGAAGAAGAAGAAACACACCTGTCTAAGCAAGACATGTCTAACGGCAGAGTCAATGTACTCCTTGGTAGGTTGACCAGAGGAAACCATGTAACCATCCTTGAATTTCATTGACTTCGCACGTTGAGCACGGAGCTTTCCACTCACAATGACCTGCAAACAAGAATTTTAGTAACATAATATGAAAAACGTCCGAGATATCTTGCAGAGAGAAAAAAACAGGAATTTGTATTCACCTCACATCCCTTAGCTCCACTCTCCATGACGAATCTCAAGACACCATAGCAAGCCCTATACAACACAATACAATAGCAATGTAAAGATCCTGAGATAAGAGCTTCAATTAAAAAAGCAGCTTCACAAAATTTAACAAGACCTAGCCCAACCTCCACTCGTAAAATCAGCATAATATAAGCAAGATAAATGGTGACGACACAAAAACATAGAGAAATGGTCACACTCTCTATGAAGGCAAGGAAACATTTACAATGACATCTCATACATATAACTATTAGGCTTGGTGAATGCCTATATGAGCCGCAAGCTAACAAAATCCAAACTTTTGATGAATTAAATCCAACTAAGAAATATCGCAGACTAACCTACGAACAGCAAGTCCACCGAGGAGCTTGTAACGGAGAGACTCAGCCTGAGCAATGGCACAGAGACCTCTGTTGTTGACCTTCTCAGCATAGAGCTCGACACTGTCTTGAGGAAATCTGAATCTTTTCTGAACAAGCGATGTCAATTCTCTGATTCTCCTCCCCTTCTCACCTATATCCAGCAGACCCATTAACTACTCTTATCAAATCAAGAAACTTTGATTTCAAATTCCAAAATGAAACTTTGATTTCAAATCCCAAAATGAAGACGAGATTAAACATACCGAGAACGTTCTGAGTACGGGTGGCTCTGATAATAATCTCAGTCCTCATTGGAGTAACCCTAACCTCCACACCTGAATAACCATCCTCTGCAAGCTCTCTGGTGAGAACCTCATTCAACTCGGCGTAGAATACACCGTCGGCTACAAACTATAAAAGGCAACACAGTTACTGAAATGCAGCGAAAGAGATCCATTTTGGAAGAAGAAGGAATTACAATTCACCTTTCTCTTCTTGCTAATCTGAGTCGCCATGTTGTGGATACGAAAATCTGCCGATCACTGAAACCCTAAAGTTTGAGAAGAAGCAGCAGTAATCTCGAGGGAATGGGGAAGCGTCTTGTGCGTTATCAGTTTATTTATACCTAGGTCAAAAACTCAGATCAGTGGTGTGGGCCAATGGATTTGAATGGGCCTTTTCTTTTGTCAGTTAATGGGCTTCGAGAGTCATCAGTGTTAATGGAGATGTAACACATTATCAAAGAATAAGAACGATTTTGATGTTGTAGCTCTTTATACTGAGACGACAGAGCAATGTGTTGTTAATTGTGAAAATTCCTTAGACTAACTTTTAAGGTTAATGAAATGATAAATCTAACCTAACATATTGAAGGGTTTACTAGACTAACCTTATAAAGTTGGTTTAAGTCCATTTATCCAGATGTTGAATATTATTACGAAAATGCTATTACGATTTTTTTTATAAATTTTTTTTTCGGAAAAATTTTAATTTCGAAAAAAATCCTAATTCATCTTCTTCTCTCTCTCTTTCTCCTGCGCCGTTTTTTTTTCTCCCATGGAGCTGCTCTTCTTCATAACTTGGCAGCTTCCTTTTTTCGCAGCTTCCTTTTTTCGCAGCTTTCTCTTCACAGCTTTCCTTTTGTTTCACAGATCCACACAGATCTTGTCTCAATCGCCGTTCAAAAACTTGTTCAGGTTTGTTTTTTTTCTCATATATCCTCATTTTTCTTATTTTTTCTTCTTTCTTCTTCGTCTTCCTCTTTCCCTTCATCTTCTACATTCTGTTTGGCGGAGGAGGAGTTTTACTGTTGGTGTTAGAGATCTCGGAAATATTGGCACGACTCTTAAGCGGCGTTCTCGCCGCATCGCGCACAACCGCACTGGACAGATGTTGTTTCGAAGAAATGGTGGTGTCCCGGAGGTTGACGGCGGCGTAAGTTTTTTTCTGTAAAACCCGCAACCCTAATTTTTTTTTGTTTCAGGTAAGTTTGGTAGATATATTTGGAAAACGATAAGTAGTTTGGTAGATTTATTGTATTTTTTGTTGTAAAGTTCATAATATGTGATAGTAGATTTTTTTGAAAAATGATATGTAGTTTGGTAGATTATTAGCTATTTGATGGTAGATATTTAGAAAAAGAAATATGGTTTGGTAGATTTATTAGTTATTTGATGGTAAAATTATTTTAGAGTAAAAACGATGTCATTTGGTAGATTTATTAGTCATCTAATGATAGACTTATTTGTAAAACGATGTGGTTTGGTAGATTTATTAGTCATTGGTAATTTATTTGAAAAATGATTTGTGTTTGGTAGATTTATTAGTTATTTATGGTAGATTTATCAGGCGTATATATTTGAATTTTATATACGAATGACAGTATTTGTTTATTTTTTTCTGACAGATTATGGGCTTTGCCATGGTGAACAAATCTTTGATGGGATATCCAGCATCGATCCGACATGTTTTACTATGAATTGTAGATTTGCATTTGGTAGATTTGTTTTGAAATAATGGTAGATTTATTATTAAATTGATGGTATATCTGTATTTTGAATTTGTAAAAATGATAATTAGATTTTAAATGATAATATTGTTGTTTTCAAATTATATTTGTCGTAAAACATTGACCCAGACATTTTCACATTTTTACCATATTTGCTAGTAATGTTATTATTCAATTTAATTTATTTTTTTACTTTCACTATGATGTATATCATAACTGAATAAAATTTTAATCAAAACACATGACTAAAATCATTTGACATTGTGATGTTGTAAGAGTTTATGTAAATAGAGTTAAATGTAACAATTATTCAAAAAAAAAAATAAAAAAAAAAATCATAAGTTGAGAGATGGTTATTACAGATATGACATATATGTTCAAAGTTAATATGAAAAGCAAAGTTATCTTAGAGAAAATATATATCATAGAAAAAATATTCATGTTAGAAATTTTTGACCATTGATTATGGCATCTATATCGTAAATACCAATAATCATCTGTGATCGAATCACAGTTAACCGACATAATCTTAGCAAACTCATGCAAAGAAAACGTTAATGGTAACAAAACCAACTCAAATATAACCATGGAACAAGTCTACCATATGTACGAAACTTGTTTAACATACGACACTTCAAAACAAGTCTACCACACCTCTGGTTTTTTCGTAGATAGGACAATACTTTTAGGACAAAAAAGTAATTTCAATCCATAAAGTCAAATGTCTGCCAAACATTAACAACTAAGTCTACCTCAAGCATGAAAAATAACTCTACCATATATACAAGTCTACCATAAGCACCTCATATGTCTACCAGATCGAGGTTATCTTTGTAAATACCAAACTTAATTAATCTACCACATGATTATTATAAGAAGTCTACCATACGTACGATAACTCTACCAGATTACATAAACTCTACCAAACAAACAAACATATCTACCAATATTCTGTAAGTCTACCTCATGTAACAAATAATCTACCACTCACTGGAATAAATTTTACTTGAATTTAAATCTACCACAAAATAAACATATCTACCACAAAACAAATAAATCTACCAACATTCTGTAAGTCTACCTCATGTAACAAATAATCTACCACTCACTGGAATGAATTTTACTTGAATTTAAATCTACCACAAAACAAACATCTCTACCACAAAAGCGAAAAATCTACCAACAAGATATAACTCTACCATAAAACAGATATATCTACCATCACGTATTGACACATAAATTTGACAAGTCTACCATTCATAACAACAAATCTACCGAAACATAATAAATCTACCTCTCATCGTCAAAACTCTACCAATATAAGTCTACCAACATTTGTAAACTCTACCAACTCTCGAATAAATCTACCATCGACCTAATAACTCTACCGAAAAAATTTTTGCGTTGACCAAAATTTGATAAGTCTACCGTCAAAGCCTGGTAGACTTATCAAATTTTCAGCGCTATAATCTGCCTACGTGGCATTAAAAAAGTAATGGCATTTTTGTAATTAGGTTTTTTTTAACAAATGCAAAAATGGTGTTTTGGGTATGCTAGGTTAGTTTTGTAAAAAAAATAAAAATATGCCAAACAAATAATAAAAATACTTTCTAAGGTTAGTGTAGTAATCCTCCCTTGTTAATTTTGTCACAATCCAATTTCTGTACATACTAATTAGCGAGTAGTAACTATACCAATCACAAAAACTCTTTTGTAAAAGCCACACTTGCATTCGCTTCTTCTTTCTCGATTTCATAGAGACACAACAAGCTTACATGCAAGGACCATATCTGCAAATAAGGGTTTCAAAATCTATTGAATATTAAATTTGAGGTCATCTACTCTGATACAGCATAGTGATAGTTGCAAGATTTGTGAGTAATTTCTGAAGTTACCTCCCAAAAAAGGTCAGGCTTCTCCTGTCTCGGGATTGCATCTTCTATGATTGCAAAAATCTTGGTCACAAGATATTAATTTTTCCGGTGACTGATTCATTTGTGTTATAGGATAGAACACAAACAAATGAGAGAAATTATGGGACAACGTAAGGCTCGAACAAAAAGACGATAATAACAATAAGAGGTCTACACCAAGATCGCTTCTTTTTGGGCATTGCTTGCATTGGATGCAGTTCTCACCCACATAATATCACTCCATGTGTCTATTTGAATATTGTAGCTTTTTCCCATTCCAATTTTAGCATAGAAAAGCCTGAGAATTTGAGAAACCAATGACGAAGAAATGAGTAAACACAATAAATAAGTAGATCCAACTACATATTGGCTGCTAAAAAATTATGATTTTGGCCTATGATTTCGTCAAATCTCTAAGCATTGACATCACTCATCAGTTGAATTTCATGTTTAGTCTGCAAATAACTACAGTACGGTCGATGAAGAGGCGTAGAAGAAATAGTTCGGACTTCAGATTCTGCCATCGAGCCAGAGTTCGACGGATAAGATACAGATAGTCATTACACTTTCTGACTAGGACCAAAAAATTTTCATAGAACTGAATGCATTAAACCACCAAAAATCTTACTTATGTAAAAAACTTGTCTGCTTCGAGGATAAAAGAAAAAACAACTAGCGAGTATCATCAAGAGTCGCAGAAAAGTTATAACAAAAAAAGAAGCATTCCAAGGAAGTAGTAACAAAAGAGTTTCTTCTAGCCTTTTAAGCGACTGGGATCATCTCAGGGTAGTCTACGGCTGTGAGGGCTGCTTCCGGTACAAGAGCAGCAGGAGTAACAGCCTGAGCAGGTGCGAGGTGGACACTCTCTTCCTTAGGAGCATGGATGATCACAACATCAGGCAATGGTGTCATCGGTCCTGTTTTTCCCTTAGGGTCCCAGTCAAGCATGACCTTGACCTTGATTCCAAGCACACCCTGCACATTTTGGTTTAACCAGTCTCAGGTTAGACATTGCCGAGTTTACTAACATGAAAATGAGGAACTCAGAAGCAGAAGAAGAAGAAGAAACATACCTGTCTAAGCAAGACATGTCTAACAGCAGAGTCAATGTACTCCTTGGTGGGTTGACCAGAGGAAACCATGTAACCATCCTTGAATTTCATTGACTTGGCACGTTGAGCACGGAGCTTTCCACTCACAATGACCTGCAAACAAGAATTTTAGTCACTCTATATGAATAACGTCTGAGATATTTTGTAGAGAAAAAAAAACAGGGATTTGTATTCACCTCACATCCCTTAGCTCCACTCTCCATGACGAATCTCAAGACACCATAGCAAGCCCTATACAGCACAATACAATTCCAATGTAAACATCCTGGGATAAGAGGTTCAATTAAAAAAAAGCAGCTTGACAGGCTTTGAAAACACCTAGTCCAATCCGTTTGTAAAATCAGCGTGTTGATTATCAAGATACATGGCGACTACACAAAATGATAGAGAATGTGCCAGTCTCTATAAAGGAAAGGATCTGATGCCTAAAACTCATTTGACATTTACAACGACATACTATACATATAACTATTAGGTTTGGTGAATGCTTATATGAGCCGCAAGCTAACAAAATCCAGACATTTAATGAACTATCTAGCAAAGTAAGACAATACAGAAAAAACATGACGAACCTTCGGACAGCAAGTCCACCGAGGAGCTTGTAACGGAGAGACTCAGCCTGAGCAATGGCACAGAGACCTCTGTTGTTTACCTTCTCTGCATAGAGCTCGACACTGTCTTGAGGAAACCTGAATCTTTTCTGGACAAGTGATGTCAATTCCCTGATTCTCCTCCCCTTCTCACCTATATCCAACAGACCCATTGACTACTCTTATCAAATTAAGAAACTTTAAATTCAAATTCCAAAATAAAACTTTGAACTCAAATTCCAAAATGAAGAAGAGATTAAACATACCGAGAACATTCTGAGTACGGGTGGCTCTGATGATAATCTCAGTCCTCATTGGAGTAACCCTAACCTCCACACCTGAGTAACCATCCTCTGCAAGCTCTCTTGTGAGAACCTCATTCAACTCGGCGTAGAAAACACCGTCAGCTACAAACTACAAAACGCAACACAGTTACTGAAATGCAGCGAAAGAGATCCATTTTGGAAGAAGATGAAATTACAATTTACCTTTCTCTTCTTGCTGATCTGAGTCGCCATGTTGTGGATGCGTAAATCTGCCGATCACTGAAACCCTAGAGTTTGAGAAGAAGCAGCAATAATCTCAAGGGATTGGTGAAACGCTGGTGGGTTTTTATTTAGGGATGTGTATAATTTATACCTAGGTCAAAAACACAAATCATTGGTTTGGGCCAATGGATTTAAATGGGCCATTTCTTATGTTAGTCAATGGGCTTCTTAAGATTTTTTGTAATGAAGAACGATTCAAATTTTCGACAAAATAGAAAGGGAAAAAAAAATTTTCGTTCACGGTCACAATTAAAATTTTCATTTTGGACTCAGAGAGTTATTTTCCGGCGACGACAATGACGTCAGCTTCCAAGAACCCACAGCAAAACCCTTTCTCTTTGAAACCCCCAAGACCGCCGTCTTCCGTCGCCGCCTCTTCTCCCGCCGTGGCCTCCACCTCAGCAGAACCCCAAATTCGAACCCCTAACCCAAACCCTAGCTCAAACGCGTCAAATTCACCGATTACGATATCACCGGAGGATCAAATCCTCGCAGGCTCGAGTCACCTCACGCGACCAGAGCTTCTCCAACGCCGATCGCACAACCTTAAGCAGCTCGCCAAATGCTATAGGGACCATTACTGGGCTTTAATGGAGGATCTCAAGTCGCAGCACAGGGACTACTACTGGAGATACGGCGTAAGTCCGTTCAAGGACGAACAGAATCAAGCGAATAAGAGACGGAGATTAGGTCCAGAAGGTGAATCCAGAGATGGCGATGCCGTCGAAGGTAGTGGAGACAACGGTAATAACAATGATGGCGTTAAGGTTGATCAGTATGCGAACAGTAATTGTGGGAGCTGTATGTATGGATGCAAAGCCAAGGCCATGGCGCTCACGAGATACTGTCAGCTTCATATTCTCAAAGATAGCAATCAGAAGCTCTACACTGGTTGCACAAACGTCATCAAACGGTTTGTTTCGGTTTCCCCTTTCGTAGAAAGTATCATGTTTTAGTTTGTGATTTTGTGTTTTTCTGCGTTTGAAAACAATAGGTGCTTCGAATTATGTCATTTACATTGTGTAAGATGTTGTAGTGATGATGAAATGAAACTACCTTGCAGTTTTTGTTGTGTAATTTGCCAAGATACGGTTTCGTTTCAAAAGGGATTGGTAGAAAATTGTTAACTTTGGCCACCGAGATAGTGATTGTCAGTAACCATTCATAGATCCAGTACTTGCCTTCTTTTCTTAACTTTGATGCGTTATTCCTGTTATTCTTTGCAAAAGAAGTAGGATTAAGAGTTTTAGCATAACTGAACAACGGGATGGAACAGATTGATACACTTATCATTATCAGAGTCGGTTTGGTACAGCACAGATTTCATGTGTAGGAGAATTTTTGTATGCTGATTCGTAATTAGCACATGATGATAATTTTAGCATTTTTCTCCTAACTCTGCGTTGTTTGCGTTGTACATTCAGAGCTCCAGCAGGACCATTACTCTGTGGAAAACCTACACTAGCATCGACTGTTCCTGCACTGTGTAATGCGCACTTCCAGAAAGCCCAAAAGAATGTTGCTAAAGCTTTAAAGGATGCTGGTCACAATGTCTCTTCGACAAGCAAGCCTCCTCCAAAGCTGCACGTCATAGTAGCTGCATTTGTGCATCATATTCAAGCAAAAAGGAAAAATCAACGGAATGAGGGTAAACTTAAAAGTGTAGTAAAAGAAGAAAATACAAGCTGAGTCAAGCCGTTAGCATTCCCAGAAGATAATTGTTGCACTAAGTCATCCAAGTGAAAAGGTGAGGAACTTAGCCTACTGTTTCATTCTAACTGAGAAAGACAGGCAGCTGAAAATCTCTTTGATTTCCCACAGTTAGGATGGTACTTTTTTCTTAACATCAGTTAGGTTGGTATCTATGCTAGGTGAAGAAAACTTAGGTTACATTGTAAATTTTGGATACTTAAAGCATTCTCAACTTTTTCTTTTTCCTTGGAAAGTAGGGTATCATTATGTGCAAGACGCAGTTTTAAAGTCGATTACCATGTTTTCATGCTGAAACGTGAAACCGATCTCCAAGGACTTGTTTCATACCTTTATTGGTGCTCTTACTTTGATCTCCATTATACAATTCTATCTTATCATAATTATAATTTGGTTTTATAATTTGCAGGCATAGCGTCACACTCTTCCGTACTGTGCTTGAGCTTATAGTCATCTGTCTATTGTTGAATGGAGATTAGCTGCACATGAAGCGATCTCTTAAGCAAAGCATGGAAACAACCACTTAGACACATGCCCTGGTCAAGCCAGATAGACACACAAAAGTTTAGTTAAGCCTTAGTCCTCAATATGACGAGATATCTAAGGTACAAATAGAGTTGGATACCTGAATTAAGATTGGTGGTAAGGTGTCTGGATGCTTAAAGCTTTTGCATATATTCATCTTTTATGCATGTGTGCACGGTTTTCATAAACTCTGCGTCTTAAGAATACGAATGTTATGCGTCTGAATCTTGTGACAAGCATGGTTGAGAATGCAAATACGAATCCAAAATATTTTTGAGTAATTTTATGGACTGAGAATTCGTTCGTGAATGTTAGACATAAAACGTATTTACTGGTTCTAGAGGCAGATTGTGTTGCAGTGTAGGTTTCGGATAGTTATCTGCACTGAGCTATTAAGACAGGTTTTGTTAGTGTAAGTATAGTCCCGGTTCTGTTTTGATGCAACTTTACATCATTTCTATATACATGTAAAAACGTATGTAAGGGTTCAATGGCCAATGGGAGCAGCGGGGCATCATATTTGACAAATTGTATATCGTAAAATATGTGTCTTTTTGGGTCATCTGATTTAGATTGAAAATGAAAAAAAAAAAAAACCAAGAGTCTTACAAAACATCATTAGAGGAACCAGAAACAGAGCAAAACAGAGATGGGAAAAAAAAATCCGCTCCAAAAATCTTTTGCAAGCAGGAAAATCAAGCTAGCCACGAGATAAGATTGACGCATATCCTCTGCAGTGACACGACACTTGGAGCTATCACACAAGCACCTTGATTTGTACAAACACACTCTCAATCTCTTAGTCTCCGTAAGACTACTCCATACTTTTCCACTGTCCAAAGAAAGCTTTTGAATTTAGCCTCAGAATGTTCGTCTCTTAACACCTATGCGGCAATCTCCAAGTGATTTTAGACCAAGAAAAAACAATGGAACCGAAAATTGAACCCCATACCTGGTCCTTTGGGTTTCAGCTCGAACCGGAGAATCCCGGTTTAGGGTTTATGTGCATTTAACCTTTTTCGGATTAACAAAACTTTTTTTGAATATTAATACGGGCTTATATTCAGAGGGTTAGCCCAGCCTTGTGTACTAAATTAAACTTAAACTCTGTACAGAATTTTGTAACAGTACTCATTAAAATTAACCTTCGGGCTTGACAGGGCTATAGCTTTTTAATTTTTAACAAGGTAATGCCAAACGACGTCGTATAATACTAGTGTTAATTTTCTCTCGAAGTCGTTTCTCTTTTTCGCCGGCGACGAGCATCTCTACGTCTGCAATTTTCACAGAAATCCCCGCAGTTTCCAGAAGATTTTCCGGGTCTATACCCTTTCAGTCCTTTGAAGCGAAAAGGGTTTGTCAGATTTCTTTTGAATTCATCGGATTTTCCTGAATTTCTGTGTTTTAACTTGATTCTCTTCCATTCTTCACTCACTGTTCTTTCCTCTATAATACTGAATGGATTTTTGATTTTAGTGTTGTTGGAATTGCAGAGAGGACCTGCATTTATATCTGAGTTGCTATTATGATTTGAAAGGTCTAGCTATTAGTTTCAGAGATTCCGTGGTTTCTTGTACAAGTTTATATCTTCGCAGCCTTCTAAATATTGTCCTGCGGATCGTATAGTAAGCAAAATAGAAAGATTTTACTTCATTTATTGTCGTTCACAAGTTCTCACTCCTGAGTTTCATGTTTTGTCCTTTAATGTCATCTATTTACTGTTGGTTTCAAGCTTTTGCTATTTCGTTTTGTGGCTTGTGAGTTTTTTTATAATTTACATGTTGCTGATTATGATTGAGGAACAAAGTGTGGATTATGTGTTTTTTTTTGTTTATATGTTTCTATAACCTGCTCGTGTGATACATATTAAGTGTTGTGTTAGTTTATGGAATCTGGAGTTTTGAAATAGAGGTTTCTGATGTCGACATGAACAAAAGATGAACTTTGAGATGTGAGATTACGATGAATTTGATAGGATTATAGCAAAACCTCAATAACATGGCGAATAGCAAGTACGAGTACGTGAAGTCATTCGAATCGGAAGACGAAGTCATGCTTCCGAATTTGATGGTTGTTCGGATCGATGGTCGTGACTTTTCTAGGTAATTTCCTCGCTTATGTAGTATTGGTTTTGGTTCTGTTCATGAAATTGTTCATCATGTCAGATGTTTTTTTTTTTGTTAGATCTATTTGAATTTGTAGTCTCTTGAATATTGGAGAGAAAAGAATGACTTAAGGCGGCGACTTTGATGGATTGTGGATCATGATTGCAATTTTCAGAACACCATTATGAAAATTACTTGGAAATTAATTGCATTTGTGTTGGTTTCACCTCTGACGGAGTCGATAGTGTTTCACATTTGAACAATGATGAGAATGTTATTCGTTTGCTTCTTACACCCTTTTACTTTCTTAATAAGTGTAGATTCTCTCAAGTTCATGAGTTTGAGAAGCCTAATGATGAAGCAGCCCTCAATCTGATGAATTCGTGCTCAGCTGCGGTTTTGGAAGAGTATCCTGACATAATATTTGCATATGGATACAGTGACGAATACAGGTGACTAACTCGCTTGGTATTGGATTTTACACTAACTCTCATACCTGTATATTGTCATATTCAAGTTTGTAAATGTGTTCGTCTTCCGTAGCTTTGTTTTCAAGAAAACATCAAGATTTTACCTGAGACGAGCCAGGTATTCATTCAGTTAGATTTGATCGCTATTTCTGCTTTAAATCAAATTAAGTTAAAGAAACTTTTTGCACAATAATATGTATTGTCTGATTGACTCATAGTTTTTACTTTCTTGTTTCTATTTAATATGCAGTAAGATTTTGTCCTTGGTAGCTTCGTTCTTTGCTGCAGTCTATGTAACCAAATGGAAAGAGTTTTTTCCCCAAAGAAAATTAGAATATGTTCCTTCCTTCAATTCAAAAGTTATAAGCTGTGCATCAGCAGGGGTTCTTCAAGCTTATCTCTCATGGAGACAACAGGACTGTAAGACCCTCTGACATCATAATATTGTACTCGAATTTTCATGATAATTTATGCTCCAGATATTATTTTATACTTATTGGTGTGTTCGGAACTTCTAACAACTCCCATTTTGTGGTTGCAGGTCATGCGAACAATCAATATAACACTTGTTTCTGGATGTTAGTTAAAAGCGGAAAGAGCATAAGTGAAACTGAAAAGATACTGAAGGTATGTTGTTTGTGTTTTTCTGTGACAGATTATAATGTCCTTGGCATGGAAAATAGTTAGCACTATTACTAGAAGTTTTTCTATATATAGATGTCAAGACGGCCCTTTACCTTCATCTTTCATATAGCTTGTATAGTGCCTTTTAATCATATTTCTTTGTTTGATCACACAATGTCTATTGGGTACCTGCAGGATACACAAAAACAGCAGAAAAATGAGATTCTCTTTCAGAGATTTGGTATAAATTACAAAACGCTTCCTGAATTGTTTCGCCAAGGATCATGCCATTTCAAGACAAAGGTAATAGTTTATTTTATGTTAGAAATTATAAATATGGCACTTTTATGCTTGCCTTGATATGTGGTTTGCGTTTAAAAATTTCGACCTTCCAATTGTGAGTTGAATCTTTATGCTCATTTAATTGGCCTACATGTACGTTTAGGTTTTTGCATTAAGCGTATATTGTCTGAACACTTGTCAATCTAGTCATGGGGAAAAGATTAAGTATTACTTCAGCTTGGTTGATTTAGGTTTCAAAATTGTTATAACTAGCTCAAAAGATGTGTTATCTTCTCTGTATGGTGAAAACGTGAGATCTGCTCTTTCCATTGCATCTTGCTTGATGTCATTGTTAATTTGTTTGATGCTATATACCCCAGAATTATTTTAGATTTCCAATATGAAATACTTTCATTTAACTTCATTTAGGTGGAAGAAACTGTAAAGCATGATGAGAATGGCAATCCCGTAAAAAGATTGAGGAGAAAGGCTGTCCTTGTACATTCGGAGAATATTGCCGGAAGAAGCTTTTGGAATGAGCACCCCTCCCTACATAAGGATCTTGGTCACTTCACGAAAGACATTGGCAAAATTGAACCAGATTATGTTAGGTCGTTTCAGTTTGAGAACAAATTGTTACCTTTAACTTGGGTCGTGGTTAGGATTGATGGCTGTCATTTTCACAGGTAATATTCTTTAGTTTGTTGTCTAATTTTTATATAACCTTGTTAATCATTTTTATCGCATTGAAGCACTAGACTTGTAAAATCCTTGTGCTCCCTAGGAATCAGCTATATTATGATGTGATATACTTCTTTGACTGGCCTGTTCGATTTGCTTATGTTATGTCGTGGTTGCTTTTTTTCTAAGGCGTGTTTTAGTTCTTGAATTATAACTTGCAATTAAAGCAGGAAGACACAGTTTTATTACTGATTACTAGAGCGTTATATGTTGCAAATGAAACTCACGGAGCTTGTTTGGATTTTGATAGATTTTCTGAAGTTCATGAATTTGAGAAGCCAAATGATGAGCAAGCTCTGAAACTTATGAATTCATGTGCAGTGGCTGTTCTCGAGGAGTTTGAGGATATTCACTTTGCTTATGGTGTCAGTGATGAGTACAGGTCTCCATCTCTCAACCTCTCATTCTCATATCAGCTTTTACATATCTTTGGTATTAAACTAAGTTCATCATCGGTTCCAGCTTTGTTTTGAAGAAAGAATCTGAGCTCTATGAAAGACAACCCAGGTCAAACTAAATTTCTCATTTCCCCCTACAGTTTTGGCTCTGCATCCCTGATTTTCTTGGCTCTTAATTTCTGATATTGTATTGCAGTAAGATAATATCTGCAATTGCATCATTCTTTACATCCACATATGTGATAAAATGGGGAGATTTCTTCCCTCACAAAGAATTGAAGTATCCTCCATCGTTTGATGGACGAGCTGTATGCTATCCAACTTACAAGATTCTCTTGGATTATCTGGCTTGGAGACAAGTTGACTGTGAGTAGACTGTTTATCTTGATTTTTTCGAAATGACACCTTAATATATGAGTAGTCTCATGTTTGGTTTCTATTTTTTTTTTTTCGTTTGGCAGGCCACATCAATAATCAGTATAATACATGTTTCTGGATGCTTGTTAAGTCTGGAAAAACCAAAACTCAATCCCAAGATTACTTAAAGGTACTTTGTTATGATAAATCTATCCATCCTTGCACTTTGGTCATGACTTAAAAATGGCTCTTCTTATCTTGCTCTTTGTGAATGACTTTTCCAGGGTACCCAAACACGAGAGAAAAATGAGCTGCTAAGCCGTCAATTTGGAATTGAGTACAATTCATTACCTCTAATCTTCCGAATGGGCTCCTCGGTTTTCCGCTCAAAGGTTAGTTATTGCCTAAATATATATGGACTTGGCTAAAGAACTTCTTTAATGCCAATCTGGTTTTGTTCCTTATCATCTGAACCAATCAAGTTACTCAAACTGTGGCTATTACCACCTGAAAATTTGCTGCTCGCTTCTTATACTACTCATCAAGCATTTGAATGGCGTGGAACTTCTTCTTCCATTGCAGAGAGCTTTGTAGATATCTGTTAAAGAATTGTCTGAATATTCATTTTCAGGAAGTTGTTGCAGTTGAGAATGGAATAGTTTCAGGGAAGAAAGTGGAAGGAGAAGTGGTCGTAGATCATTGCAATATCATCGAACACTCTTTCTGGGAAGAACACCCACACATTCTTAGCTACTCGTAAACCAAGTGCTTTTCACTTCATTTATAAGACTAGTTATGCAATGTGGAATCACTTTTAATTACATTTTGAATTGTTAAAAAATTTCAGAATTATTTCGGATTTTGAATGTTTTCAAGTATGAAAATAGCTTATATAATATAAATAAATGATATATATGAAGTGGAGAGATGAGATAGGGCATTAAATTCACACCATACCTGTGCAACGATCAACTACTAGCTCCTGTTGCGTTACGTGAAAGTAACTTTATCCTCTCAATTTTCTTTTCATTTTATTTATATAAGTTAATAAAGACAATTAGTTAGTTGTTTATCAAGTCGGTCCAACTACTTGAAAAGGCTTATAGACTAAAATTTTCAAGTATAGTGGTTAACTTTTAAGAATAGTTTTTGTCCTCATTCCATTTTAAAATCCGATTTTTTTTTTTATTCATGACCTTCAGAACAGATCCGCTTAAGAGATCTAGATAATATATGTATTATGTAATAGCCAAAAAATCAAAGTTCTAGATATGTTCCTAACATTCAACGTCTTTGCTCTTTGAATAAGCTATAATTGGGAAAATCAGGTCAAAATTTAGATACCAGAATTGTTCAATCCATTAATTGACAGCGCATCATTTTTCCACTAAGCACCGTATAGTTTTTTTTTAAAATTGGACACAATTTTACAACTCTCAGTTGAATATTCGAACGGTGACAATTTGATTTTGGTAGTTTTTATGAAATTTGTTTCCAATTCCGTTGATATTAAATTAAATTTCTCGTAAACAGTGATAATCATACGCAAACATAGAATTATACATTTCCTTTTTGTCTGAGAAAAGTAATTATGGGCTAGCCTTTTTTTTAACAATATATTTTTGTTCATGTACCGAATAATCAATGAAAGAGACAACAAAATAACGGGAAAATATAAAAAAAAAAAAGATCGGAAAACAATAAATATGAAGTCATGGATGCATACCCCACAACAGATTCCTAATTTAGAGCATCTTGTTCCTATACATTTCTCTACCATATATATAAAGGATACAATAATATATGTTGATAATATATTTTCTTTCTTCTAAAATAAAAACTCAGAGAGAGAGAGAGAAAGAGACTATTTGGTCAACAAAAAAAAAAGAGAGAGAGACGAACGACACTGCAAATGGCGGATGAATCTCCAAAGTCTATCTATGACTTCACCGTCAAGGTGATCCTTCTTCTTTTATTATTATTATGTTTAATCTTAGATTCTTGATTCATCATATGAACAAGAAAACCAAAAAAACAAAGGAAGAAATTTCATTTTGATCCAAATACAATAGCGGAGCTTCCAATGTTAAATTTCTCTTTTTAAGGTTCGTTTAAGACAGAAGGAAATAGAAGAAGAATTAATTTTAAGGATTGTTTACGAAATATATTTTTTTTTTGTTTGTCAACGTTTAAGAAAAATATTGTTGAACATCGCAGGATATCGGAGGTAACGACGTGAGTTTGAGTCAATTCAAAGGCAAAACTCTTCTGATTGTTAATGTTGCCTCCAAATGGTAAGAACCCTTTTAAAAAAAAATTTGTAACTTTTTCACTATTTTAAGTTCAGATTAACTAATAATTCTGTTAAAGGTCAATATGGTTTGACTAATTTCACAAGATATGAATGAAACAGAAAAGATCTTGTGAAATTAGTAACTGATCAATTCGATTTGCTCGGATTAGTACCAGTCTGTATTTTTTGCAATTACGGTTTACCATCATAATAATATTTCGTTTGTTATGTAAAAACAAGAAGATTCTAGCAATATTTGTCTTCTTTTATAATAAGAACATAATTTTTGAAAGAAAAAAAGGAAACTAAACTAATTAAATTGTTTATTACTATAGTGGTCTGACGGATGCGAACTACAAGGAACTGAATGTTCTGTACGATAAATACAAGGAGCAAGGTTTGTAATTTATATTTACTCTCAGAAAATCTTAAAAATATGGAGTTGTAATTATGTAATTTTGAATATAGCTATACAAAATGTTTAAAAAATAATTATTAGGTTTGGAGATATTAGCATTCCCGTGCAACCAATTCTTGGGACAAGAACCAGGAAACAATGAAGAGATTCAACAGACTGTCTGCACCAAGTTCAAAGCTGAGTTCCCAATCTTTGACAAGGTACTTAGTCATTTGAATCTATGCAAATATATATTTCAAACCAAAATCACAATATTTTACTACTATAGTGATTAGTAACAAAAGATTTGGTATAAAAAATACTTGACGGGAATGTAGGTAGATGTGAACGGGAAGAACACGGCGCCGTTATACAAATACTTGAAAGCAGAGAAAGGAGGTTTGCTCATTGACGCCATCAAATGGAACTTCACAAAGTTCTTGGTTTCTCCTGACGGCAAAGTCTTCCAGAGATATTCTCCTCGAACCTCTCCTCTTCAGTTCGAGGTACGTACCAGGCCCCGGTTCTCTCCTTAACCGGATTCCTCATATTTTCATGTATCATTTTCACACACCATATGTTGTAACCGGTTTTTGGATTTGTGCAGAATGACATCCAAACTCTGTTGGGACAGGCTTCTTCTTCTTGATCATCATTACATGTTTCAAGAATGGGATTCGCATATTTCGATTTTCGTTTACTCCATGTGATGTTAAGAATCAAAAACATTGCATTCTCTCATTTCTTCTCTGAATCTGTGTTTGGTGTTTTGAATAAATGTTGTCTTTCTCATTGTTGAGATGCCGTTTCATGGATGATATATCATATTTATCATGTGACCCTCGTTTAAATAAGCTCAAACTAAAAAGTTATATTGAGAAAGCAATTATTATTTATTGGCCATTGTTAGACAGTTGGGTACGTATCAGCAGAACATGTGAAAGAGTCTTGTCTATATTTTTGCCCTATCGTACACGACACGTTAATAAGCGTGTTCACAACTTATGACCACAAATTTCTGATTATTTCCTATAAATGGGAAAGGAAAAGATAAAGAATCACAAGTAAAGACATGTGCATCCTTCTTTTTTCTGTTAGGACTTCTTGTAACTGAAGCAAAGTCACCATCTTTACCATCATCTAAGCCTAATTTACCAATGATACAGAAACAAGACAGATCAAGATCGTCATACAAAAGATAAAATTGTCATCAAAACTCTCACAACTTAGATCAGTTACCTCAGCAAAAATAAAAAAAGCAGAGGTCTTCAAAACAGTTTGGAGTTTGTGTCTCTAAACCTCAATCACTGCATACGAGGACAAGAACTCTATTCAGATGTCATATGTTTAAAGCAACCACATTGCACTTAAACGACCAGTCAGGGGATTTGTAGACAAAAGAATTTGAAAGTTTTATTCACTGAAAACATTTATTAGACGAAGAACACTATACTACACATACATAGAATCAAAGAAAAGCCAAACCAGTTTATCCATGGACCCATTGCAGGTCTATTCTCAGCTAACAATGGCAGAGACTTCATTCCTGCAAAGAAAGGCCTTTTTTCAGACAAGACAGTGATCATTCTTGTTCAACTGCACAATCGGACAGTGCAAGCAACAGCTTGAGCCCAGTATTTGAGTCTAGCCTTTACTTCATCTGGATTATCACCTGCAAAAATGGGAACAATCAGACACTGAAATCAAGAAAATGTTCCTCACAAGGAAAAATGGGAATCAACAATCAGACATTAAATTTACCAGGGCTAGAGATCTTCCAGTTTGCAATTGGGCTGGTCGTGGTAGGTGGCTCTTCCACCGGAGACTTGTGGTGGCTTAGCTTATTGTTATCATCTAAGAACTTCTGGCTCATGGAGTAACAAAGCTCTAAAGCAGGCAAAGTGTTGCAGAGCTCTGGGATCTCGTCGTAGCTGAATCCAAACCCTAGATCTAAACAGCCTTTAAGCTCCTCGAGATCATCATCCGTCAAGCTCTTAGCTCTCGTCAGATCTTCTTGATCTTCATCAAGAGCGGCAGCAGCCTCCACGTATCCCTCAAGCAACACTTGGCTCTTCCTCTTCTCCAGCTTGTTCCCACCTTCGCCGGCTAAAAACCCTCCTCCGGAGACGCTGCCGTGATTCTTGATCTCCGCCCAAGCTTCTTGGATTCCTCCGCCGTTGTTGTCGTCGTCGTGTTCTAGGAATTGTACTGTGTTAGATGTTTCGTCATTTGGTTTCTCTGATGATTCGAAGTGAACAGTACAACCAATCTCTCTCTTTCCAATGATCTTCATCTTTCTTTTTCTTCTTCAAAGGGTTTCTTCCTTATCGGAATTGAATGGTGAGGAGAAGTTATAAAGAGAGACGATTTTGTGTGGTTCCTTGAAAAAGAAGCATCAATTATTGGTTGTCAAATGGCATCTTCTTCTAGTATGCCATCTTGTGGGCCCATGTCACGAATCAATGAATGATTCTATCAAAAAAATATGGGTTACTACTACTATTATATTCTCAAATGTTCAAAACTGTCATAGAAACATTACGATAATGGCTTAGGTATCTTTTTAAAATGTAATAAAACTAATAAATGAAGAGTAGTGACTAGTGAGATTTTAATCTTGTTTAGAACATAATATTCGTAAATTCAAGAATTATTAAAAATATCTTTCGAATATGAACTAATAAAAGAAAGAAAAAAAACAGAATAGGTTCGTTTTACTAAAACTAATGGGATTAAAACATTGTAAACTTGATATCATTTTAATAAAAAGAACAAAATCACATGTAGTAGTAGTTAAAAGGGTAAGGCTTTGAATGCATCGTCCGCAACAAACTATAAAACTCAACACAGTTACTGCTATTCAAAATATGATCCATTGGTAGAAACAAGATCAAGTGATATTCACCTTTTTGTTCTTGGTGGTTTGCGTCGTCATGTTGTGCCGTGGGTTGGAATTGGATGTTCGAAGCCCTAGGAGTTTGGACGATGAGCGGTAATTAACCAAATAAAATAGTCGGGCCTTAGTGTTTTTGAGACTCTTGCTCGTGCTTATTTGTTAATAAAAAAAGAAGGCCCATTTATTATAATTTCGGCCCATTAGTTTAGAGAGCAAACACAGTATCATCAGTTCTGAAGTAGTTCGAAGTATGTGTGTCATGTGTGTGTGGAACCAGAAGAGAAAAAACGCTCCCAAACAAATACAAGGACCAAGGTTTGTATTTTGTAGCAGGCGCATCCCAATAAGATAAGTTTAGCATTCCGAAGTATTGTTTTTTTCTTAAGCTTCAAATTTGGATTTACCTCAAAGAGAACTCTATGCACTACTGAGTGGTTGATATTGATCACAAAAACATTTAAAGTGATTATGATTTTTTAGATGATTTTGGGTAAATTTGAGAAAATTATTATGTTTTTGTTAGATATCTCACATAAAATCATTAATCATATGACTTGAGTATTTGCATGTTAATTACTGTATGTGATTTTGTTTTGATTGATTTCACTTTATCGATTGTTAAGCCACTAAACACCAAGTTTTTTTTCTTTCTTTTTTTGTATCGATGCTCTGCCAACGAATTAAAACTTCTTATCTTTGACCATATATATATATATATATATATAATTTTCTTGGTAAATTTTCATTGACCATATTGTTTTTCGGTTTTCTTTTTCAGGTGAATATCTTGATTTAGCCTATAATATTCAAAGCTCTTAATGATTTATCCATTTTGTTATTCATTTTTCTTTGACCAAAATTTGTTATTCATTTTCACTAAGAAGAAGAAAAAAACAAACTTAATCCCCACATTTTCAGAAATCCAGCAAGGTCCAACTTAAAAAAAAAAACCTTCAAATTCCTTATAAATTCATCACCAAACACATTTCAAATTAATCAAAACACAAAAAAAAAAAAAAAATCAAAACAATGTCGACTTCGAAAACCATAACCATCACTCTGTTCATCGCAACAACACTAGTCGCGTCCTGCAACGCAGCGGCAAAAAACAACACAACGCAACCGCTCTTCCCAGCGATTCTAATCTTCGGCGACTCAACCGTCGACACAGGCAACAACAATTACCCCTTAAACACAATCTTCAGAGCAACGCATCTTCCTTACGGCATCGATTTCCCAAACCGCAAACCAAACGGTAGATTCTCAAACGGAAAACTAATCCCCGACATACTCGCAGCCAAATACAACATCAAACAGTTTGTTCCTCCCTTCTTACAACCAAATCTCTCCGACCATGAGATTGTAACCGGAGTATGTTTCGCATCAGCCGGTGCGGGTTACGATGACCGAACCAGCCTCTCGACTCAGGCCATTCCTGTCTTGGAGCAACCTAAGATGTTCAAGAGTTACATTGCTCGTCTTAAGAGTATCGTAGGAGACAAGAAAGCTATGGAGATTATAAACAATGCCTTGGTGGTTATAAGTGCAGGACCTAACGATTTTATTTTGAATTATTACACTGTTCCTTTAAGGCGTCTTGAGTATCCTCGCGTTTCTGATTACCAAGACTTTATACTTAAGAGGCTTGACACTCTCGTCCGGGTACTAACATTTTCTCAGATTAATCTCTAATTAGGGTTTTTGACATGTCTTTTGTTGCTAATATTTTCGTGTTTGTGTTTGCAGGAGCTTTACAGTTTAGGTTGCCGGAAAATTATGGTGAATGGTTTACCGCCGATAGGTTGTTTACCGATTCAGATGTCTGCTAAGTTCCGCAATATCTTTAGGTTCTGTTTGGAACAAGAGAACAGAGACTCTGTTTTATACAATCAGAAACTTCAGAAGCTGTTACCTCAGATCGAAGCATCTCTTAAAGGAAGCAAGTTCCTTTACTGCAATAGCCATGACCCTGTGTTGGACATGATGCAAAACCCTAGCAAATACGGTTAGACATTAAGTTCCTTTCTTGTTCCACAAGCTATCCTGTGAGATATTGAGCACTGATTATACGATCATTCATGTGTAACAGGGTTTAAAGAGACGAAGAGAGGATGTTGTGGAACAGGGTACATGGAGACGAGCTTCATGTGTAATCCTTTCTCTCGGACGTGTGGGAATCACTCGGAGTTTTTGTTCTTTGACTCGATTCATCCATCGGAAGCTACCTATAATTACTTAGGAAACTTTATCGATACTCAGATTCGTGGGTGGCTTAAGGCCTAAGTCATCATGATTCGCAGAATTGAAACAATGTTATTTGTTTCTCAAATTGCGAATATGAAAGTACTTATTGTTTGTTTAATCAGATATAACTTTGACTTCTACTGGCTACTTCTGCTTTAAACTTAATATTTAGCAAAGCATGCTACAACTACTACATCACTTGATGGAGTTGACTATGTTCTGCGTGATCTTTCCGAGTATTGCAAATGCGAGTATTGCAAATGCTTGGTAGATTTTTTTTTTTTTTTTTCAAAGCTTGGTAGATTCTTAAAGATAGAAATTTGGCACTTGGACCTCTGAATCTTCTTCGTAAGATAATGATGCTTATGTGTTTTGGTTTCATAATACAAATCATCTAATTCCTAATCTAAAACAAAACGCTACAGAAACTCTAAACCACAAACATATAAACCTCTTTCTATTACTCCCACCTCGTTATACACCATACCTCTTCAATGCTTTGCTTAAACTCGGCATTACATTGTATGCATGGTATGATCTTCTGAGTTCAATAATGGAACCAACCTGTACCCAATCAATAGATATATTAACAAAAACGAATTTTGGTAATTTTAAAAACTGAATGATATTGAAACGCAGAAAGAACACTTACGATGATTAAAACTGATGTAAAGCCAATAGAAAAACCTTGATTGATGCTGCGTAAATAGTGGTCCAGTACAGTAGAAGATGTTGCCAAAAAGCTCAACAGAAGACCTCCTGAATCAAAACCAAAACAAAAACTGCTTTTTTAGAGATTATATGTTATATATCATACACGCAATAAGTCCAAAAAAGCAACGACTTTAACTTACCCCAAAATCTAGTTGATGCTTGTATGTTTGTTAGGTACTCGATCGTGGCTTTCCCAGGCTTTATATTTGGTATTCTTGCGCCCATTTTGTTTAAATAATCGGCTATTTCCTTTGGCAAGTTAGCCTAACATAACAAAAGAAGTAACCCGGTATATGAAAATGTTTAATGCTCATGGAAGATTGAAACTCATATTGAGAAAAAACAAACCATAACTAATTACTCACAATGTCAAAGATGTTGAAGAGAAAGACGAAGAACGCATAGATTGAGTAGTAAACCCAAGGCGGTGCACCAACCGTGCTTTCAGGGTTTAATATCTCCTTCACGTGTACCAAGAAAGGTGAACCCAAAATACTAGACATAGACACAATAAATCACCTTATTAGACAGTCTTAGATGGTACGAATAACACGAAGAAGCAAGAAACAATAATGATTAAAACCAAACGAGTTCTTCTAAGGATTTACCTTGCAAGAATACTGGGAAATGCCAAGAGATAAGTGGTTGTGAGAACAGGCTGCATTCCTGCTGGGTTAATGTTAAAAGGTATGTATGGTTCCACCTCGGTTATTGGAGAACCTTCTCTGCCCAAATGGCAAAAACATAGCATAAAAACAAAATGAGTAAACCACACGTTTCCTAGCTACAATGGTAGAATTTTGGAATATACAACAATCTTTTCTACAAAATACTGATGATGAGCTATATATTACCTCGAAGCAGAAGCAAGTTTGAAACCATAATATTGTAGTTTTATCTTCCTGCAGCCCTCAGTAACAACAACAGCGAACATAGTTACTACCGTAAAAATGCCCAGCAAGCCTAACAAGTAAGGCCACCAATTCGACAAACTTCCTGCAAAATAAAATATGAATGACTTTATATTTACTTCCAGGAAATGTGGAAGACATGCAGGTCTAGAGTAAAGACTAACCATAAGTTAGGGGAATATGGAGTGAGAAAAACCAAAGGTACCTGAGATTTGATTGAGCATTTTGTGTAAGGTCTCTGTGTAGCCCGTCAATATTCCCACACATATAATTAGAGATGATCCATGACCTGTAAAATGCACAGAAACCGGTTATAAGCAAGTTCCCTATTATTACATTACAGCATCACCGTCTAGATACCAATGGTTAGGATGAAGCTATATCTTTGCATAGAGAGAGAGATAGAGAATCAAAAATACCAAATCCAGACTCTGATATTGTATCACACAGCCAAGTCATCGTCATTGCACCCCAGACTAGTAGAGATGCTGTCACCATTACATGCTTGACCCTGAATAAGCATGAATTCTTACTTAAGCATCAGCTGTGGCGAAATGGATGGAATTTATAAGCAATATTTTTTCTACTCTGAACGTGAGTAATCCTAGAACTTACTGAGACGTGGCTGCAAAAACTGAATATTGGAGAGAAGTGCAAGCCACCACTACAGCTTCCACTATAGCAAAGAGAAACGATAGCCACCATCTAAAAAAAATAGAGGTTAAAGACAAACGATTTAGTAACTTTGTTTAATGAAGCACAAAAGTCACCAGAGCTACAAACAAATCAATTGCATGTTAAGAATTCATCTCACGGGTTAAGAGGAAAAAAACTAAACACACATGTAACTCTTGATCTTCTCGTGACCATCTAAGCCTTCCTTTCGCAGCTTCACCAAGGATGGAAGAACGTGACAAAGCACCTGACACAACACATTTTCATGATCACTTGATATCATCAATCATAATCCTAATACATAAAGAACCCACAAATTGAGGCAAACACATTACATCAAAGGGGAGATCTTAACCTGCATAATTATGGACGCTATTATTTGTGGACTGAGCCCAAGCTGGAAGAGAGAAAGCTTGATCTCAGCTCCAAACTCACCCAGTTCCTCTATAAAAAACACAGATGTGAACTACAAACTTAGATGTGTCATCCAAACAAGGGATTACAGGACTCAAATGAGATGAGAACACTCACCAACAGAACCCGAGACAAAGCTAAGGTAATCTTGAGGTATTAATCTTCTGTCGAATCCAGGCAAAGGGATAAAATATCCAACACGGCTAAGTACAAGCAACACAGCCGTTACAAACAACCTCCTCCTTATCTCGCTCTTAAAGAATCTTTCTGCTGCGTTGTTGAGTACTGAACTTATGCGAACAAAATCAAGAAACCTATTTCTAAAAGACTTTGGCCTGTTATCCTGTAGTGTTTTGGAGACAACCGAGTTCTGAGATATATGAATGCCCTGTGACTCTGCGGGACTAATCTCCACATCCAAAGCATCAGTCTGCATCGAGTCATTTCTGTGCTTATCGGAATAATTGATCGAAAATCTCATCCTTTCTTTTATAAGAAGATGTCTTCTGTTCATCTGCATAAAATGAGTTCCTCTCGTTCTCGTCAAATTCGAATTCATAGCAAGGCATTTTCTGGATGGAAATGGTTGGTAACACCGAGATGGGTCCCCTGAAAAAAACATCAAGGTACAACACATGCCTCAACAATTGCTTCTGTTTTGTGAAAAGAAAGTTCGATAAACTGAGAAAATTGCAGGATTAAGAGAACTAATCCAAGAGATAAAAAGTTGAGAACTTTATAGCAACAGTGAGAAACCCATGTCGGTTAGTGTCAGTGACCTTGAAATTAGGGTTTCTATCAACTTGAAGCAACGAAACTTTAAAGATTGTATACTGACTAGTTTAGGTAACAACTAACTACGATAATTCAATCTCTTTACTTTGAATCGGATGTAATACAAAATTTCTGAGGGAGAGGGTGAAAACTTACGTTTAGCGACGAAACCATAGAAGATTGGTCTCAGAGAAGAATGGAAGCAGCAAGCTTGAGAGGAATTCATCGAGAGGATGGGAGAGAACGCGGCGCAGACGCAAGGAAGAAGAAGAACATTTAGAGTGTTGCTGACTCTCCAAAAATCAATTTATGTTTTTTCCTCTTATAAATTAGCCCCAAATAATATGATGTGGTAATTATTTTTAAATTACTTTTTAATTGTAATGATAAGAATTGTCTATAGATTTTTTTTTTTATTGTGGCACTACAAAGCTTTGAATGGTAGACAGGTTTTTTTTCTTTTTTTTTTTAAGTCGAATGGTATTCAGGTTAATCTACAATTTACATAAAGAGACATCTATTTTATTATTTGCCATTCACATTTTTTTAGAAAACATATACAAATACTAATAAAATATTACCAATTTGTATATACCATTTTTCATTGGAACTATTGGAATACATCCTCTTAAAAATATGCATTCTACTCAGATACGTATACAGTTCTTTTTTTTCATAAATATTTTTATTTGATTTACTTTGGATATGCTTTATTTGATCTGTATTATTATTCAAAGTCATTATGTCATCAGTCTAATTTTAATCAGATAATGCATGTGTTCTAAAACGTTTTTGTAACTTATGTATTCTAAATTGTAAACAATACGAGAACATAATTGTATATAACTTTTATGATAAACTTTTTACCAAAAAAAAAAAAAAAAACTTTTATGATAAAGAAATATTTTGATCTAAATTTATATTTCTAAATATATATAAACCAAAAAAAAAGTTTTGTCTATGTATTGTAAAAAATGTTCATAGGACAACTAATCACCAACCATGCGATTTATGCATAAAACCTGTACATGAGATATTTTTCCAAAACATTCTGAGTAGGGGGCCATCTTTTGAGAACATAAAAAACAGATGACCTTTTTTATTGGTGGATAAAAAAAACAAATATAGTTAGCAACAAAGAAAAGAACAGATCAGATATTTAAAATATTATGTATTTAAAAGATATTATATCAATTTTCGAAAGCAATCTTACCAAATTTAAAATCAACTGGCTTCAGTATTCAATCATGTTTTTGGCCAAAGGCATGCTCAATAGACTTTTGTGATCCACTCTTTGTCAATACTTTTCCATCTTGTTCTTCTCTATTCGTTCCAAACTACAGAATCACATGCATTATCGGTAACTTGGAGCATCTAATTAGGGGTGAAGAGTTGGAACCTATGCTTCCTTAGTATAAAGGTTTCGAAAGAACCATAATGGAAAAGAAATCATCCAAAGTAGAAGGTACCAAATATTTTAGCTCTGAGAATTTGGGTTTTGTTGACAAGTACACCTGTTTAGTAAGTGAGCTACCCATTAACGTTTGGACC